AATGAAAAAAAAAAAAAGCTGGGGTAGCAATGCTTATATCAGACAAAATAGACTTTAAAGCAAAGGCTATAATGAGACCAAGAAGGACCCAGCAATTCCACTTCTGGACATTTATCTGAGGAAACCCAGAGTGCTGATTCAAAAGGACCTACACACCCACCCCCATGTTCATGCAGCCTTTACAGTAACCACGATATGGAAGCGACCTAGTGCCGTCAGTAGACCAGTGGATTACTAAGCGGTGCTACATGCATGCAGTGGGACATGACTCAGCCCTAGAAAAGAATGAAATCTCGCCATGTGTGATAACGTGGATGGACCTAGAGGATATTATGCACAGGGAAATGGGTCAGACAGAGAAAGACAAAAGCCATGTGATTTCACAGGTATGTGGACTCCAAAAAATAAAATAAACAAGCTAACAGAACAAACTTACAGATGCAGAGAATGTTTGGATGGTTGCCGGAGGGGAGAGGGTTTGGGGGGTTGGGTGGAAAAGGTGAAGGATTAAGAAGTACAGATTGGTAGTTACAGAATAGTCACAGGGATGCAAAGCATAGCACAGGGAACATAGTAATCCAGTAATAACTGTGTATGGTGTCCCGAACACTAGATTTATCAGGTGATCATAAGTTATATAAATGTGTATCGCTATGTCGGACACCTGAAACTAATATAATATTGTATGTCAGCTGTAACTGAAAAATAAAAAAGTGTATTAAAAGATGAGTCATAATGAATAAATTGAAAGTGTAACAGGCAGGTAGAGAAACAGACAGACTTTCAGTCTGAGACAGAGTGACTGATGAGTGCAAAGCGGGAGATGGCACCTGCTTGGAACCACGAGGAAGCTGGCGAGGGGCAGGGAGAGGTAGGGGTTCCTGCGGGAAGCTGGCGAGGGGCAGGGAGGGGTAGGGGTTTCTGCGGGAAGCTGGCGAGGGGCAGGGAGGGGTAGGGGTTCCTGTGGGAAGCTGGTGAGCAGTGTGTGACAGTGTGATAGGCCACGGTAATTGAAGGAGGCATGAGGGTCAATGAAGCAAGACTTGACTTCAGTGAGGAGCACACAGTGTAATGCAGATGTTTGTCGATCTGTGTAAGGGACAGAAATTTGTATTATATCACTGATAGAGTAGGTGGGCTGTAGAGTAATTTTCGGAGCAAGGAATTCACATAGTTTGGAAATGGTTGAAAACTGGCAGTAAAAAAAGGACCAGTATTTAGAACTGTTCAAAGATAAACAGGTGTACTGAGAATTTTAAGAGTTGATTTGAACCAGAAGCTCTTAGACTGGGACAGCACCCAGCTGGGGCATGGGGAGCGCTGGGGACTGGCCGGGAGAGGCCGACAGGGAAAGTGCTGGGCAGAGCGGTCCGTTAGGGTTACCTTACAGGATGGCTGCAGCTTGTGGGAGATGCCTGGTCCTTGGCCTGTGGGTCTCCCCGCCTGAGGCCGTCCAGCACGGGGTGGGTGTGCGTCCGGGGGCCATGCCGGAGGCCCGGTGAGACTGCCCCCGTCTCACTGACCTGCTCCGACAGATTGGGGTGTGGGGTGCGTCTCAGCGCCAGGCTCTTGGTTGATCGCCTTGGCGTGGCAGCAGTGACGGTTAACAGTGAGGACAGTGGACTGTAAAGTCGGCGCAGGAGAAAGTGAGATGGGTGGGAGACAGCACAGTGGGCCCAGGAGGAGAGCAGGGAGGCGGACCCGGGACAGGCGGGCGCATGAGCGGACGGAGGTTGGGAACTCGTGACTGTACTTCCCTGGTTGAACATCTGCATTGGGCGGAGAGAAGGGAGAGGTGGGTATCCCTGCCGACAGGAAGTCTGGCAGTTTGAAGATGAAAACAGTTCTCATGAGAGATACTGCAGACGTCCCATAGGGCCCTAGGTCGTGCACGGAAGGAACTGGAAGTGGACGGGAAACATGGAAGATGGCGAGAGAGAGGAGGTCATTGCATCTCATGGCTAGATGGGCATTTTTAGATTAAAATAAGCTCCAAATGCTGGTGGAGGTAGTAGGGCACCTGTGGTGCCCACCGTGGTCTGTCCTCTGGGAGAGGGACGAGTGCTCTGAGCCACCGGATGGCACTGTTTGGAGTTGGTGTGCACCCTGTGGCACTTGTGAATTACCAGGAGGGCAACGTTGCTGTGTTTTGCATTTAAGAGGATTAATCAGCTCTGGCTGATTAGAGCTTTGGCCGGAGGACCTGAGAGTCTGGGCTTAGTTCCTGCTAAGGGCACTACCTTGGTTGCATTTTGTCCCCGGCCCAGGTTGGGGTCATGTGGGTGGAAACCAGTTGATGTGTTTCTCTCTTCCTCCCTCTCTCTCTCCCACTCTATCTGAAGATAAATGCAAAAATGTCTTTGGGTGAGGATAAAAAAATGGAAAAAAACAAAAAACAAAGAGGATTGTCCTGGCCGGTTTAGCTCAGCGGTTAGAGCATCAGCCTGTGGTCCAGAGAGACCCAGGTTCGGTTCCTGCTAAGGGCACGTACCTCGGTTGCAGTTTGTACCCCTGTTGTAGATAACAGTCTTTCTACCTTTCCTCATGCCGTTGGTCGATGTACCCCTTCCACGTCGGTGTTTCTCTCCCTCCCTTTCTTCCTCTCTCTCCTTCCCACTCTATCCGAACAAAAAATGAAAAAATGTCCTCAAGTGAGGATAAAAAAAAAAAAAAGAGGATTAATCAGTGGTCAGTGTAGACCAGTAAAGGTTCTAAGAAACCAGCTGGCTCCTACCCCAGCAAACGTGTACATTGAGACCTCGGCGAGAGGCGTCTCCAGGCGCAGGGGAGGCGCAGCAGCGGAGGGAGAGCCTGGGAGGAGAAGCCGCATGGGAGATAGGCAGGACCGAAAAGAGTGTGACCACAGCCTCGCTGACATTGGAAAGGGCTGCACTTCACCTGTCTCCCTGCGACCCCCGTGTGGCAGTCGGAACTCTCAGTGCTGTGTGAGCAGGTGGTGGTGGTGCCTGTAGGCGCTGCCCGACCGAGGAGAGCAGTGGCCCCAGGGTCCCGAGGTCGGTGGACAGAGGGCAGTGACTGTGAGCAGAAGGGCTCCAAGCGTCCATGGTGGGTTGTCCGTGCTTGTCAGTGGGTGGAATTTGGCCAGATAACAGGGCCAGTGATGGTGGCAGAGGCGTGGAGACTCGGGGGTGGTGTGGGCTGGGGAGGCACTGGACTCTGTCGTCAGGAAGCTGCTCAGGGAGCTGCATGTGTCCTGGAGACTGGAGGAGACCACAGTGGTGGTCACTGGGGGTTCAGTGAAGGAAAGCTTCCTGCCTTTTCCTCTTCCCTCTCCCCACACGTCCAGTTGACAGTGAGGCCTTGTGACCAGTCCGGATAAAATGGAGTTTCTTTTCTCTTCTGAGTGTTTAGGTCATGCAGATATAAAAGCTCACAGAACTATGCTTTATCATAACAGGATTTCACTAGAAAACCTCTGGGGTACATCACAAAGGCTGTCTACACAGCATCCCCCTGTTTACCAAGGCTACCTGCCAAATCACCCCCCAGGTGTGCCCAGAGCTTTGGGGCTTCCCAGGAGCAGGCCCCATACCGTGGCCTGGGCCAATCAGGATGCATTGTCTCCTCTCGTTCCTGTCCCCTTTTGTAAACTAATTGAAATGACCAACAGTATTTTTTTGTAAACATTCTCTGTGTATAGAAGTAACATTCCTGTGTGTTTAAAATTAAATACGCTACTTTCAGTTTATGTTTTTATGAAATACTTATTTCCTGCTTTCAGGTCGCAGAATCTTGGGTGTTCTAAGGCAAGGGAGGTGACTGGGGTCATTGCTCTCAGCCACATCCACTGAGTTTTACGTTTCGTGGCGGTGCTGCCACAGCCTTGCCCAGTGCAGGCTCCGGCTTTGCCAGTTCCCTGTTGGTGAGGCTGCACTGCCCCGGCGCCTGAGATGCACCCTCCTGTCCGGGTCCCAGGACATTTCCTACGGATTCACATTGTCTTCTGGACCTGGCCAGAAGCTGGGACTCTGTCTCCCACTTTACAGATAGACACGTGACAGCATTTCTCCGGCTTTTCCAGGCGTGACCACTATGCATTGTATGCAAAATGGATCAGATCTGTTGTTTTTTTAAAATGTTGTTTCTGACTTAAGAATGACATCTGAAGCTAAGCAGGCAGTTTCGATATATCCTATGAGTGAGGATTAGATCATCTGTCACTGTGGAGGACCAAACATCTAGTTCATCTCTGCTGAGGCCTCCCTGTTTTGCAGTGGTGTGCTGATATTGGCTCTGGCGTTTTCAGAGGATTGAGCTGGACATAACCAGCTTATGTCTGATTATGGCCACATGTCTGGGCACCAGCGACAACCTAAATAAGTTCATTGGGGTGAATAACCAATTTACTTAAAATCTGTTAAAACTCAGGCTTTATTTTTTCTTCTCCACACTCGGTCACACAACTGCTAAGTGGCAGAACTAGAAATGAATCCAAGTAGTCAGATTCCAGAGTTTGGTCTTGACAACTCCGTGCTGTTTGCCACCTAGTGTGCTCCCCTCCTGTCCTCGTCTGGTCATGGCGCCGTCACCACACAGACAGTGAGGCCGGACCGTTGAGCCTCAGAACCCTTTTTCAACCCTCTGCCACCCGACATCCTTCTGGTCGGGGCCTTGTGCTCTGGTTCAGGGTCTGGCCCTGTGCTCCAGAGTCCCTCCGAAGGCAGCGGGTGCCCGTCAGTCTGCAGTTCCCTTCAGGGTGGACGGGGCCCCGCGCACAGTGCCTGAGGGCCATAGAAACACTCCGTGGGGCCCAGCCCGACTCGGGTCACCCTGGTGGCCGTCGGCCGTGTCACTTCACTGTTCTCACAGCCCGTTGTCCAGCCACCCCAGGGTCCCCGAGTGCTCCATGCTGCCCGTAATTCAGGACACGCATCTCTGGTTCCTGAAGGCGGACCGTCCACTTTCCAGGTGCCTGGTGTGCTGCTGAATGTCCAGCACCTGTTTCAGCAACTGTCCACTGAAGCTCCATGTTTTTGCAGGTTCGTCTCTGCACTGGACTATGAGCCCCTGGGAAGGAGCCGTGTCGTACTCATCTCTAGGTCCCCGGCGTCCAGCGCAGTTCCTGCAGCAGAGTGAGTGACTGCCCACTCTTTTTAAACTGAGACCATGTTAACCATCAGGCTCCGTGAGTGTCGGTGACTGATTATACCTGTGTGGACCTGGTGATGACGTCATAGAAACACGACTGCGGGCTGCTTCTGCGAACACTGCATGGTGTCCTCGTGGGCACAGTGGCCTGGCCCCCTGCCTCTGCAGAGCTGTTGTCATGTTCAGATCAAGGAATGTGCACAACAGCATGTTGTGTTTTTGTTTTTTTTTCTTTATTGAATTTAGAGAGACAGGAAGGGAGAGGGAGAGAGAGAGCTAGAAACATTGATGAGAGAGAACATCAGTTGGCCGCCTCCTCCATGCCCCCCACTGGGGATCGAGCCTACAACCTGGGCATGTGCCCTGACCGGGAATCGAACCAGCGACCTCTTGGTGTAGGGTTGACGCTCACCACTGAGCTACACGGGCCGGGTGTGCACATTGTGCTTTGAGTGCCATACACCTTTACGTTATGGAATGAGGTGTGGGCACTGCTTGTTGGAACTGACATTTCAGTGCTGGGTCTGTCCCCTTTCAAGGGAGACGTCATCGCTTTGAGCCACATCTGTCGTTCGTGTTTCTCAGCTTACGGCGGCAGCTTCTGGGCGCCAGAGGCTGCACCCCTGAGTTGGAGGGCCAGGTGGTAGAGTGAGGGGAGACAGCCCCACCCCAGAACAGGAACAGGCAGTGGAGGGCATGGCTTTCCCTTCGTGGGCCCTGGCTCCTGTGCGGGCGTCTCAGCCGTCACAGTTCTCTGGTGACGGCCCTGGGCCTGCAGGCCAGTTTGTCTCCTTAGTCTCTGCAGTCACCGTTGTGATTCACTAAGCAAGTCCTTCAGTTTCCTTTTTTTGTTGTTGTTAATCCTCACTTGAGGATATTTTTCCCCATTGATTTTTAGATGGAGTGGAAGGGAGGGGTAGGGAGAGAGAGAGAGAGACTTCAATGTGAAAGATACACTTTGATTGGTTGCCTCTCGGACAACCCTGACTGGAGCTGAGAATCGAACCTGCAACCCAGGTACGTGCCCTTGACTGGGAATCAAACCCATGACCTTTGGTCTGTGGGCCGACCCTTTTACCGCTGAGCCACACCAGCCAGGGCCCTCGATTTTCTTTTATCTCCCTCCACATGAGTTCGTGTCTTCACCTGTCCTTCAGTCCTGGGTACTGCTCAGGGGAAAGTGTGTCTTTTCTGTGGCAAACGAAGTCCACACCGTCTGTGAAAACCCCGCCCTTCCCTGCTGCCTGTTACAGGCCTCCAGCACCCTCATGGGTCACTGACCCACACTCTGGTCATCTTCACCTTCGTTGAGTTCTTTACATTTTTAAGAGTTCTGTGATTTGAACATTTCAGTTTATATATATAACATATGGAAGTTAATAATAAAATCAAGCATTTGGGAACTAACCACTTGACTGGAGAACTAGGTCGTCCCAACACGATTCAAGGTACGCTGAGCGCCTCTCTGACCCCATGTCCTGTCTCTCCCCAGCCCTGACATAACTGCTGTTCTGAATTTGTTTTCTTAAGTCTCTTTTTTTTAAAGAGCATTACAACAAATACATTTCTTTGTTTTGAGTTTAATTTTATTTATAGGCTTTTTAAAACTTGCACAAATGGTATTTTATTATAGCGGACCGTGTAATTTACAAATGTTTATGCAGTTCAAAGAGAACATTCACACATTGTAAAAGGATACCCAGAAAAATCTCGGTGTGCACATTCTAGTTTGTGACAAGAAAGTGGTCATGAACGCTTACGTGGACTGTGTGGGTGTTGCGGACGAGATAATGCTCCATCTGTGCACAGCAGGGAGATGCAGAGAGGGAGAAACCACACACTGGTTTCTTCTGTGTGCACAAGTGTGTGCTCAGATCCATGGTGTGCCCCCAAAGTGACGGCTTTCTGACCTCTGCAGTGTTCCGAGTTCCACTCTGTCTGTCGAGGATATAGCTTTGGAGACTCTGCCTCCATAGTGCGCCATGTTTCTGGATTTGTTTTTCAGTCGTGGAGTTCACGGCATTTTCCAAGGAAAGGCAGAGCAAATGGCGTCACGTCAAGCACCAAGACAGCTCATTTTTTTCTTGTTTTTACCAGTGGGAAGCATTTCTTTTTTTTTTTTTCTTTTTAATCCTCACCTGAGGATCTTTTTCCATCTTCATACAGAGTGGGATGGGGCAGCGGGGGCGGGGGAGAGAGACATCGATGTGAGAGAGACATGACCCCGACTGGGGGAGGGGACAGAACTGCAACTGAGGCTCATGCCCTTTGGTCTAAGGGCTGATGCTCTAACTGCTGAGCAAAACTGGCCGGGGGGGGGGGCATCTCTCGATGGTCTCAGTGGGGAGGGTTAAATCTCGGAGGTGGACTGAGAGGCGTTGTTAACACTTAGAATCTGTCTTTTTAGGCACACTACCGCACACGAGTGCACACACAGGTACATGACCCATGCCGCTGTGAATAAGTGAAGAGAGAGGAATGGTTCAGAGTACTGACTCCCTTGAGTTTGGAGAGGCTGTAAGTGAAGCATGGGAGGGACTGCAAACAGGGAAAACGAGAGATGTGAACGTTCATTTACACGTCTCCATCTGGCCAGAATGTCCCACTTCAGGGCAGATGGAGGTCTAGTCTTGACGTGTTCGTCATGCAGAAGGATGATGACATAGCTCTGCTTGTATCTAAAAAATTTTTTTTCCTTTATTGATTTTAGAGGGAGAGGGAGATAGAAACACTGATGAGAGAGAACATTGATTGGCCGCCTCCTGCGTGCCCCCCACTGGGAATCGGGCCCACAACCTGGGCATGTGTCCTGATTAGGAATCAACCAGTGACCTCTTGGTGCAGGGATGATGCTCTACCACTGAGTCACACTGGCCAAGCTCTCTGCTTTGTATTTTATCTAAAAAGTAAAAATTGGGGTGGAGCAGTGAAGCAGAACTTAGAAAGAAAATGATCTATAAAAAGGAGCACACAAGATCTATAGGGACTGACAATTGATGTAGCACGTAGACCTGAACTAGACCTGTGTCTAACAGCCACGGTGAAGGTGGCATCAGGACAGTTGATGAGATAGAATATATGTTAGGTAATGATAATATGCTAGTTAAATTCCTGAATTTGTTCATTGTACTGTTGTTATTTAAGAGAATACTTTTATCCGTAGGAAATGCACACTAAATATTAAAGCATGTGGGGTAGATAATACGTACATGCATCAATAGTAGAATATGTCATTAATCGATAAGTGAACACAAGACCCTGGATTCTCTGCTCTCAGTGACTCAGACATGGTTTATTGGCCATGCTTGTCTGTAGTGCTTCCAGTGCTGAGTCTCAGCCCTAAATGTGGACCGCTGACAGTGTGCATGTGTGACAGGCTGACAGCATTGTATCAGGTGTGGCTTTCTAATTGATTCAACTAGTTTCAGTCATATTGAAAAATTACAATTTCTTGTTTAACACATAAATAAATTGTATTTTTTATAGGTTTAAGCTGAATTTTGGGACATGGCCACTGCTTCACCAAGGTCTGCTACTAGTAATAACCACAGTGGAAGGTTACAGTTACAGGTAACTGGTAAGTTCTTTTACAATAATTTAAAATAGTGGTTCCCAGATGATTCTCTTAATCTGAATCCACCAGATTTATTCCATAAGTATCTTTCCTTTAGATTCATAATATAGTGTATTTGTTGCAATAGGCTTCAATGGCAGACACCCTCTGAAGGTAGTTTATCTGTTCGGTAAGTATCTATAGAAACTGTGCTGGGTGTGGAGAAGATACGTCCTCTTTGGTGGGGGAATTTGGATACTGGCATTAGCATAGTTGACTTGGTCCTTAAATGATTATTAGGATGGAAAAGAAGCTGAAAACCTTTCATTTGTTTAGCCATCCACTCAGTCACTGGGCAAATATTTGTTAAGTGGAATTACAGATATGAAAACACAGGTCCTCGTTCTCCAGTAATTTATAGTGGTGGGCAGGCTTGTTTTGTGTGGACAGTTACCACACAGAGTGGTCATTAACTGATGCAGTGAGGACCTAGAAGAAGGTGTCTTAGGTCTACTGGGATTGCAGGTGGTCTGTGCTTGTATGGAACGTGTAAGAGAGGGACTCACAGAGGGTAACACTGAATTCCCACAGGAGTAATGGGAGTTCATCTCCAGCTGGATTGGTAGCAGCATCTGCAAGAGCATAAAAGAGTGTTGGGGAGGGGACTTCAGATCATTCCTCCTTGCTCATTGGAATAGCTGATTCAAGGAAGAGTGGGCCTTCAGCCAGCAATTTTACCTGTAGAAATTTATTTTGCAGATGTTGATATTGCTTATATAATTATAAACAGTAGTTTATAATGTATTATATTATTTTCATAATTATAAACAATGTATAATTTATATTATTAAGTATTGTTTATATAAACAATATAAATATTTGCAAGGTAATTTCCTGTGGGTAATGTAATTCAGAGAGAATTTATAATATCTGTATTATATATAAGTGTGTGTATGCATATATAATTCATAATGTATACCATGTGTATGTGTATAAGTTACACATAAACACTGAAGTGAGTGTGCGCACAGAGATTGTGACAGCAGGAGACTGGCGGTGGAGTTCTGGGCAGACACTGAAGTGAGTGTGCACAGAGATTGTGACAGCAGGAGACTGGCGGTGGAGTTCTGGGCAGACACTGAAGTGAGTGTGCACACAGAGATTGTGACAGCAGGAGACTGGCGGTGGAGTTCTGGGCAGACAGTGAAGTGAGTGTGCACACAGAGATTGTGACAGCAGGAGACTGGCGGTGGAGTTCTGGGCAGACAGTGAAGTGAGTGTGCACAGAGATTGTGACAGCAGGAGACTGGCGGTGGAGTTCTGGGCAGACACTGAAGTGAGTGCGCGCACAGAGATTGTGACAGCAGGAGACTGGCGGTGGAGTTCTGGGCAGACACTGAAGTGAGTGTGCCCAGAGATTGTGACAGCAGGAGACTGGCGGTGGAGTTCTGGGCAGACACTGAAGTGAGTGTGCCCAGAGATTGTGACAGCAGGAGACTGGCGGTGGAGTTCTGGGCAGACACTGAAGTGAGTGTGCACAGAGATTGTGACAGCAGGAGACTGGCGGTGGAGTTCTGGGCAGACACTGAAGTGAGTGTGCGCACAGAGATGGTGACAGCAGGAGACTGGCGGTGGAGTTCTGGGCAGACACTGAAGTGAGTGTGCACACAGAGATTGTGACAGCAGGAGACTGGCGGTGGAGTTCTGAGCAGACAGTGAAGTGAGTGTGCACACAGAGATTGTGACAGCAGGAGACTGGCGGTGGAGTTCTGGGCAGACAGTGAAGTGAGTGTGCACACAGAGATTGTGACAGCAGGAGACTGGCGGTGGAGTTCTGGGCAGACAGTGAAGTGAGTGTGCACAGAGATTGTGACAGCAGGAGACTGGCGGTGGAGTTCTGGGCAGACAGTGAAGTGAGTGTGCACAGAGATTGTGACAGCAGGAGACTGGCGGTGGAGTTCTGGGCAGACAGTGAAGTGAGTGTGCACACAGAGATTGTGACAGCAGGAGACTGGCGGTGGAGTTCTGGGCAGACAGTGAAGTGAGTGTGCACACAGAGATTGTGACAGCAGGAGACTGGCGGTGGAGTTCTGGGCAGACAGTGAAGTGAGTGTGCACAGAGATTGTGACAGCAGGAGACTGGCAGTGGAGTTCTGGGCAGACAGTGAAGTGAGTGTGCACAGAGATTGTGACAGCAGGAGACTGGCGGTGGAGTTCTGGGCAGACAGTGAAGTGAGTGTGCACAGAGATTGTGACAGCAGGAGACTGGCGGTGGAGTTCTGGGCAGACAGTGAAGTGAGTGTGCACAGAGATTGTGACAGCAGGAGACTGGCGGTGGAGTTCTGGGCAGACAGTGAAGTGAGTGTGCACAGAGATTGTGACAGCAGGAGACTGGCGGTGGAGTTCTGGGCAGACACCGAAGTGAGTGTGCACAGAGATTGTGACAGCAGGAGACTGGCAGTGGAGTTCTGGGCAGACAGTGAAGTGAGTGTGCACAGAGATTGTGACAGCAGGAGACTGGCGGTGGAGTTCTGGGCAGACAGTGAAGTGAATGTGCACAGAGATTGTGACAGCAGGAGACTGGCAGTGGAGTTCTGGGCAGACACTTAAGTGAATGTGCACAGAGATTGTGACAGCAGGAGACTGGCAGTGGAGTTCTGGGCAGACAGTGAAGTGAGTGTGCGCACAGAGATGGTGACAGCAGGAGACTGGCAGTGGAGTTCTGGGCAGACAGTGAAGTGAGTGTGCACAGAGATTGTGACAGCAGGAGACTGGCGGTGGAGTTCTGGGCAGACAGTGAAGTGAATGTGCACAGAGATTGTGACAGCAGGAGACTGGCAGTGGAGTTCTGGGCAGACACTTAAGTGAATGTGCACAGAGATTGTGACAGCAGGAGACTGGCAGTGGAGTTCTGGGCAGACAGTGAAGTGAATGTGCACAGAGATTGTGACAGCAGGAGACTGGCGGTGGAGTTCTGGGCAGACAGTGAAGTGAGTGTGCACAGAGATTGTGACAGCAGGAGACTGGCGGTGGAGTTCTGGGCAGACAGTGAAGTGAATGTGCACAGAGATTGTGACAGCAGGAGACTGGCGGTGGAGTTCTGGGCAGACAGTGAAGTGAATGTGCACAGAGATTGTGACAGCAGGAGACTGGCGGTGGAGTTCTGGGCAGACACTGAAGTGGGAGAAATGAGTGTGTGTAGCAGTAGGAGCCAAGTTCTAAGATGGTATCATTGAGTGAAAGAGCAGGGTGTGCTGGCCGGTTTGGTTCAGTGGTTCGAGTGTCGGCCCACGGTCCAGAGAGACCCAGGTTCGGTTCTTGCTGAGGGTATGTACCTCTGTTGCAGTTTGTCCCCAGCCCGGGTTGGGCTTGTGTGGGTTGCAGTCACTCAGTGTGTCTCTCTCACATCGATGTTTCTTTCTCTCTCTTCCACCCTCTCTCCCTCTCACTCTATCTGAAGATGAATGCAAAAATGTCCTCGGGTGAGGATTGAAAAAAAAGAGCAGGGTGTGGAATAGTATGTGTAATAAGCTGCCCGATGGGTATGAAGCAGGAGGGGGTGTACGTGAGCAGCTCTGCGCCTGGACCATGAGATCTGCCTCAGGAGGATGGGAGTGGGCAGTGCGAGAAATAGATACTCTGCAATGCCCATGGCACTCATTACCACGAGGTTGGTCATTTCTAGTTTTCAGTGAACTAGGAAATGGTTGTCTTAGGAAGCAAAACACAAATCCTGAGTTTGTGCTGATATCAAGGTGGCAAAAACACCCAATCAGAATGACAAAAAAATTATAAGAATCCAAAAAAATGAGGATAGTTAAAGGAACTTCTGGGATAACATCAGGCATAACAATACCTGCATCATGGAGGTGCCAGAAGGAGAAGAAAGTGAGCAAGGGAATGAGAACTTATTTGAAGAAATAATGACTGAAATCTTCCCTAACCTGATAAAGGACAAAGGCATACAAGTCCAGGAAGTGCAGAGTCCCAAACAAGATGAACCTAAAGAGGCCCACACCAAGACACAGTATAATTAAAATGGCAAATGTTAAAAACAGAATCTTAAAAGCAGTTAGTTACCTACAGAGGAGCTCCCATAAAACTGTCAGCCAGTTTCTCAACAGAAACTTTGCAGGCCAGAAGGATTGGCATGAAATATTCAGAGTGATGAAAAGCGAGGGCCTTACAACCAAGAACTACTCTATCCAGCAAGGCTATCATCTAGAATCAAAGGAGAGATAAATAGCTTCCCAGACACAAAAAACTAAAGGAGTTCACCACCACCAAACCAGTATTACAAGAAATGTTAAAAGGTCATCTTTAAGAAGAAGAAAACATAAAGATAAAAAATATGAATAATAAAATAGCAATAACTGCATATTAACAATTATTTAAAATGTGTTTGTATTAAATGTTCCAATCAAAAGACACAGGGTGGCTAGATGGATAAGAAAACAAGACTCTTACTTATGCTGCCTGCTAGAGACCCACTTTGTATCGAAGGCACACAGACTGAGAGTAAAGAGATGGAAAAAGATATTTCATGCAAATGGAAAAAAAAAACAGCTGGGGTAGCAATGCTTATATCAGACAAAATAGACTTTAAAACAAAGGCTATAATGAGACCAAGAAGGACCCAGCAATTCCACTTCTGAGTATTTACCTGAGGAAACCCAGAGCGCTAAGTCAAAAAGACCTACACACCCACCCCCATGTTCATGCAGCATTTACAGCAGCCAAGATATGGAAGCGACCTAAAGACCTGTTGAGAGATGAGTGGATAAAGATATACATATATTTATATATGTAATGGAATATGACTCAGCTGTAAAGAAGTAAGTCTTGTCATGTGCAGTAACATGGATGGACCTGGAGGGCATTGTGCACAGTGAAATGGGTCTGATGGAGAAAGACAAAAGCCATGTGATTTCACTGATGGGTGGAATCTGAAAAATAAACAAAACAGAAACAAACTGATACAGGGACTATTTGGACAGTTGCCAGAAGGCAGGCACATTGGGGTCTGGGTGACAAGGGGGAAGAGTTAAGATGTGTAAATTGCCAATTATAAAACAGTTATGGGGATGTAAAGTACAATGTAGGTAATAAGTCAGTAACATTGTAGTAACTATGTGTGGTGTCAGAAGGGTACTGGGTGATCATGTCGTAAGTTATATAAGTCTAATTGCTGTGTTGTCATCTGACACTAACTTATTGTGTGTCATCTGTAATTGAAAATAAATAAACTATTTTTTAAAAAGGAAAGTAGGGCCCTGGCCGGTTTGGCTCAGCAGTTAGAGTGTCATCCTGTAGACCGGAGAGTCCCAGGTTCGGTTCCCGCTCAGGGCACGTACCTCGGTTGCAGTTTGTCCCCACCCTGGTTGGGGCAGGTGGGTGGGAACCCCTTGATGTGTCAATGTTTCTCTCTTTCCCTCTCTCTTCCTCCCGCTCTATTTGAGGATAAATGCAAAAATGTCCTCAGGTGAGGATAAAAAAAAAAAAAGGAAAGTAGGTTACTGAAGTTGATCCTTGAATAATTTGAGAGTTAGGAGTGCCAATCCCCTGAGAAGTTGAAAATCCAAGTGTCACCTTTTTTTTTTAATGTTTTTTTTTTTAGAGAGGGGGGAAGGAAGAGGGGGAGGCATCCATTTGTTGTTCCACTTATTTATGGAGTCATTTCATTGGTTGATTTCTGCATGTGCCCTGATCAGGGATCAAACCCGCAACCTTGGTATATCGGGTTGATGTTCTAATAACTTTTGATGCCCCAAAATCTTAACTGATAATAGCCAACTGTAGACCAGAAACTTACTGATAACGATTAACACACATTTTGCATGTTATATGTATTATATACTGTATCCTATGATAAAGTAAGCTAGAAAAAAGAAAATTAAGAAAACTGTAAGGAAGAGAAAATACATTTCCAGTACTGTTGTGTTTATTGAAAAAAATTACGTGTAAGTGAACCTCACAGTTTAAACCTGTATTGTTCAAGGGTCAGCGGAGTTGCTTAGGGCCGGGGGAGGGGAATTGGGAGGTGTTGGCAGGAAAGATGAGGGTGACCATTTAATGGAACGGGGTGTTTGTTGGGGGTGGTGACGATGTTAAAACATTGATCGTGGTGGTGGCTGCACACCTTGAACTATATATATATATATATATATAGTTGGCATGAGTACACCATATGGTATGTGAATTGTATTTCAGTAATACTGTTAAAATTCAAATGGTTCTCAGGTATTATATTCTTGTTAGAGTATTTCTTCATTCTGTCAATGAGAAGAGTTTGAGTTGAACAAGCAGCACAATTTTCTTGATTTATTAGTATAAAGACTGCTTTCTGGCTGCATAGATTCCCTAGTGATTGTCATGTTTCTGTTAGTCTCTAGTGCCAAACTGAAAAGAAAAAAGAACTGGTTTGTGACATCAGTCTACACTGAAGTAGTTGTTGATGGAGAAATTAAGAAAACAGCAAAATCCAGTAGTTCTTCTAATCCGAAGTGGGATGAGCAGTTGACCGTGTAAGTACCGCACAGCAAGGACTCAGTCTCCGGAAGGAAGGGAGTTTTGGAATTTTTAAAAATTATTATTTTGTAGGAAAACTTCATAGTAATAACTGCTATTTCCATTATGAATAGACAGTTTAAAGTATGATAATTATGGGTTATTGTCATTTCTTTTACAGAGGAGCAAAATCCTTGTTTTGCTTTATAAAGTAAATGATTTCTATGTAGCCATGTTTTCTCTTCCTGTCTTACAAAAATAAGTAGGGCAGAAGATCAATTACTGTTAATTTTGGCATTTCTGAAATTCAGTGTTAGTGTTATAAAATGTATTATAACCAGTGTCATCAATTGTCTTAAATATTTAGAAATCTGTTCAAATAGAACTAGTGATTGTGAAACCTCAGACTCTTGATGTATTGGTAGTGTTTTGGTTCACTAAGTACAAAGGTGCTCACCTAGCTATTAAAGCCCTAATGTAAAGTCCTTGAAAGTAAGTACTGTTTTTATAATTCAAGTGTTTACTGTTTCATACAATATTTTTTCCTCGAATAAACGGAATTATGGCTTCAGAAAATAGTTGGAGTAAATGGTGCGATGGGAATGAGCACTAGAGTGATGTGCGTCCCTGCGTCTTCTCCACGTTCCCTGCAGGAGCGTGACCACGCAGAGCACCCTGGAGTTCCGGGTCTGGAGCCACCACACTCTGCGGGCAGACGCCCTGTTGGGACGGGCAGCGGTGGACCTGAAGCAGGCTCTGCTGACACACAACCGGAAGTGTAAGCTTCTGTTCGCTGCTTTAAAGTGTGTTTAGACGCTTTTAATGTGTCCAGGAGCCCGTAAGCAAACGTGGTCTGTGTTTCCGAGGGAGTGGCTCAGTGACTGCCTGTGGCCGTGCTCGTCTGGAGGGGAGACTGGCCGGGCCTTCTCCAGCCTGCAGACTCAGACGTGTAGGTCTTTCCTGACTCGCTCAGGGACACGAGGGCCAGTGGAGGTATGACAACATGGTGGTCAGATTCCTAGGTGCCTGGTTTTGATGAGAAGTAAGAGAGAATTGGTAGGGCCGTAGGTAGCCTTACCGAATGTAAAAATACACTGTACTTGTTCCAGGTCTTGGCTGCTTTTCCTTCAACCCCTTGGCTCAGGACTGGGCTTGGATTTTAGTTTGGCACCACTCAATGAGCTCTAGTTCAATTTGGGGGATGTTTTAGGATTTTTTTTTTTAATCCTCATCCATGGAAATTTTCTATTTATCTTCAGATAGACTGGGAGGGAGGGAGGGATGGAGAGAAACATTGATGTGAGAGGGACACATTGACTTGTTGCCTCCTGCACAACCCCGACCAGGGCCAGGGATGAACTGTAACCGAGGTATGTGCCCTTGGCTGAAATTGAACCCTCGACTCTTTGGTCCGCGGGCCGACGCTCTGACGGCTGAGCCAAAGCAACCAGGGCAGTTTTTAAAAAGCAAATCAAGCAACACTACCTATGAACCAATAACGAGACGTAGACATGACGACTTAGTGTTTTTATATTCCTCTTTCCCTGCCGCCAACTAAGAGTTTATTCACTGACCGGGGTGGGGGAGTGGTGGTGGGGGGGGAGGCAGGGCATTAATAAGGGGTGTTGTGTGTCTGAGGTGTGTGGTGTCCAGAAAGTGTCGGATGCCCAGCACCGGTGTGGTGGGGCCTATGTGCACCGGGCTCCGGGTGGGCTGTGCCGTGTCGCCTGCACCTGAGGCAGGGTGCACAGGGCTGCAGTCACACGGAGGGCCCTGGAGGGGGTGGAGCACCCGAGAGCAGCACCCAGGGCAGCTCTGCCCCTCAGGAGCCTGGGTCCCATGTGCCGACCGGGCTCCGGTGCGGGTCCGGAAGAGCCTGGGTCTATGTATGAGAGTGTAGAAGACAGGCGGGGCCCTCGGAGGCAGGTTGCCACACGCCGGCGGGGACTGCGGCCAGAGGAAGTCTTTTTGGGGCCGTGATAGCCTAGGGTAATTTCAGGGACGAAGGGACGTGGTGGTCATGGTGGGGAATGTCGTTAGAGCATTTGGAGGTGCCATCTGTGAAACTAAATCACACACATGATGGAACTCATAAGCAGCTCGAAAGGAGAGACCATTGTCATCATCTGGGTTTTCAGTGCTGTTCACTGTTGATGGCCAAAGGGTTGAAGAAGCTCAGCTAGAATCTCCCTCAGAACCTGGCCATGTGTAAGACGGCAGCGCTGGGCACACTGCACACTGCGCCCTCGCGCACACACCCCAGCTCCTGACCTAGCTGCTGTGGAACCCTGTTTCCCAGGCCTGGTTGAAAACCACGTGGCTGGAAAATCAAGTCCGCCTGCTGTTTCCACACCGTCGACTGTGGTTCGGTTTTCCTGACCCTGCGGGCAGCTCAGTCCTGTGTCGCTCAGTCCAGCTCGCCTTCCTGCCACCTGCTGAGCACCTTGTGCGTCCTCTCTTGAAAGCAGGCTCTTGGCCACTGATCAGCTGGGGTTTTTAGTAATTACCCATGTGTTTAGTGTGGTTTTCTGTGGAGTCCTTTAACATACATGGAGTTGTTGTGGGGAAGGAATAGAAAGTCCATTTGAGTTAGTTTCCTGTTGCCACCCAGGGTTTTCATGGTGCTGATTTTCCCGATCATGGGTGAGTGTGCCTGTTCCAGTGATCTAGCACCCCCCCCCCAATAATGAAGCAAGCTGGGGGTGGACTCAGTATTTTGGTCTAAATGCTGTTGGAACATAACTTTTCTAAACTACCCTTATTGATCAAAACATTCTGTAATGACTCCCTGTAACGGAAGGAACTTGGACCACCATCCTGGGACAGAGATGACATTTTTCCTTCATGGCCTGGCTTTCTCTCACCCCAAACTAGTCTTCATAGTGGTTGTACTGACCTGAAATGGCTTATCTCATTCTTTTGTTAGCAACGATGCTGTCTGTTAGGCCCTTGTTTTTCATTGGAGGGATGTTTACATTAGAACCACCTAAACAAGGATGAAAGGCAAAGACTCGTGCTGGAAGGGAGTCCCAGAGGGGCAGTGTGCGAGCGTGTACTTTCTGCTGCTGCCTGTCCTGAGTGGAACCTGGACTTCTCGTCTCCTTAAATGTGCTCTGTGTGGTCCCAGGGCCGTGGGAGGTTATGGACACTCGTGCAGTGTGCGGGCATATGTAGTTCTCTCTGGCTCGAGGGTGAAGGGTTTGCACGCGCAGGCTCTGGAAGCTGCTGCCCGACACGTGGTGTTGGGCTGTGCGCTGTGCTGCCCAGGGCTCTCCACTGGCCACATGCACAGAGGCGTCTGAGCTGTGCTTCTCAGTTTCTCTCCCATTGTGATTCCCTGCCCTTTGTTGGTGTTTCTCCTGGCATTGCATTCCTAAGGTCTAATCACAGTGGTCTTTGTTCCTAGGTGTCTCATCTCTACATTTGTCTACTTGTCTCTCTTTTGTTGGCATCTCCTTTCTTTGTTGCCTCCAAAGTTTGGGGCAGGGGTTGTTGTTTTTTGTTTTTGCCATTGATTTTTAGAGGTAGTGGGAGGGAGGGAGGGAGGGAGGGTAGGGGACAGAGAGGCACATCGATTGGTTGCCTCCCGCTTGCACCCTGGCCAGGGCTGGGGATTGAGCCTGCAGCCTAGGTATGTGCCTTGACTGGCATTGAACCCAGTAGGCTGACGCTCTCAGCACTGGGAAACCGCTGCCAGGGCTTCAGTGCTGTGATGCTTGCCGTTATGTTTCTAGTGCCCCGAACGTTTCACTTACAATAGTTCTTTAGATTTCATTTAAAAGTCCTTAGAGCATATATTAATCAATAAACCTTATTTTCTTTAAGATCTTAAATGTTTTTTCATACAACTTAAAGATTTATTCTTTTGACCTCTGTAATCTTTTAAATCAGACCTGAGTTATTTTTTAACTTTATTTTTCCATTTGCTAACACCTTATCTTCTTATTTCTAATTATTTATGGCTTTGTAAATAAAGGTGCCTGTGTTGTTTTGGTATGCTTGGTTCAGAGCTTCTGTCTGTCCAGAAGCGGCACCTACATGTGTAGGCGGGAATCAGCCATGAGATAGTCCCCCAATTGAATGATTCAAAAATGTTATGCCCGGTGTCCCCGTTCAGAGTTATGAAAGAGCGGATGGTGTGTCTGCTCCCCGCAGAGCAGTCAGGTCCTTGACAGGGGGGTTTTTGGAGCATTGATGATTTTTACAAAGGTCGTGGGGTCTCCAAGGTCCCCCTTTAAAAAAAAGGCCAAGAAAACCTTGTACAGCAGAGTCAGAGCTGTGGACACTGCTGCAGCAGCTCTCAGACCCCTGAGCTTCCGCTGACAGCCGGGTAGCGGAGCGCAGCTGGGACTGCGGTGTGCTCAGACCCCGGGCAGAGTCAGAGCAGCCCGGGAGCACTCGTAGAGGAGTACCGGGGACGCACTCGCCCTCCGAGGGCAGGGTCCAGGGGCGAGCCCGCACCAGGGGTCGGCGACCCTTCCTGTGCAAGCGGCTTTGCAGGCTGCAGAGGCTGCTGCTCCCCCTCAGCTGGGCCACGCGGCATGAGCAGCAGGGACACGGAGAGGGGCAAGGTGGCTGCTCAGAGCAGGCAGTGGGCAGACTTGGCCAGGACCATGGTTGGCTGACCCCTGGAGGGGAGGGTGAAGTAGAGGGGGTAACTGAAGAGATGGTGGCTGTTCTTGAACACCTACGACAAACGTGAATGCAGATCTTCCTGCCCCAAGCAGGTGCTGGAGAGAAGGTGGTGCCCGGACACATCCCAGGGAGATGCATGACGCAGAGACAAGGGCAGCTCCAGAGAAAAACACGTGTCTGCAGAGATGTGTCAGTTAGAATTGCAGGACGAGCCGTGACAGGAGAAGGTGGTTGCACAGAGTCTTCGAGAGCCGTGAGAAGGCTGGGTCACTGACCCTGTGCCCAGCCCATCTCTGCGGAGGAGACTGCGGACCTTTGCAGAGGAAAGGGAGCACTCACCGGGAGAGTTGCACTGCAGGGGCTGGGAGAGGCTCTTCAAGGATCTGCGTCAGCAGCCCAGTGTTTTAGGAACAAGATGCTAAATCTTTGAGTTGCAGATCCTTTGAGTGGAGAGAGAGGACGAGAGTGGAACAGAATGGAGTCAGTGCAGTTTTCTTCAGATACTCATTGCTACTCTAGATAAAACTGAAATGCCTGTTTTGTATTTTTCTTTTTTAGCTTATGTATTTCTTCGAGTTTGAATTGTTCTGTGACGTGGAGTGGAAACTCATGTGTTCCCGAGTTCATGCCTGCAGAGGGCTGAGGCAGGCTGGGAGGCGGTGGGCCGGTGTAGCGAGGGGCCATTGATAGTGTAGAGGACCCTTCCCTGTGAGTCCAGGGGCTGAGTTAGAGGCATGCTTCATGTGTAGTTCTGACTTCTAAAACATTTTTGTATGTGGCAGAAGCTTTTACATTAGGATTTTTGTTTTCTAGTGGAAAGAGTGAAAGAACAATTAAAACTTTGCTTGGAGAACAAGAATGGCAGAGTGCAGACTGGCGAGTTAACGGTGGTGCTGGACGGATTGGTGATTGAGCCAGAAAACCTACTGAGCTGCAGCCCACCCCCAACCAGTAAGCTAACTGTGTGTGTGTAACATTGAGGAAAAGATTCAGCAGGAAGTATATACAAACCTAGTTTCTTTTTTTCTTGTTGTTCAGTAGAAATACAGCAAAATGGTGATGCCTTACATGAACACGGAGAGCCTTCAGCCAGGACGACGACCAGGTAGAGCCGCGTTGTAGTGTTTGTGGCAAAGCAACGTAATGTTTTTTGTACATGAGTTTTCATTATAACCTTAGTGTAGAGTTTCCTGTAGAATTTAAAACATGTCATTTTGATTGAATTCCCAAGAAAGTAGTTTAAAAAGCAGCTCTGTTGAGATACAGTGCACATGCCATAAAATCCACCCTCACACAGGATGCTGCGGTGGCGCTCAGTGTGGCCAGAGCGGCGTGCCCTTCCCTGCCCTCTGCTGTGATGAGACTCGCCCCCCCGCCCCCCCGGCCCCTGGCATCCATGGGTCTGCTTCTTGTCTCAGTCTCAGTAGTCCTCCTGTTTTGGACGTTTTATATCAATGCAGTTGACGCGTGACCTTCTGTGCCTGGTTCTCACTGAGCGCGAGGTGCACCATGTTGTAGCTGTCAGCGCTGCTTCTCATTGCGAGTGGGCTTAGGGCCGCATGGAGGCGTGGTCATCAGTCCGTGTGGGGTCGTGTGGGGTGGGGGTCTTCTTGCTGTCACAATCGCAGCTCCTGTGCACCACTGCAGACAGGACGTGGTGTTCCTCAGAAACCATCCTGCTATTTCAAAATACGCTTTTATTTACGCTTAATGGCAATTAAGAGAGGCTTTCTGTTTGAAATAATTAAAATTGTAGTACAGGTATGTAATAGATCAATATAAGGGAGTGAATACCCGGCGTCATAGCCGGGACTGCTGTGACAGCCACCGCTGCACTGGGGAACTGGGAGGCGGCAGTCGCTGACCAGCATGCTCCTTCCTGGGGGCCGTCTGTGGGTTCCCCTGGAGCACGTGAACATGAGGGTCTGCAGTTGGCTTAAGTAAGGTGTTTAGTGTTTGGTGTAGTGCACATTGAGAAATTAAGGACTGAAAGGGTACAACAATTAGGTTCATTGAAACTTACCGGAGTGTGTGTGTGTGTGTGTGTGTGTGTGTAAATCGGATGTTAGAGGGCTGAGGAGTGTAGCTCACTGCCCTCTGGCGCTGACATTGTTTATTGCATAGAAACACGTTTTGCATCAAAGATTTGCCCTGCGGCCCAGGAGAACCGCTGGTGGGCTCTTCAGCCCGACTTCCTGCCGGGCTGCTGGGGCGGGTTTGCACGTCCCAGTCATTGGTGGGCTCCTGTCAGGAGCGACCTGCCCAGACATTCTCCACACACCCGCTGTGCACACACATGGGCAGGCGGAGGGCGTGGCGTTTCTCACGCAGCAGACCCTCTGGGTGCCTGCTCTGGGCGGACACCAGTCCCAGCACCAGCCCAGCCCTGCTCCTGGGGACAGGCAGAAGCCCAGGAAGTCAGTCCGCGTGTCAGAGACAGCGGCGAGCACTGTGAAGTCACACAGGACAGGGAGAGGCCTGGAGTCACCTCCGAGGAAGTGCCATTTGAGCTCTGCTGAAAGAGAGCCGTCCGGTGGAGAGGGAGGAGCGGCAGTGCTATTTCTGGGGGGTTGTGCTCAGCAAGCCCTCGCTCGTAGTCCTCCTATAGCTGTAGTTGACTACTGCCTGACACAGTGACTGTGCGCAGCCCTCGAAGACGCAGTGTGCTTTCTCTGTTGAGTGACACGGATGCCATGGGTTCCTGCAAGGTGGGTGTGCAGGGTGTGGAGAGTAGGGCATAGGGCGGGCAGGGAGAGGGCAGATGGGGGGCAGGGAGAGGGCAGATGGGGGGCAGGGAGAGGGCAGATAGGGGGCAGGGAGAGGGCAGATGGGGGGCAGGCAGAGGGGGGGCTCTGAAAGCAGTGCTGGGTATGGTGAGAAGTCTGGGTCTCCTTCAGAAGGGAGGGACACAGTCTCACCTCAGTTCTAAAAGAAAACAAAGTCTGTGGCCAGGCTGTGGGGGCACAGGGGCTGTTGAGAAGCGGTCCCCATCGCCCAACCACTGTCCTCCGGCAGGGGACGCGGAACGCGTGCTTCTGGGGCTGTGGTTTCTGTTTGCCTCAGTCTTCAGACATCGGGTGTGAGTTATGATTGCTGAGCATTGGTTAAGAGTACCTGAGCCGGAAGAGCTCACATTCCAGTGCTTTGTAATAATTTATAGTCAACATTTGAAGACCTTTCCTCTGTTGAATAAAATTCCAATAGTTTGAAATGGATTTTTATGTTTCACAAGCATTTTGAAGATACTTTCAGAGGATTATAAACAAAGATTAATATTCTTAGACTTGAATATTTAAAATGTACAATTGAACATTATTTCGAGGGACTGACCTAATTTTGATTTTGTATAGTTATGTTTTTCAGCGTAGGGTTAGTTATCTGCTAGTATGGGACACACTTAGAACCAAAATTTTATTTTTATGTAAAAAGCATGCTGTGTATTCATTACTCTCTGGACCTCTCATTTTGTTTCAATGTTAAGAATTCAGTAACTTTTTATTGAAAATTCTGATCAAAAGTTACTTAATTGTACTGAACTCATTGAAGTCAGGCATGTTTTTGTTTTACAGGTTGGCTGCTGAAGGTCCCAACAGAATAGATAACCACGTACTTACCAACACTGTGGTGCAGGACTCCTGCTGTTCCCGTGTGGTGAACGGAGACAGCGCACCGTCCTCTCCATCTCAGGGTGCGGCCAGGCCCCAGAACCCCCCAGCCCCACGACCACGCACGCCTGAGCCTGCCAGTGACACTGGTAAGCTCCGCTGTTCTGACTGGCTGTGTCCACGGGACTCGGTGACCTGTGTCTGTGCCACACAACCTCAGTGACGGGACAGGAGTGTGTACAGTGTCCTGACAGGCTGTGTCCCTGTGACGCGTGTCTGTGCCGCACTCCTCACTGTGCCGTCTGTCCTCAGTGACGGGACAGGAGTTTGAACGTTGCAGTACCTGGAATTTTTTGGAAATAGTTTTGAATTTTCTACATTACTTAGGAAAATATGCCAAAAATATATTAGTTTAGAGATCACAACACATTTCACTAGGCAGGTAGCTCGTTTTTAGACTTTTTGCCACTAAAATACTATGTGATTCATAATAGGGAGTATATTTCTAAAAGAAGTTAAGTGAATTTATTGATTTGTTAGTAATAAGTGGCTCTTTTAACCTGATTTTTAGTACACAGAATTTATTTCTTGACATGTAACTTGGTAGAAAAATGTACTATAAGCGGGTTTAGCTCTCAGAGCGTTTTATATTTTTCAAGAGTAACTGTTATCTATTATGGGAGGAAGATTTCTCTGATCCTCTTTGGTCAGTGAAATAAATCAGCTATAAATTTCATGAATTATTTTTTGTTTGATCTTTATATATTAAGTCTCTCAGGCGAATCTCTTGAAAGACAAACATTTTAGGACTTGCTTAGATGACTAGCAGGTGTACTGGGTGGGAGTCATAGGCTCTTGGTTCTAGAGCCTGTGTTCTTTCCTTTGCTCTCTATGACAAAATTTTCAAAAGTAGAAACATAGAGAAGTGATTAAATGAAAAGAGATGGATTTATAGATGAGACTATTTGCATTTAAACTCACGTTGGGGATATTTACCATGTATTATCCTGAAAATTTTTGTAAACACGGAAACTGACATGAACTTTTAATTTGTTTTAATTAAAAAAATTTTTTCTTTATTGATTTTAGAGGGACAGAAAGAGAGATAGAAACATCAATGAGAGGGAACATCAATTGGCTGCCTCCTGCATGCCTCCCACTGGGGATTAGGCCCACAACCCAGGCATGTGTCCTGACCAGGAATTGAACTGGCGACCTCTTGGTGCATGGGTTGATGCTCAGCCACTGAGATACACCAGCCGGGCTGAACTTTTTATTTTATTAATGTTTGCTTTTTTTTATTGATTTTGTTTTTTAGAGAGAGAGATAGAAACATCAATGTGAGAGAGATACATCTATCAGGTGCCTCCTGCAAGTCCCCTACTGGAGATCAAGCCCACAACCCGGACATGTGCCTTGACCAAGAATTGAACTGGGACCTCTCAGTCCATGGGACCATGCTTGATCCACTGAGCCACACTGCCCAGGCAATTTTTTTTCCCAATTTTTATTTATTTTTGCTACAGATGTTGAGTTACTTCCTTTTGTTGAGTTTTATGAGTACTCTCTTTTTTCCCTGCTAGACAATCTCCTCCCCATCCCGCCTCCCCCTTCCCCCCAGGATTGTTATCTATGTCCATTGGTTACTCATACATGCATATAAGTTCTTTGGTTTATCTCATACATCCTCCTCCCCACGCCCCCCGAGGTTTGTCAGACTGAATCGTATTCCTTTCTATGTCTCTGGGTCTGTTTTGTTCATTATATTCCACAAATAAGCTAGATCATGTGGTTTTTGTCTTTCTCTGATTGGCTTATTTCATTTAGCATAATGCTCTCCATGTCCCTCCATGTCATCTCAAAGGATAAGAGATCTTTCTTACAGCTGCATAGTATTCCATTGTGTAGATGTACCACAGCTTTTTTATCCACTCATCTACTGATGGACACTAGGGCTATTTCGAGATCTTAGCAATTGTAAATAGTGCTGCTATGAACATAGGGGTACATATATTCTTTCTGATTGGTGTTTCAGGCTTCTTAGGGTATATTCCTAGAAGTGGGATCACTGGATCAAATGGCAGACCAATTTTTAATTTTTTGAGGAAACACCATATTGTTTTCCATAGTGGCTGCACCAGTCTGCATTCCCAACAGCAGTACTAGAGTTTCCTTTTCTCCACACCCTTGCCAGCACTTGTTGTTTGATGATTTGTTGATGGCGGCCATTCTGACAGGTGTGAGGTGATACCTCATTGTTTTAATTTGCATCTCTCTGATGATTAGTGATGTTGAGCATTTTTTCATATGCCTCTTGGCCATTGGTATGTCCTTTTTGGATAGGTGTCTGTTTAGGTCCTCTGCCCATTTTTTAATTGGGTTCTTTGTCTTCCTTTTGTTGAGTTTTATGAGTACTCTATATATTTTGGAAATTAACTCTTTATCTGATGTATGATTGGCAGTTATGCTCTCCCATATAGTGGGTTCTCTTTCTATTTTGATGCTAGTTTCTTTTGCTTTACAGAAACTTTTTAGTTTGATGTAGTCCCATGTGTTCATTTATTCCTTTGTTCCTCTTGCCCCAGGCATTGTATCAGTGAAAATTATGCTGCGTGTGATGTTTGAAAATCTGTTGCCTACATGTTCTTCTAGGATATTTATGGATTCATGAGTCACATTTAAGTCTTTTATTTATTTTGAGTTTATTCTTGTGTATGATGTAAGCTGGTGGTCTAGTTTCATTTTTTTTGCGTGTAGCTGTCCAATTTTCCCAGTACCATTTATTAAAGAAACTGTCTTTACTCCATTGTATGCTCTTGCCACCTTTGTCAAATATTTATTGAGCATAATGTCTTGAGTCAGTTTCCAAGTTCTCTGTTCTGTTCCATTGATCTATATACCTGTTCCTTGTTACAGTACCAAACTGTTTAGATTACAGTGGCTTTGTAATATAATCTGATACCTGGTATTGTGATCCCTCCTACTTTGTTCTTTATTTTGAAGATTACTGTGGCATTTAGGGGTCTTTTTTCATTCCATGTAAACTTTTGAAGTATTTGTTCTAGTTCTGTGAAATATGTTGTTGGTATTTTGATGGGGATTGCATTGAATCTATAGATTGCTTTGGGTAGTATGGACATTTTAATGATGTTAGTTCTTCCAATCCATGAACAATGTGTGTGCTTCCACTTTTTTATATCTTCCTCTATTTCTTTTTTCAATGTCCTGTACTTTTCTGCAAATAGGTTCTTTACTTCTTTAGTTAAGTTTATTCCTAGGTATCTTCATTTTTTTTGCTGCAATAGTAAATGGGATTTTTGTTTTGTTTTGTTTTTAGTTTCTTGTTCTGTGAGTTCATTATTGGTGTATAAGAGTGCCATTGATTTCTTGATGTTAATTTTGAATTCTGCTACCTTATCAAATTTGTTTACTAAATCTAGTAGGTTTTTGATGGAGTCTTTAGGGTTTTCTATGTACGATATCATGTCATATTCAAATAATAGTTTCACTTCCTCCTTTCCAATTTGGATCCCTTTATTTTTTCTTCATGTCTGATTGCTATGGCTAAGACTTCCAGTACTATGTTAAATAAGCGTGGTGAAAATGGACATCCCTGTCTTGTTCCTGTTCTTTAGGGAAATGCTTTTAGTGTTTGTCCATTGAGTATGATGTTGGTGTAGGTTTTTCATATATGGCCTTTATTATTTCAAGATATGATCCCTCTATTCACACATTGATGAGCGTTTTTATCAGAAATGGGTGCTGGATTTTGTTGAATGCTTTTTCAGCATGTATTAATATGATTATTTTGTCTTTTATTTTGTTTATGTGGTGTATCACATTTATTGATTTGTGAATATTGTACCAGCCTTGCATCCCTGGTATGTATCCCACTTGGTCACAGTGAATAATTTTTTTGATGTATTGCTGGATTCAATTTGCTAATATTTTAAGGATTTTGGCATCTATGTTCATCAGGGATATTGGCCTGTAGTTTTCTTTCTTTGTAGTGTCTTTATCTGGTTTTGGAATTAGAATTATGCTGGCCTCATAAAACAAGTTTGGAAGTCTTCCTTCTTCTTGAATTTTTTGGAATAGTTTGAGGAGAATGGGTGTTATTTCTTTTTTGAATGTTTGGTAAAACTCCCCTGTGAAGCCATCCGGGCCTGGGTTTGCTGGGAGTTTCTTGATTACATCTTCAATTTCCTTAGTTGTAATTGGTCTGTTCAAGTTTTCTATCTCATCCTGGTTCCATTTTGGGAGACTATGTGTTTCTAGAAATTTGTCCATTTTGCTTAGATTGTACAGTTTGTGGCCGTATAATTGTTCACAGTATTTGTTAACGATCCTTTGTATTTGCAGTATAATTGTTCATAGTATTTGTTAACGATCCTCTGTGGTGTGGGTTGTTACTTTTCCTTTTTTGTTTCTGATTTTGTTTATTTGGGTCCTCTTTGTTTCTTGGTGAGTCTAGCTAAGGGTCCATCAATCTTGTTTATCTTTCAGAGAACCACCTTTTTGTTTCATTGATCTTTTGAATTTTTTTTTTTGGTTTTTATGTTGTTTATTTCTGCTCTGATCTTTACTGGTTATTTCCTTCTACTTGCTCTGGGGTTTTCCTTTTGTTTGCTTTCTAGTTCTTTAGGTTGTGAGGATAGATAGTCAGTTAGAGATTTTTCTTGCTTCTTGAGGTAGGCCTGTAATGCTATGAACTTCCCTCTCAGAACTGCTTTCTCTGCATCCCACAAATTTTGTGTTGTTGTGTGTTCATTTTATTTGGTTTCCAGGACGTTTTAAATGTCTTTCTTTTCTCTTTCATAACCCATTCATTGTTTAGTAACATGCTTTTAGTCTCCATGTGGTCAAATATCCTTGTGTGGTTTTGTTGTAATTGATTTCTAGTTTCATGCCATTGTGATCTGAGAAGATGCTTGATATGATTTCAATCTTCTTGAACCTGTAGAGATTTAGTTTGTGTTCTAACATGTGGTCTGTCTTTGAGAATGTCCCATGTGCACTTGAGAAGAATGTGTATTCTGTAGTTTTGGGGTGTAATTCTCTGTAGATATCTATTAAATCCATTTGGTCTAGTGCTTCATTTAGAGTCTCTGTTTCCTTGTTAATCTTTTATCTAGAGGATCTATCCAGTGATGTCAGCGGGGTGTTGAAGACCCCTGCTATGATTGTATTGCTGTTGATTTTCCTTTGAAGTCTTCCAGAAGATTTTTAATATATTTTGGTGCTCCTATATTGGGTGCATATATGTTTACCAAGGTTATATCTTCCTGTTGGATAGTTCCTTTCAATATTATGTAGTGGCCTTCTTTGTCTCTAGTTATAGCCTTCCTCTATTTTATCAGATATGAGTATTGCTACCCCACCTTTTTTTCCTTTCTGTTTGCTTGGACGATTTTTTTTTTTTTAATCTCTTCACTTTCAACCTATGTGAATCTTTTGTTGTGAGGTGGGTCTCTTGTAAACAACATATATATGAGTTATGCTTTCTTATCCAGTCAGCTACTCTTTGTCTTTTGATCACAGCATTCAATCCATTTTCATTGAAGGTTATTATTATTTTCTTCCACTTGATATATCTTACAATTTATTTAAAATTATTACCTAAAGAGCTTCATTCTTTTTTTTTACTTCTCTTATTTTATAACGTTACATTTTGTGTGTGTGTGTGTGTATGGTTAATACATATATATATATGGTTATTACTGATATGTACTTATTTATTGCCATTGTTGTTTATTGTGGTTATCTTTTTCTTCCTCTTTCTTCTACTAATTACAGCAGTCCTTTTAACATTTCTTGCAGTGCTGGTTTGATACTAATATATTTCCTTAGCCTTTTTTTGTCTGGGAAGCTTTTTATTTCACCTTCTATTTTGAATGATAGCTTTGCTGGATAAGAGTAGTCTTGGATTCAGATCCTTGTTTTTCATGACCTTGAATACTTTATGTCATTCCCTTTTGGCCTGTTGTGTTTCTGTTGAGAAGTCAGCTAATAGCCTTATGGGGGCTCCTTTGTAGGTAACCTGTTGCTTATCTCCTGCTGCCTTTAGGATTCTCTCTTTGTCTTTAATTTTTGGCATTTTATTTATGATGTGTTTTGGTGTGGGCCTGTTCGGATTCTTCTTACTTGGGGCTCTTTGTGTTTCTTGAACTTGAATGCCTTTTTTCTTCAAGTTAGGAAATTTTCTGTCACTGTTTCTTCAAATATATTCTCTAACCTTTACTTATTTTTTTCTTTTTCTGGAACTCCTATGATGCAAATGATGTTACATCTACACTTGTCCCACAGTTTTTTTAAACTGTCTTCTTGTTTTTTAATTGTTTTTTCTTTCCGGTTTTCTGATAGGGTGATTTTTTTCTACCCTGTCTTCTAATTCGCTGATTTGGTCCTCAGCTTCTTCTACTCTGCTGGTTATTTCTTCAGTGTGTTCTTTATTTCTACTGTATCATTTTTTACTTCTAGTTGGTTGGTTTTCAGTGTTTCTATATTTTTACTAATGGTGTTGAGCTACCTCATTATCATTGCTCTGAACTTTACCTCTGATAACTTGCTTAACTGCATTTCATTTATGTCATGTTCAGTAGAGTTCTCTTATTCTTTTATTTGGGATTTGTTTCTTTGTTTTACCCATTTTGGCTGTCTCAGTGGATTTTGGAGCCTGCCAAATTTTCCCTGTGGGTGTTGGTGTTCTGCTGTTTGTGGCTCACTCCACTGGTTTGGATGAGTGTGTGAGGACTCACATTAAACACCATGGTCAAGTCTTACTTCCCCGGGTAGATTTTCAAGGCCAAGAAAGGTTCAGTTATCCTCTAGCTTTTTGCCTGGCGGCTATTAGTCTCAGTTACTTGATGAGCCTTGTGTTGTAGCCCTCAGCTGAATGAAAAACTCCCTCAGTCCCTGGCCAGTTTACTCAGTGATTAGAGTGTCAGCCTGTGGACCAGAGAGTTCTGGATTCAGTTCTGCAAAGGGTATGTACCATGTTGCAGTTTGTCCTCGGCTCTGGGTTGGGGTCGTGTGGGTGGCAACCACTCAGTGTAGCTGTTCTCTCACATTGATGTTTCTCTCTCTTCCTCCCTCTCTCCCTCCCCCTGTATCTCAATATAAATGCAAAAATGTCCTTGGGTGAGGATAAAAAAAAAAGAAAGAAAGAAAAACTTCCTCAGGTGTTCACGGTAAGAGGATTTCCAGAAGGTGGGGCAGATGGTGGCTATTAACGAGCCTCAATTTGCATTTCTCTGCCCAGCTGGGTGGTGTTCAGTTTCTGAGGGAGGGGCTGTTGCTTCTCCCTGGGGTTTTGGGAAGGCCTCTTTTAGTAAGATGTCTACTGTCCTGTGAAGGAGTGACTCAGCACAAAACTCCCAGTTCCGGCAATTTTTTTAAAAGAATGTAATTGGCATATTAATTCTGCCCTCTTAAAAAAGTATCTGAATTTGCTCTGGCAGAGTGTCGTTCCATTCACCAAAAGGTTGTGGGTTTGATTCCTGGTCCGGGCACATAACCTAGGTTGCCAGTTGAATTCTCAGTTGAGACGTGTGTGGGAGGCAACCACTAATGTTTCTTTCTCTCTCTCTAAAAATCAATAAAAATACCTCCTCAGGTGAGGATTTAAAAAAATGTTTCATCCCTGTTCGCCATCATCTGAAGGATGTTGAATTTGGTGACTCGGCTCTTTTTGCCAAAGTACTCGGCTGTTTTGAGTCAATCGCTGCAGGAACCCATTGACTAGCAGTTTCTAGCTGTTTTATATTAGGGTATATTCAGGTGTTGATGCAAAAGGTAGAATCTTATTTACAACCTTCAGCTTATCAGGTACTTTATTTATTTATTTATTTGTTTATTCATTTATTTTTTTGGTACGTGCCCCTAGCGGGAACCGAACCCAGGACTCTCTGGTCCACAGGCCATCGCCCCAACTGCTGAGCCAAACCGGCCAGGGCGTGTCAGGTACTTTAGAGACTCTTTCCTTCGGGAATGAATTCCCTTTATTGTCCTTGCCTGAAATCCCAAGGGGAGAATAAAACACACACGTGAGAAACTGGAAATGAAGTGTAGACTAAATCACTCCTGTGACAGTCTCAGTGACCACAAGGAACCCCAGGGCCGTCAGGATGTCCCTGTCTGGATGCTGTGCCTCCGTTTTCTGACTGAACAATCACAGTGACTCTGGTCCTAGAGGAGCTGACCGGGAGCGCACGGTGCCACCTGTCTGGCCTCCGCTCCACCCTGGACGGCCCCGTCACCACAGGGCGTGGACTTGGACCATGTCTTGGGGTTGTGCAGTTGCACTTCCAGGCCATAGTAGCCTCAGATAAGCAACCAGCCAGCACAGCGGTTTCCGCCCGTCCGATCATTGCTGGTGCCGTCTGACAAAGGGCTCCTGTCGTCGCTCCACTGGCCCGTCTGCTAAGGCTTCTGGACCTGCTCTGTGGGCAGCACCCACTGGGCCAGTATCTTTCATACTGTTGGGCCTTACTGGGAGGATGAATTCAGGTGTGTTTTCAGGGAATGGTCATCCCTTTTCAGGTGTTAGTGTACAAGTGGTATTCCTCTTTTGAATGAAGGACTTTAAAAATCAGTTTTTATGTTGGAGTGAGGGCGCAATGTGCATGTCTGTGTCTGACAGATGACTGGTTCTTGATCCCTTCCCTGTGACAGCCATGACCCTAGATCTCTAAGGCCAAGGGGTCAGTTTGTTTTTTGGTAAACTCATTCGTTGGCAGGATGACTAGACCTGATCTGAGGGTGTTTGAGTGTATCCTGCAGGGCAAGTGTCCCTGCCTTTGGAGGGCATGGGGGGGCATCCCTGCCTTTGGAGTGTGTGGTGCGGGGGGGAGGGGCATCCCTGCCTTTGGAGTGTGTGGTGCGGGGGGGAGGGGCATCCCTGCCTTTGGAGTGTGTGGTGCGGGGGGGAGGGGCATTCCTGCCTTTGGAGTGTGTGGTGCGGGGGGAGGGGCATTCCTGCCTTTGGAGTGTGTGGTATGGGAAGCGTCCCTGCCTTGGGCTGCAGGAATGTCTGTGGTTAATAACAATGTAGGCCCAGACCTGCTCAGGGTGAGTGCGATGTACATATGTGTGTCCTGCCACCGTCCTGAGCCCCGCAGAGCTGTGAGGTGTGGATGCCAAGGGCCTGGGCTGGTGCTAAATGGGAAATTCGAGACCAAGGGTTTCTCCAGAGACAGGTGGCTCGTGACAGCTTCCCCTTCGCTTTCTTGAGTCTTGATTAGGGGATCCATTTGAAGTTTAGATGCTGCGAACGTTGGTTGTTATTTTAAGCTAAACATAAGCAGTCGTGATGTGGTGAAGATCAGACTCGGCTTCTCACAGGATGAGGCCAGACTCCGCTCTGCCACTTCACACGCTTACCAGTGTGAGCCCTTGGCTGTGCTGCGTCATCGTGGGGGGCTGGCTGCTTGTCACTGTGTCAGACTGTTCATTTGCCCTTTGCAGTTAATGGAGAACCGTCCTCACCTGTACCAGCTGATGGCGCTCTGGCTGTAGGGCCGTCCATGGCCCCCGAGGACAGTGTGTCATCGTCAGGTTACACTGGAATCACTGGTGAGGAGGCCCCCGTTCCAGAAGTGTCAGCAGCCTCAGAGCCCAGTGGACGTGTCCTCTCGGACGGTGCAGCGCTCGGGGCTGGGGTTGGCGGGGGGCCGGACCTGGACCCTGCCGCCTCTGCCTCTGCAAACAGCCCTGCCTTCGAAGCTGCCAAGTCCCGGCAGCTGAGCGGGGCTGCGGAGCCCGGGAGGAACGCCGGCACGGAAAGCCTGCCCTCGGGGTACGTTCCACCAGGTGTGTGGTGACGCTTGCTGCTGACCGAGTGTGTGGGGCTTTCCCTCCTCTATGCGCTGCGACTCCCCTCACTGCAGCGTGCAGCCCGTCCTGCACCTGCTGCCCCGGGAGCCCCCACCCTGCTTCCTGTGAGCATTTCAAACCCCCACTGTCCTCCCTGCCCCTCAGAATCTCTGGTTGGCCCTTAGCCATTGACTCCGGTCTGTCACGTGTCCGCCACTGACACACATGCGAGAACCTGTTCCTGCTGTCAGGGACCTCATGGTCCAGCGGGTGAGACGGGCGCACGGCACAGTTGGGGATGCGGGGGACGCCCTACACAGCTGCCGTGGATGGGCTCTCCAGGAGACATGGCCCGAGTGCTTTCTCAGGAGGAGCGGGGTCCGCGCAGCATGGCCGGGGGCAGGTGCTCAGTCTCATTCACAGGAGCCGAATTGTGCTCGGACCGAGCTCCTGGTCCTGCTGGGGTCAGTGGGGAGGCGAGGTGTGCCCTGCAAGAGGAGACCCTGCGGAGGGGCTGACGGCTCGTCCTGCGGGAGTTCAGGGCAGGATGCCACGCCTGAGCATGAGAAGGTCCTGCTGGCAGTCCTGTGGCCTGAGGGGGAGCCAGGGGAGCAGTCGGGATAGGAACTGAGTTCTGTGGGGGCCACGTCAGTGTTTCAGCCACTGTACGTGGTCAGGGCAGTGGGAGGTTGTTGCCTCTGAGCTGTGGGCCACTGTCCTAGGGAGGAGTTAGAACAGCCTGAACTAAGGTAGATGTTGCCTTTCGGGGTGATGATGGGCTGGGGATCAGCTGTGACCGGGAGGAGGAACGGGATGAGGAGCCCAGGGCTCCGACTCCACAGGACCTGGCAGGTGTAACCCAGTCAGTGCTCAGATCTGCGTCTTCCCTCTGCTCACCAGCCTCAGGCCCTGCACCCGTGCTCCCTTTCCGGCGCTGAGTTGTCTAGCCAGTGCAGTGGCATCCCCATGCCCCACCTCAGCACCTTCCACCCCTGCTGCCGAGGCTGCACTAGGCACCCTCTCCCCCGACACTCCCTCCTGGGGGTGGACCATCTGGAGTGGCAGCTCGATGTTGCCTCCGCGGGGCCAGTGGCCAGGAGAGGAGAGGCGGAGTCGCTGGGCAGAGATGACACTGACCAGGCCTCTCACTCTGGACCAGGCATCTGTGTCCTCAGAATGTCGACAGCTTGCCCACAACCCCAGATGCCCCACCCAGAAAACGGGGTGGGTGGCAGAATTTTCTCTTATTACATTTGTACCTACATAATCATCTCAATTTGCCTCTTGCCCCATGAAATGTGAATAGTCACTGCCTGGCGCACAGCAAGCGTCCTCCCGTGGTGTGGAAACAGTCAGCAGATTTGCAGACGGGCTCTGAGTGTCACGGGCTGGGCTGCAGGCAGTTGAGTTTGAGAAAGGTGAATTCTGTGTAGAGTGAAAACCAAATCCTAGGAGTGATCTTTCATTTTGGAAAATGTGAGAACCAGTGGCAGCATTAAGTGCTTACTGAATACTTACTTCTTGAACGTTAAGTTGGAAACATTTGCAGTTGACTTAGGATAAAACTGAAAACGGGCTTCGTGGCTGTTTATGTGGACAAAGCCCTTGGTTCTCTCCTGGCCAAATCCTAGAGTGTTGGCCGCCAGGACTGCGCCTTCCACCTGGGACGGGGTGTCTTCTACGGAAGACCCCTCCCAGCAGAGATTAAAAATACTGCCGTCTGCTTGTTCTCCAGTGAAACCCCCTTCGTTAATCCCACAGCACACAGAGCCAGCCCCCAGGCAGCCTCAGGTCCCCTGCTCTTAGACATCCGAGGGGAAGCTCTCATTGAAAGGCAGAGATCAAAACACATAACCTGGCAAGTGCCCCTTGGAGAACCAGGCCACATCAGTGTCCTCAGAGGGAGGGGAGCAGAGAGGACATCAGTTAGACGACGAGACGTTATAAAACGGATACGCAAATAACAAAAGCTCTTGGAAACCTAATTCAGTGGAAGATTCTGCTGATGAAGGTAGAGAAATTTCTCAGAAAGTAGAACAAAAAGATACATGTGTAATATAGAAGGTCTGATAGAGAAGTTCCAGAAAGATAGAAAATGGGGGAAATCCTTAACAAAATATTCACCACAGAACTCACAACCCGAAGGACAGGGCTTTCTTATTGGAAAAACTTGCCAAAGCTCAGGTCTGGAAATAATTGGGAAAAGAAACAATGTTATAATATATATGTAGGCTTTTAAAGTGAAGTTTATTGGGGCTGAAGACAAAGTCCTAAGCAGTCCCGGAGGCTACAGAGGGGCAGGCAGGCCCTGGCCGGTTTGGCTCAGCGGTTAGAGTGTCGGCCTGTAGTCCAGAGAGACCCGGGTTTGGTTCCCGCTGAGGGCACATACCTCGGTTGCAGTCTGTCCCCGGCCCTGGTTGGGTCGTGCGGGTGGCAACCACTCGATGTGTCCCTTCACATTGATGTTTCTCTCTCTTTCTCTCCCCCACTCTATCTGAACAAAAAATGGAAAGATGTCCTCTGGTGAGGATAAAAACAAAACAAAAGCAAAAACAGAGGGGCAGGCAGGTCTCACAGTCCTCAGAGTCCCCGAGAAGCTGGGGCAGTGGCTAGGCCAGTGCTGAGGGACATGGTCTGTGCCCTGGAGCTCTGCCAGCCACACTGCTGAGAGAGACTCCTGGGCTCCGCCAGGTTTCTGCCCGGTGTCCTTCCCGGAAGCTGCCAGGACCCGTGTGCTCCGAAACCAGGCAGGGCAGGAGAAGGGCTCGGTCCCGGGAGCTGGGTCTGAGAAGTGGGAAGGGTTCCCGTGCCCGACTCAGCAGACGAGTCCCTGCAGTTAGTGAAGATGGGACCAGAGAAGGAAGAAGGTGGGAGGGCAGGGAGGGGACAGTGCTGTCTGCCTAGCTCAGTCATGTAAGGAAGGGCCTGTCACACGTGTTAGTGCATGTGTGCGTGCGTGTATGTGCACATACAGGGAAGACATGGACAGCCTCATCTGTGTACTTTGTTCCGGGAACAGAGTTAGTGTGTGTGGTTGTTGCACAGGGAAATGGCATCAAAGGCCCCGCTGATCAAAAAGAAATAAAATGTAATTGGGTCCCTGTGTTTAAGAGAAAGAGAAGTATTTTCTATTTATTCTACTTTTAAATTGAATACAAGAATGTTACACTGAGAACTACCAGGTTTTTATTTTGTATGTTTCTTCTGTATCACATTAAGGAAAGACTGGAGGGAAGAAGCAGGGGTCGCAGAAGAGAACAAGAGGGTGGGGAGTAAAGGGTGAGTCTTCAGGGTGGAGGAGAGAAGGTAGAACGGGGTTTCTGCAGACTCGCAGCCAACCCAAACCAGAGAGGGACAGCTGTGAGAAGAGAAGAGACCTGGGTGCACACCGAGGGGGAGCTGGTGGAGCAGGGACCCCGCCCACTTCTTCCAGGCAGTTTCTGCCGAAATCTGTCACACAGGTGGTTTTGAAATTGCAGGCAAAGGTGGATGTTACATCACTGACATTTTGTGCCTTGTGCTTGATATTAGACTGAAAGTTCCTCTACCTTTGATTAAATTTCTTTTCTCATTATTTGAAACTCTATAAATTAGTATCTTTCAAAAACTTTACATATTACATTCTGTAATATGCTAACTATATTTACTGAGTTTTCAGCAGCCTTAATGAGAAAGAAAACATTCAAGAACTTAAAAAGCACTAATAATTGAGAAAAGAAACAATGTTATGACATATATGTAGGCTTTTAAAGTGAAGTTTATTTGTAACTTCCCTGGCTATAAGAAGGAATGTGTTTCATATTGTGTTATTTGTTGTTATTTACAGATATTTTTGCATTTTTTCCTAAGGTGGGAGCAGAGGAAAGACCCTCATGGAAGAACCTATTACGTGGATCACAACACGCGGACGACCACGTGGGAGAGGCCACAGCCTTTGCCCCCAGGGTAGGGTGCAATCCGCTGTCTTCGGCTGTTTGATCAAACATGTGGTTTCACATTGACTTTCTATGACAACAAGAGTCTCTCATTCTGTGTACTGTCTCCTTACGTTGCCAGAAGGGCTTGCTGAGAGCTTGTCAAACGCTGGAATGCGTTACTGAGGGTCACTGCAGAGTTTGGTCCAGTGTTCATCCCTGTTTACGTTATAGGGAATGAAAGGCAGTTTATCCACATGGTTCTCATAGATAGTGATACAGACCCCGTTGCTCCAAGGTATCTCCTGGTAGATGGTGGTGTGGTTCACGGCCCACGAAGTTGCCACAGTGAGCTGCATTACGTGTGGCTGACATAATAGAGGTTGCGGTCACCCAGTCCCTGCAGGCATTCACAGACTGATATCTCTGGTCTTCCCTTTTGTGTCTTCATCTCCTGAGCACCCCCTGCGATAGCCCCTTGGTCATTATTCATAGCGCCCCGACTCCGCCTGCGTCTTGCATTTTCCTTGTCATCCTTGCCACTTGCCATCCTTGTCCACCAGCGCAAGCACATTCCATGTCGTGAAAGTCAAGGCAAGGAACATTCTCTGGGAGATTGGTTGCTGAGAGGATTCCGAGATTGTTGTGTAAATCCGTGACCACAGTGGACTCTGGAGGACAGGTGTGCCCAGGAGTGCAGAAACAGGGAAGGGCATTCGGTTCTCAGGTACCGGGAGAGGGTTCACTTCGCTCCATGTGTGTCCCTGGAAGCAGCGTCAGGGTGTCGAGCACTGAGGCTGGAATGGATCGAGCTCATTTCTGAGCTGCACCTGACAGCTGTGGCAGGTGGGACGGTGGGACTGTGCCTGCCGCTCAGGTCGCCAATGGAGAGTAGGCAAATAGCCAGCAGAAGCCTGCTCGATGTGGCGGTGGCTGTGGTGTACTGCAGGCACACTGTGTGCAGTCTGCTGGTCAGAAGCCTGCTCGATGTGGCCGTGGCTGTGGTGTACTGCAGGCACACTGTGTGCAGTCTGCTGGTCAGAAGCCTGCTCGATGTGGCCGTGGCTGTGGTGTACTGCAGGCACACTGTGTGCAGTCTGCTGGTCAGAAGCCTGCTCGATGTGGCGGTGGCTGTGGTGTACTGCAGGCACACTGTGTGCAGTCTGCTGGTCAGAAGCCTGCTCGATGTGGCGGTGGCTGTGGTGTACTGCAGGCGTACTGTGTGCAGTCTGCTGGTCAGAAGCCTGCTCGATGTGGCGGTGGCTGTGGTGTACTGCAGGCGTACTGTGTGCAGTCTGCTGGTCAGAAGCCTGCTCGATGTGGCGGTGGCTGTGGTGTACTGCAGGCACACTGTGTGCAGTCTGCTGGTCAGAAGCCTGCTCGATGTGGCGGTGGCTGTGGTGTACTGCAGGCGTACTGTGTGCAGTCTGCTGGTCAGAAGCCTGCTCGATGTGGCGGTGGCCGTGGTGTACTGCAGGCGTACTGTGTGCAGTCTGCTGGTCAGAAGCCTGCTCGATGTGGCGGTGGCCGTGGTGTACTGCAGGCACACTGTGTGCAGTCTGCTGGTCAGAAGCCTGCTCGATGTGGCGGTGGCTGTGGTGTACTGCAGGCGTACTGTGTGCAGTCTGCTGGTCAGAAGCCTGCTCGATGTGGCGGTGGCTGTGGTGTACTGCAGGCGTACTGTGTGCAGTCTGCTGGTCAGAAGCCTGCTCGATGTGGCGGTGGCCGTGGTGTACTGCAGGCACACTGTGTGCAGTCTGCTGGTCAGAAGCCTGCTCGATGTGGCGGTGGCCGTGGTGTACTGCAGGCGTACTGTGTGCAGTCTGCTGGTCAGAAGCCTGCTCGATGTGGCGGTGGCTGTGGTGTACTGCAGGCGTACTGTGTGCAGTCTGCTGGTCAGAAGCCTGCTCGATGTGGCCGTGGATATGGTGTACTGCAGGCACACTGTGTGCAGTCTGCTGGTCAGAAGCCTGCTCGATGTGGCGGTGGCCGTGGTGTACTGCAGGCACACAGTGCAGTCTGCTGGTCAGAAGCCTGCTCGATGTGGCCGTGGCTGTGGTGTACTGCAGGCGTACTGTGTGCAGTCTGCTGGTCAGAAGCCTGCTCGATGTGGCGGTGGCTGTGGTGTACTGCAGGCGTACTGTGTGCAGTCTGCTGGTCAGAAGCCTGCTCGATGTGGCATTGGCCTTGGTGTACTGCAGGCGTACTGTGTGCAGTCTGCTGGTCAGAAGCCTGCTCGATGTGGCGGTGGCTGTGGTGTACTGCAGGCGTACTGTGTGCAGTCTGCTGGTCAGAAGCCTGCTCGATGTGGCCGTGGCTGTGGTGTACTGCAGGCACACTGTGTGCAGTCTGCTGGTCAGAAGCCTGCTCGATGTGGCGGTGGCTGTGGTGTACTGCAGGCACACTGTGTGCAGTCTGCTGGTCAGAAGCCTGCTCGATGTGGCGGTGGCTGTGGTGTACTGCAGGCGTACTGTGTGCAGTCTGCTGGTCAGAAGCCTGCTCGATGTGGCATTGGCCTTGGTGTACTGCAGGCACACTGTGTGCAGTCTGCTGGTCAGAAGCCTGCTCGATGTGGCATTGGCCTTGGTGTACTGCAGGCACACTGTGTGCAGTCTGCTGGTCAGAAGCCTGCTCGATGTGGCATTGGCCTTGGTGTACTGCAGTCACACTGTGTGCAGTCTGCTGGTCAGAAGCCTGCTCGATGTGGCCATGGTGTACTGCAGGCACACAGTGCATGCAGTCTGCTGGTCAGGACGGGAGAAGGTGCGCTCAGGTTCATCTGGGATGGCTCAATGTGGGGTCCCTTCTGGAGGCCCATCCTTAGAAATGACATGTGGTGGGACAAAAGGTATTTACGTAATATAAAGAGCAAGTTACATGTTCATAGTTTTTCTGAAAAAGAATTATAATTTACATTGTTTTAAGTTATTGTATCGTGGCTTGGACTTGATTTTTAAATCATTTGCTTCAAGTTTTGACTTACTGCTTCTCAGCGTCTTCTACTGAGAGATTGTGTTTTTTTTGTTGTCGCTGTCTTGGTGGTAGCTGGGAGAGAAGAGTGGATGACCGTGGCAGGGTGTACTATGTGGATCACAACACCAGGACAACCACGTGGCAGCGACCGACACTGGAGTCTGTGCGGGACTTTGAACAGTGGCAGTCGCAGCGCAACCAGCTGCAGGGCGCCCTCCAGCAGTTCAACCAGCGCTACCTCTACTCGGTGAGCGCCCGAGGCCTGGCGGCCCTTCCCTGGGCTCCATTCCATCCCCCCCCCAGGCTCCATTCCTCCGAGTTCCATTCCATCTCATTCCATTCCCCCGGGTTCCATTCCCCCCCGGGTTCCATTCCCCCCCGGGTTCCATTCCCCCGAGTTCCATTCCATCTCATTCCATTCCCCCGGGTTCCATTCCCCCGGGTTCCATTCCCCCCCGGGTTCCATTCCCCCGGGTTCCATTCCCCCCCGGGTTCCATTCCCCCCCGGGTTCCATTCCCCCGGGTTCCATTCCCCCGAGTTCCATTCCATCTCATTCCATTCCCCCGGGTTCCATTCCCCCGGGTTCCATTCCCCCGAGTTCCATTCCCCCCGGGTTCCATTCCCCCCCGGGTTCCATTCCCCCGGGTTCCATTCCCCCGGGTTCCATTCCCCCCGGGTTCCATTCCCCCCCGGGTTCCATTCCCCCGAGTTCCATTCCATCTCATTCCATTCCCCCGGGTTCCATTCCCCCGAGTTCCATTCCATCTCATTCCATTCCCCCGGGTTCCATTCCCCCCGGGTTCCATTCCCCCCGGGTTCCATTCCCCCGAGTTCCATTCCATCTCATTCCATTCCCCCGGGTTCCATTCCCCCCCGGGTTCCATTCCCCCGAGTTCCATTCCATCTCATTCCATTCCCCCGGGTTCCATTCCCCCCGGGTTCCATTCCCCCCCGGGTTCCATTCCCCCGAGTTCCATTCCATCTCATTCCATTCCCCCGGGTTCCATTCCCCCGGGTTCCATTCCCCCCCCGGGTTCCATTCCCCCGAGTTCCATTCCCCCCGGGTTCCATTCCCCCCGGGTTCCATTCCCCCCGAGTTCCATTCCATCTCATTCTATTCCCCCGGGTTCCATTCCCCCGAGTTCCATTCCATCTCATTCTATTCCCCCGGGTTCCATTCCCCCGAGTTCCATTCCCCCCGGGTTCCATTCCATCTCATTCCATTCCCCCGGGTTCCATTCCCCCGAGTTCCATTCCCCCCCGGGTTCCATTCCATCTCATTCCATTCCCCCGGGTTCCATTCCCCCGAATTCCATTCCCCCCCGGGTTCCATTCCCCCGGGTTCCATTCCCCCGAGTTCCATTCCCCCCCCGGGTTCCATTCCATCTCATTCTATTCCCCCGGATTCCATTCCCCCGAGTTCCATTCCCCCCCGGGTTCCATTCCATCTCATTCTATTCCCCCGGGTTCCATTCCCCCGAGTTCCATTCCATCTCATTCCATTCCCCCGGGTTCCATTCCCCCGAGTTCCATTCCATCTCATTCTATTCCCCCGGGTTCCATTCCCCCGAGTTCCATTCCATCTCATTCCATTCCCCGGGTCCATTCCCCCGAGTTCCATTCCATCTCATTCCATTCCCCCGGGTTCCATTCCCCCGAGTTCCATTCCCCCCCCGGGTTCCATTCCATCTCATTCTATTCCCCCGGGTTCCATTCCCCGAGTTCCATTCCATATCTTCCATTCCCCCGGGTTCAATCCCCCGAGATCCATACACGCACGGCGTTCCATTCCATCTCATTCTATTCCCCCGGGTTCCATTCCCCCGAGTTCCATTCCATCTCATTCCATTCCCCCGGGTTCCATTCCCCCGAGTTCCATTCCCCCCCCGGGTTCCATTCCATCTCATTCTATTCCCCCGGGTTCCATTCCCCCGAGTTCCATTCCCCCGGGTTCCATTCCCCCGAGTTCCATTCCCCCGGGTTCCATTCCATCTCATTCTATCCCCCGGGTTCCATTCCCCCGAGTTCCATTCCTCTCATTCCATTCCCCCGGTTCCATTCCCCGAGTTCCATTCCATCTCATTCTATTCCCCCGGGTTCCATTCCCCCGAGTTCCATTCCCCCCGGGTTCCATTCCATCTCATTCTATTCCCCCGGATTCCATTCCCCCGAGTTCCATTCCATCTCATTCTATTCCCCCGAGTTCCATTCCCCCCGGGTTCCATTCCATCTCATTCTATTCCCCCGGGTTCCATTCCCCCGGGTTCCATTCCCCCGGGTCCCATTCCATCTCATTCTATTCCCCCGGGTTCCATTCCCCCGGGTTCCATTCCCCCCCGGTCCATTCCCTCATGTTCATTCCCCCGGGTTCCATTCCCCTAGTTCATTCCTCGTTCTATTCCCCCGGGTTCCATTCCCCCGGTTTCCATTCCCCCGGGTTCCATTCCATCTCATTCTATTCCCCCGGGTTTCATTCCCCCGAGTTCCATCCATCTCATTCTATACCCGGGTTCCATTCCCCCGGTTCCATTCCCCGGGTTCCATTCCATCTCATTCTATTCCCCGGGTTCCATTCCCCCGGGTTCCATTCCCCCGGGTCCCATTCCATCTCATTCTATTCCCCCGGGTTCCATTCCCCCGGGTTCCATTCCCCCCGGGTTCCATTCCATCTCATTCTATTCCCCCGGGTTCCATTCCCCCGAGTTCCATTCCCCCCGGTTCCATTCCATCTCATTCTATTCCCCCGGGTTCCATTCCCCCGAGTTCCATTCCATCTCATTCTATTCCCCCGGGTTCCATTCCCCCGAGTTCCATTCCCCCCGGGTTCCATTCCATCTCATTCTATTCCCCCGGGTTCCATTCCCCCGAGTTCCATTCCCCCCGAGTTCCATTCAATCTCATTCTATTCCCCCGGGTCCCATTCCCCCGAGTTCCATTCCCCCCGGGTTCCATTCCATCTCATTCTATTCCCCCGGGTCCCATTCTCCCGGGTTCCATTCCCCCGAGTTCCATTCCATCTCATTCTATTCCCCCGGGTTCCATTCCCCCGGGTTCCATTCCCCCGGGTCCCATTCCCCCGGGTTCCATTCCCCCGGGTTCCATTCCCCCGAGTTCCATTCCCCCGAGTTCCATTCCATCTCATTCTATTCCCCCGGGTTCCATTCCCCGGGTTCCATTCCCCCGGGTTCCTTCCCCCGGTTCCATTCCCCCGGGTTCCATTCCCCCCGTGTTCCATTCCCCCGGGTTCCATTCCCCCGGGTTCCATTCCCCCGAGTTCCATTCCCCCGGGTTCCATTCCCCCGGGTTCCATTCCCCCCCGGGTTCCATTCCCCCGGGTTCCATTCCCCCGAGTTCCATTCCCCCCGGGTTCCATTCCCCGGGTTCCATTCCCCCGGGTTCCATTCCCCCGGGTTCCATTCCCCCTCTGTTCTATTCCCCCGGGTTCCATCCCCCGGGTTCCATTCCATCTCATTCTATTCCCCCGGGTTCCCATTCGGTCTCCCCGGGTTCCATTCCATCCCCGTTCTATTCCCCCGGGTTTCCATTCCCCCCGGGTTCCATTCCCCCCCGGGTTCCATTCCCCCCGGGTTCCCTTCCATCCTTCCATTCCCCCGGGTTCCATTCCCCCCGGGTTCCATTCCATCTCTTCTATTCCCCCCGGTTCCCATTCCCCCCGGGTTCCATTCCCCCGGTTCCATTCCCCGGTTCCATTCCCCTCAGGTTCCATTCCCCCGGGTTCCATTCCTCCATCCTCATTCTCATTCCCCCGGTTCCATTCCCCCGGGTTCCATTCCCCCGGTTCCATTCCCCCGGGTCCATTCCATCTCTTTCTATTCCCCCGGGTTCCATTCCCCCGAGTTCCATCCATTCATTCTATCCCCGGGTTCCATTCCCCCGAGTTCCATTCCATCTCATTCCATTCCCCCGGGTTCCATTCCCCCGGGTCCCATTCCATCTCTTTCTATTCCCCGGTTTCCATTCCCCGGGTTCCATTCCGGGTCCCATTCCATCTCATTCTATTCCCCGGGTTCCATTCCCCCGGGTTCCATTCCATCTCATTCTTCCCCCGGGTTCCATCCCCCGGGTCCCATTCCATCTCTTTCTATTCCCCCGGGTTCCATTCCCCCGGGTCCCATTCCATCTCATTCCATTCCCCCGGGTTCCATTCCCCCGGGTCCCATTCCATCTCATTCCATTCCCCCGGGTTCCAGTCCCCCGGGTCCCATTCCCCTCGTCTTTCTATTCCCCGGGTTCCATTCCCCGGGTCCATTCCCCTGTTCCATTCCCCCGGGTTCCATTCCCCCGGGTCCCATTCCATCTCATTCCATTCCCCCGGGTTCCATTCCCCCGGGTTCCATTCCCCCGGGTTCCATTCCCCCGGGTCCCATTCCATCTCATTCCATTCCCCCGGGTTCCATTCCCCCGGGTTCCATTCCACCGGGTCCATTCCATCTCATTCCATTCCCCCGGGTTCCATTCCCCGGGTTCCATTCCCCCGGGTCCCATTCCATCTCATTCCATTCCCCCGGGTTCCATTCCCCCCGAGTTCCATTCCCCGGGTTCCATTCCCCCGGGTCCATTCCATATTTTCATTCCCCGGGTTCCATTCCCCGGGTCCCATTGCATCTCATTCATTCCCCGGGTTCCATTCCCCCGGGTTCCATTCCCCCGGGTCCCATTCCCTCTTCCATTCCCCTTCCATTCCCCCGGGTTCCATTCCCCGTTCCATTCCCCCGGGTCCCATTCCATCTCATTCCATTCCCCCGGGTTCCATCCCCCGGGTTCCATTCCCCGGGTCCCATTCCCCGGGTCCATTCCCCCGGGTCCCATTCATCTCATTCCATTCCCCCGGGTTCCATTCCCCCGGGTTCCATTCCCCCGGGTCCCATTCCATCTCATTCCATTCCCCCGGGTTCCATTCCCCCGGGTTCCATTCCCCCGGGTCCCATTCCCCCGGGTTCCATTCCCCCGGGTTCCATTCCCCCAAGTTCCATTCCCCCGAGTTCCATTCCATCTCATTCTATTCCCCCGGGTTCCATCCCCCGGGTTCCATTCCCCCGGGTTCCATTCCCCCGGGTCCCATTCCCCCGGGTTCCATTCCCCCGGGTCCCATTCCATCTCATTCCATTCCCCCGGGTTCCATTCCCCCGGGTTCCATTCCCCCGGGTCCCATTCCATCTCATTCCATTCCCCCGGGTTCCATTCCCCCGGGTTCCATTCCCCCGAGGTCCCATTCCCCCGGGTTCCATTCCCCCGGGTCCCATTCCATCTCATCCTTCCCCCGGGTTCCATTCCCACCGGGTTCCATTCCCCCGGGTCCCATTCCATCTCATTCCATTTCCCCCGGGTTCCATTCCCCCGGGTTCCATTCCCCGGGTCCCATTCCCCCGGGTTCCATTCCCCCGGGTTCCATTCCCCCGGGTTCCATTCCCCCCGGGTTCCATTCCATCTCATTCTATTCCCCCGGGTTCCATTCCCCCGGGTTCCATTCCCCCCCGGGTTCCATTCCCCCGGGTTCCATTCCATCTCATTCCATTCCCCCGAGTTCCATTCCCCCGGTTCCATTCCCCGGTCCCTCCATCTCATTCCATTCCCCCGGGTTCCATTCCCCCGGGTTCCATTCCCCCGGGTTCCATTCCCCCGGGTTCCATTCCCCCGGGTTCCATTCCCCCGGGTCCCATTCCATCTCATTCCATTCCCCCGGGTTCCATTCCCCCGGGTTCCATTCCCCCGGGTCCCATTCCCCCGGGTTCCATTCCCCCGGGTTCCATTCCCCCAAGTTCCATTCCCCCGAGTTCCATTCCATCTCATTCTATTCCCCCGGGTTCCATTCCCCCGGGTTCCATTCCCCCGGGTTCCATTCCCCCGGGTCCCATTCCCCCGGGTTCCATTCCCCCGAGTTCCATTCCATCTCATTCCATTCCCCCGGGTTCCATTCCCCCGGGTTCCATTCCCCCGGGTCCCATTCCCCCGGGTTCCATTCCCCCGGGTTCCATTCCCCCAAGTTCCATTCCCCCGAGTTCCATTCCATCTCATTCTATTCCCCCGGGTTCCATTCCCCCGGGTTCCATTCCCCCGGGTTCCATTCCCCCGGGTCCCATTCCATCTCTTTCTATTCCCCCGGGTTCCATTCCCCCGAGTTCCATTCCATCTCATTCTATTCCCCCGGGTCCCATTCTCCCGGGTTCCATTCCCCCGAGTTCCATTCCATCTCATTCTATTCCCCCGGGTTCCATTCCCCCGGGTTCCATTCCCCGGGTTCCATTCCCCCCGGGTCCATTCCATCTCTTCTATTCCCCCGGGTTCCATTTCCCCCGAGTTCCATTCCATCTCATTCTATTCCCCCGGTTCCCATTCCCCCGGGTCCCATTCCCCCGGGTTCCATTCCCCCGGGTTCCATTCCCTCAAGTTCCATTCCCCCGAGTTCCATTCCATCTCATTCTATTCCCCCGGGTTCCATTCCCCCGGGTTCCATTCCCCCGGGTTCCATTCCCCCGGGTCCCATTCCATCTCTTTCTATTCCCCCGGGTTCCATTCCCCCGAGTTCCATTCCATCTCATTCTATTCCCCCGGGTTCCATTCCCCCGAGTTCCATTCCATCTCATTCCATTCCCCCGGGTTCCATTCCCCCGGGTCCCATTCCATCTCTTTCTATTCCCCCGGGTTCCATTCCCCCGGGTCCCATTCCATCTCATTCTATTCCCCCGGGTTCCATTCCCCCGGGTTCCATTCCATCTCATTCCATTCCCCCGGGTTCCATTCCCCCGGGTCCCATTCCATCTCTTTCTATTCCCCCGGGTTCCATTCCCCCGGGTCCCATTCCATCTCATTCCATTCCCCCGGGTTCCATTCCCCCGGGTCCCATTCCATCTCATTCCATTCCCCCGGGTTCCATTCCCCCGGGTCCCATTCCATCTCTTTCTATTCCCCCGGGTTCCATTCCCCCGGGTCCCATTCCATCTCATTCCATTCCCCCGGGTTCCATTCCCCCGGGTCCCAATCCATCTCATTCCATTCCCCCGGGTTCCATTCCCCCGGGTTCCATTCCCCCGGGTTCCATTCCCCCGGGTCCCATTCCATCTCATTCCATTCCCCCGGGTTCCATTCCCCCGGGTTCCATTCCACCGGGTCCCATTCCATCTCATTCCATTCCCCCGGGTTCCATTCCCCCGGGTTCCATTCCCCCGGGTCCCATTCCATCTCATTCCATTCCCCCGGGTTCCATTCCCCCGAGTTCCATTCCCCCGGGTTCCATTCCCCCGGGTCCCATTCCATCTCTTTCTATTCCCCCGGGTTCCATTCCCCCGGGTCCCATTGCATCTCATTCCATTCCCCCGGGTTCCATTCCCCCGGGTTCCATTCCCCCGGGTCCCATTCCATCTCATTCCATTCCCCCGGGTTCCATTCCCCCGGGTTCCATTCCCCCGGGTCCCATTCCATCTCATTCCATTCCCCCGGGTTCCATTCCCCCGGGTTCCATTCCCCCGGGTCCCATTCCCCCGGGTTCCATTCCCCCGGGTCCCATTCCATCTCATTCCATTCCCCCGGGTCCCATTCCCCCGGGTTCCATTCCCCTGGGTTCCATTCCCCCGAGTTCCATTCCATCTCATTCTATTCCCCCGGGTTCCATTCCCCCGAGTTCCATTCCATCTCATTCCATTCCCCCGGGTTCCATTCCCCCGGGTCCCATTCCATCTCTTTCTATTCCCCCGGGTTCCATTCCCCCGGGTTCCATTCCCCCGGGTCCCATTCCCCCGGGTTCCATTCCCCCGGGTTCCATTCCCCCGGGTCCCATTCCCCCGGGTTCCATTCCCCCGGGTTCCATTCCCCCGGGTCCCATTCCCCCGGGTTCCATTCCCCCGGGTCCCATTCCATCTTTCTATTCCCCCGGGTTCCATTCCCCCGGGTCCCATTCCATCTCATTCTATTCCCCCGGGTTCCATTCCCCCGGGTTCCATTCCCCCGGGTCCCATTCCCCCGGGTTCCATTCCCCCGGGTCCCATTCCATCTCATTCCATTCCCCCGGGTTCCATTCCCCCGGGTTCCATTTTCCCGGGTCCCATTCCCCCGGGTTCCATTCCCCCGGGTCCCATTCCATCTCATTCCATTCCCCCGGGTTCCATTCCCCCGGGTTCCATTCCATCTCTTTCCATTCCCCCGGGTTCCATTCCCCCGGGTTTCATCCCCTGCGTTCTGTTCCACTGTGTTCCATCCTTCTGAGTTCCATTCCACCTCATTACATTCTACCAAGTTGGAGGGTAGTTAGGAATCAACCTTTGATAGTCATCATTGTTTCTGCTACACATAATCACTTTGAGCTTTTTAAAAAAGAATTCTAGTTTATTAACAACTTACAGACTCAGTGTTTGTCCTTATTAAATGGTAGCTTCATAACTGCAGTTTCTTATAAAAGACTGCATCTTTATGAATTCCCAGTCCTATACTTTTAATCATGGTTGTTTTGTGGGTGTAAGTGAAAGCAGTTAGCTCCTGGTTTTCCTAGCGGCCAGCCTGCTGTACATGAGCTCATCTAGTCCCTTCCCACATTTCAAGACAGCATTTGGCTCTCTGTTGGCTTTCCAGAGATATTCCTGGGGTTGGGGATACTTTTGCCCTCAAAATCCAATGAACCTGGAAATTTGTACAGTTGGTGATTTACTTATTGCCATAAGCAAACATCTACAAGAAGAGTTGGGGGAAAAAACCCCAAATCTTTGTCAAATGGGTTTGATCATAGGAGTAGAAAATAGAAATTTTAAGTACTGGGCATCTCTAGATAGTGTTTTGAGACAACTTAACCCCAAATATAGAGCTGGTAGCTGGACAGGAGGTAGGAAAGACACGAAGAGGAAACTCAGCCTGTCCAAGTCCTGCCTCGTTCGGAGCTGAGACGCTGAGGCCGGCTGTTGAGGGACCACTCCTGCCCTCTGCTGCCAGGGAGGGCGTGGGCCACCTGCTGACACCCTCGGCTGGCTCTGGCTCTGGTACAGAACCTGTGGTGACGTATGTTGTCTGGCCATGGACAGTAAACCCGAGGTTATGTCTGTGTTCCATGGGACGTAGGCGTACACAGGAACATCGGGGAAGCAGGGCAGACGCAGGTAACAGGTGTGTATCAGAGCTGCGCCCTCCTGCACGTGACAGAACATCCGGGAACATACTGAGGGCTGGTTGTCCAAGTGCAACACCAGTCTGGGAGGAGCCCAGGGCTGGTCCCCACTGGCTCAGTGGTACCATTAGGGGCCTGGCTCTTTCTGCTGTGGCTGCTCCATTGACCTCCTGTCCGTGTGGCTCCCCTACATCCTGTGCAGCCGCTGCCCTGGGGCCTCAGCTCCCCAGCCAAGGCAGGAGGACAGGGTGTACTGTGTAAGGGAGACGGCTTTTTCTAGCAAGCCCTCGCTCTTCCTTGGAAAGGAAGGCCCTCAGCAGGGACCTCTGCCCAAACCTCCTTGGCATGGTGGTCACCCCACAAGCCCTGCTTCAAGGGGAAGGGGTGGAGTGCTCCCGGCTGGCCCATCGCTGCCCCTGTGGAGTAGCGGCTTTGTGAAGGCAGGGGAAGGGGAAGGACGCTGTGCACAGGTGGCTGCACCTGTTCCAAAGCACTGACGTGTACCTCATGCCACGTGCACCCTGTCACTGAGCAGCGGCTCTTCAGGCCACAGGCTTACACTGGTCATTCTTTTCAGATTGGTGGTAGAATGTGTACATTGGCTTCAGAATACATTTCTGGGTTGTAGGAATGGGTAAGCCTAAAGGGTATGGATGGATGGATACATAAAAGGTGGGCTATTAAGACAGATATTTATTTGTTTAATGATGGTATTGGAGTTTATTGATGGTATTGGCTGTATTGATAGGCATTTGTTTTAAAGAGAACTCTGATCGTTGCTCTGTTTATAAACAAATATCATCGCCTCATTGAAACTCCACGGTTTCACATGCTTGTCTCTTTTTCCCCCGGCGCCTCCTGATTACTGTGGAGGGCCGAACGAAACTGGTCTGCTGTTGTAGGAGAACAAGAACTGGTCCACTCCCCTTAACTTTTAGCATGCAGTGTCTTGAAATTACTCCATTCACATTCCTTTATCATATATTCTAGAAAAGTATTGCAAAAGGTGATTCTGCCAAGTGCAGGTTGTCTCTGCTTTTGTATTTAGATGCTGTTTCTTCTCTCCCATCAGGCTTCCGTGTTAGCTGCAGAAAGTGACCCGTACGGGCCCCTGCCGCCAGGCTGGGGTAAGCTAATGTGTTGTCGGTAAAATATCTGAGAGGTATGTATAGAAATGATTCTAAGATGCCATATTCACTCTGTTTTTTAGAAAAAAGAGTAGATTCAACAGACAGAGTTTACTTTGTGAATCATAACACAAAAACCACCCAGTGGGAAGATCCGAGAACTCAGGGGTACGTATGTAGTATGGCCTTATGTACACCATTCTGAATGCATCTGTAGTTGGAATCAGGTAAACCTTGACTCAGAGGTCTTCAGTACTTGGACAGCGGTCACTTTGGGCCATGACTGTGTCTTTTAGCTTACAGAATGAAGAGCCCCTGCCCGAAGGCTGGGAGATCAGGTATACCCGGGAAGGTGTACGGTACTTTGTCGATCACAACACCAGGACGACGACGTTCAAAGACCCTCGCAACGGGAAGTCGTCTGTGTAAGTGACAACCTGTGGTTCTGAGTGCTATTCTTCCAGGACCTGGTTCAGCCACTAACTGAGCCTCGGATTTTATTTCTGGATCAAAAAAACCTGCTGACAGTTCCCCAGGGTGCCTGCCTTTGCTGTGCTGGTCACCGGCTGTGGCAGGCGGGCCCCGTGGCACGATATGCGGGTGGTGCTCAGCGCTCAGGGCACCATCCTGTGTCACGTCCAGCAGCCCGTGGGAAGACGCTGTTCTCCCTTATCTGAGGCAGAAGCGGAGGTTAGGGAGTACTCCTGACTTGTGCAGAAGTACATACAGGTCACGGGCTGGTTTTGGACCCGGCAGTCTGTCCACCGTCTGTGCCTCTGACTGCCATGTCAGTGCTCTGCGGCCTCAGGGCTGAGATGCTTAGCAGGACCGGGTTTTCCAGATGAAGGGTCTCCTTCCTCACTCCTAGGGGCGAGGTCTTTGCCTCACCGAGAACGGAAGCCACCATGAAAGGCCTTTTGAAAATTTCGGCCATCCTGTCTGCCACCTGCCAGCACCCACCTGTCTTCCCTCCTGCTCCTGTGGGTGGGCTGTCACTGCCCCTTTCAGTGGCCAGGCCTCTGCTGGTGCTGGGCTTGTCCCCACCTCCTCACGTGCTGTTCCAGCAGCGATGGTCTTCCTCCGCTGAGTTACTTTCATCCACTCCACCTCTCCTAGATTAGAAACAACATACCCACAGCTCTTCACCTCACAGCTCTGTTCCGTGGATCCTTACTGCTGCTCTTTCAAGGAAAGTACTTGAAGGAGTTGTCTGTAAGTCGCTGTTTCTGATTCCGGCCTAGACCAACTCTGGGACATGCCCTGCCCCCGAACTCGCTGAGGGCTGTCCACAGGGTGTGCCGGGCTCGGCTCGCGACCCGTCTTGGGCTCCAGAGCACTTGTCACAGGACCCATCTGCGGGCAGAAGTGGGTGCGAGACTGAACGCCCTGTGTTCCTGTGCCTTCCTGGTCTGCTCTCTTCCATCGGCTGGGTCCCCTTCCTCTCCAGCCCCTGTGCACTGAGGGAAGGTCCCAGCGCCCGTGCTCAGCTGCCTACACGCGTTCTCTTGGTGACTGATTCACTGCCATGCTCTTCAGAAGCTTCAAGATGCGACGACTCACATTTTAACCTCTCACTGCCAATTGTGCTTCCTGTATCCAGCTGCTTCCTAGTTACCTCTGCCTGTCACCTCTTCGTGACAGTTCCCAGAACACCTGTTTCTCCAGGGTCTTTCCATCTCAGCCGATGGCCACTTCACTCATGGGTATGCTTGGGCCAAAATGTCAGAGTCATCCCAAGTCCTCTTCGCCTCTCACCCGACCCTCAGTCCATCAGACCTGCAGCTCCTGCACTCTAGCGGGTACCAGACCCGTGGTCTCAGGCCACCACCTGCATGTCACCTGCAGTACTGCCTGTCCCGCTGCTTCCTGCCCACACCTTGCGCCATGTCCTCCCACAGCAGCAGACGGCTGCTCAGTCACACCCCAGTAAGGAGGGTCCCTTTGTACAAAAGCTCTCTGTGTTTCCATCTCAGTCTGAGGAGAAGCCAAGTCCTTACCAGGCCCCACAGCACCTGACCCCTGTCCTCACCTCCTTGCCGCTCTGCTCCAGCATAACCAGCCACCCAGCTGTCCCTGCAACACCAGAGGCCCCTCTGCCCGTGCACCTTCCCCAGTGTCTCCAGGCCTCTGCTTCGGGCTTTCTGCAGACGCTGCGCTGTGAGCCCCTGGTCAGCCTTCTCTTGGCAACAGACTTTCCAGCCCCCTCCTGCCCTTCCCACGCTGCTTCCTCCCTCCCTTCTGGGAGCAGGGGCGAGGAGGTCTATCCCCCTTCCAGAAACACACATGTAGTTTTCTGTTCATGCTGTTTCTTGTCTGGCTCCTTTATTCGAACTTAAGCTCCACAAAAACAGCCCTTCCATCTGCTTGATCAAGTAACGCGCGCCTGTCCAGGTGGGCCAGGTGTGCGCACTCATTGCATGCTGTTGGCTGAGAGTGCACTTGAACCCCTGCGTGAGAGTGTTCTCCCTCTGTCCCAGGTCCCCTTGGCGAAAGCGCCCTGTGCTCATCTCTCAGGCTCACTCCCAAGTGGGAGAGCCAGGCTGCCCTTGGAAATGGAGCCCTGTTGGTACAGCCTGTCCCTTCGTGCCACATGCCACCCACTGGCCCTTCCATTGCCGACCTGAGCCGCCTGCCTCCGGCTCCCATCTTGCCGAGCTTACCTTTGTCTTCGTTCCCGCTTAGGGTTCGGATGTGGTGGAATTCCCTCCATGTTCCTCTGTCTGGATCCTGGCCCTTCCGGCCCAGGGTTAGCAGAGGTCTTCTTTGAAGCAGCCTGTAGTGGACGGTCGTGTTTCATTACCAGCCTCGTCCGTGTGCGGTGTCGTGGGCCCTCCGTGGGCCCTCCGTGCTCCAGCCCTGCGGCCCAGCAGGCACACCTTTATGCTCTGCCCGGCAGGGGCCCCGCCCTGGGTCGTGTAGCCTCTGGGACGCTCCTGGGTCGTACTGAGGGTTAAGGGTCCAGCCTGGCCGCGTGCTGATACCTGTTGTTCTGTCTCTCTAGAACTAAAGGTGGTCCCCAGATCGCGTACGAACGCAGCTTCAGGTGGAAGCTTGCTCACTTTCGTTACCTGTGCCAGGTACTGTGGGGTCGCTGAGGGTCACGCCATAGCAGTCAGTTGTGTCTCTACACAGTGCGTCTCCTAAGCTTCTGGGACAATGATGGTATTATTTTTGTTTTCAGTCCAACGCACTACCCAGTCACGTGAAGATCAACGTGTCCCGGCAGACACTGTTCGAAGACTCCTTCCAGCAGGTGAGGTGGGGGGGAGCACTGGGCACAGCCGTCCTGCGGGGGACACTAGGGCCTTAGGGCTGTGGTCCCTCAGGAGGCAGGCGTGGCAGGGACTCCTCACAGGGCCATCGCAGTCACGTTGTAGTGACCCTGTGAGGCCTGGGGCCATTGCCCTGAGCTGGGCCCTGCATTTCATTCACCCCACACGTCCTCCGTTTTCCAGGCGGAGGCCCTGGGCGAGGCAGTCACTCTGCCAGGAGGAGGCCGCTGTGGCAGTTTCCGGGACAAGTGACACATTTTGACACTCATTTTGCTAAGACTTTACTAACTGCACCCAAACGACTTGGTAATACGACCAAGTTAAGATTAAGTAGGCACAGCTGCGGAGCCATGGATACGTTCCTTCGTTAACCCTCCTACTGGCTCCTGCGTGCAGGCCGAGCTCCCAGGCCCTTCCGCCCTGTGCGCCCTTCTCACCCGGTGGGCACTCCCTGGTGCTGTGTGGGCTCCCCCGTCCTCCGCAGAGCCAGGGGCACTGAGCCGGGGTGCTGTGTGGGCTCCCCCATCTTCCACAGAGCCGGGGGCACTGAGCTGGGGTGCTGTGTGGGCTCCCCCGTCCTCCGCAGAGCCAGGAAAGACAAAGTTAAAGTCCTGGCAGCTCTGTCTGCAGTGAGGAGGAGAGCTCCTCAAGTAAGTCTGTTGAGTCCCCACAAAGCCCTCCCGGGACCCAGCAGGCCCTGTGCGTACGGAGCACGGGGACTCCGCAGGCAGTATGCCCTTGTACTCGCTCACTCTGACCAGCTGCTGAGTGGGGCAGGGCACATGCTACAGTTGCTACCCAGACTTGGCTTTGGTTGTAGTCAGTAAACTCTTAGCAAAATAAGGGAGTGTCAGATGGACCCACCTGCTCCAAGCTGTACAAGCTCAGCCATGTGTACCCACGTCCATGGGGCTTCACCTGCTCCAGGCCGCCTGGGCTCAGCCATGTGTACCCACGTCCATGGGGCTTCACCTGCCCAGGCCGCCCGGGCTCAGCCATGTGTACCCACGCCCATGGGGTTTAGCCTGCTCCAGGCCGCCCGGGCTCAGCCATGTGTACCCACGCCCATGGGGTTTAGCCTGCTCCAGGCCGCCTGGGCTCAGCCAGTGTGTACCCACGTCCATGGGGCATCACCTGCTCCAGGCTGCCCGGGCTCAGCCAGTGTGAACCCACGTCCATGGGGCATCACCTGCTCCAGGCTGCCCGGGCTCAGCCAGTGTGAACCCACGTCCATGGGGCTTCACCTGCTCCAGGCTGCCCGGGCTCAGCCAGTGTGAACCCACGTCCATGGGGCATCATCTGTGCTGTGGTCTGCCTGGACCACTGCGGTGTTTGATGTGCAGGATGAGCCCATGCCCGCCTGTGTTGGGGCCCTGGCTATGCGTGCCAGCCTCGGCTTGGGTTCTTACGTGTGGGGAAGGAATTCATTGCTATTGAGAAGTAAAGCCCAGCCTGGCCAGTGTGGCTCAGTGGACTGAGTATTGTCTCATGGACAGAGAGGTTCTGGTTCCATGCCCAGTCAGGGCACATGCCAGGGTTGTGGGCTCGATCCCCAGTAGGGGGTGTGCAGGAGGCAGCTGATGGATGTTTCTCTCTCACATCCATGTCTCTTTCTCTTTCTCTCTCTCTCAAAAAAAAGTAAAGCCTATTTACTACTAACCTATTTACTACTATTAACTACTAATGATGTAAGCCATTAAGGATTATGAAGTTGGTTATAGGTATTGTTCTAAGATACACTTTCTTATCTATAAATGTGTCATCATATAAGTCATTCTCTGCTATAACTGACTTTCTTTCCTGCTGAGAAATGGAATGCGTATACAAGCAGGACCCAAAACAGGAACTTCTGTTTATTAAGTGTTGCTAGTCAGAAAAAGTTACAAGTCACCTTTTACAGGATTTTGGTACGCTTTGGGGAATAGTGGAGGAAGGGACCCATTTCTAACCTCTTTGTGTCAGACTGCTCTCCTGCACTGACCCAGAGTAGAGCCACCGGCAGTGCGAGGCAGGGAGAGGCGAGAGAGCGAGAGAAAGCAGAGTGCCCTGAGACACACCTCTGTGCAACAACTCGGACTGCAGTTACAGGCGTGGCTGTGTGACATAAGGAAAGGTGTGCTTTGGAAACTAGAGATGAAATGTAAGTTGAACTGTTCTGGAAAGAACTTGTGCTTCTGTGCTCGAATGCCCATGTCTTCATCTCCGATCAGATCATGGCATTGAAGCCCTACGACTTGAGGAGGCGATTGTACGTCATCTTCCGAGGAGAAGAAGGACTCGACTATGGCGGTTTAGCAAGGTAAACGGAACGTCTGCTTTCAATAGCGTCTCCTTTACGTAGTGGATGGATTCTTGAAAAGATGCGTTTTTAATAGCAATCCAGGATTATTTGTAAAACAAAAGGTATATACACAATTCTAGAGGTACTCATTACCTATACATTTTTCTGCACGTATATAAATGTATATGTGTGTGGTCGGCCTGCGATGCAAGGTGGTTTCGTCCTTCTCACTGTTGTAAGAGTGTGTGTGGGTTTATGTCTGCGTGGTTAATCCAGTCTGAGTCCTGTTGAGAGTGAAGTTTTCCACGCTCACGCACGCAGTACGTTGAGAATAGCGGACACTTAGGAAGCGCGGCTGGGAAAGCCTTTCAATGTTTTTACCCCTCGATTGCCTTGCCCACACCTGCTTTGACCATAGTTTGTTTTTAAACAAAACTCTTTCATTAAATCTTTCCAGGGAATTAAATTTGCTTTATAGAAACAACTGTCTTTCTGAATTCATATTTCACAGGGGGTCTAGAACCCCAGAGGCAGTGGTAGTGCAGCAGGCAGAGATGAGGGCTGGCCCCTGGGGGGTGGCGGGGGATCAGCTTTGGATGTATTAGCATATTTTCTCATTATTAGGGAGGTTTTTCAGAACAGAAACACTACCTATTACAATAAATGTCTATGTTACGTCTATCATGATGTATCTCAGTTTCAGAAATGCTCAGACATTAAGAGGAAGGTGCATCTTCAGGATGAAATACGGAATCATTTCTAGTGTCTGAGTTGACAACGTTGACTTGTCTGAACCCTTATTTACCTCGAGTATTTTGATTTAGTTTTACATTTTGACGATTTTGCTGCATATATTCAGTTCCTCTATACCATAATTTTCTTATTCCCAGATTCTTTGTTTTGATGTGTGTGTTGGTTTTGATTTATTCAGGAATTCAGAATTCACAAGGTTGATTGATTCTGCAGTTTTCAGAATGTTGCTTTTGTATATAAATGGCAGCTTGACCAGATGTAGATTCTCACATGAGGGTCTGTGGTCGCCACCTCCTGGCCTCTGGGGACTGAGCGACAGGTGGGAGCCCCGCCCCCACAGGAAATGGTTTCCACTGGGTGCCCACACACTCCTTGTCCTTGAAATTCACTGATTTCATTGTTGATGGTTTTATATCTTTTTAAAGAACATATTAAGATCTTCCTTAATTTAAGGGAAATTTTCTTCTATTATGTCTTTGAATATTTTTTCTGTTCCATGTGTTCCGTTTCCTTCAGGAACATCAGTCGTGGGTATGTGGAGTCTCCTCTGTCAGCCGTACGTGTCGTCTGTCTCTGATTTCTTTCTCTGTGCTTTTCCATTTTGTTTGGTGTCCTCACACCTGCCCCCACCCTGTTCACAGTGCTGCCTGCCTTCTGCTTCTCCTGCGGTTCTGCCCGTCTTCTTCTCTGGGCTCTGCCAGCTCAGCTGCTGTCTCGATCCCACCTCTGTGTGTCCTGAGTGGTTGAGGTGTGGAGATGGGGGTGCTAACCGTGACCCACCTCCCCTGCCTAGGGATCTCCCTCTTCCCTGCCCGCAGGTGCAGGTCAGGTGCCCCGTGACACCCTCTTTCCGAGTGGACTCAGTGTTCTCTGGGCTGCGGCAGCCGGTCACTGGTTCCTGTGAGCTTGTTCTCAGCTCTCTGCTGGGGCGTGTCCGGCGTCCACTCTCTGTGGGAAGTTGCTTGGCTCAGCTGCTGTGTTGGGACTGGGTTTAGTTTTAGGAATTGGTACCTATTATTTCTTAGGTGATTTTGTTTGGGGACTCCCTTCTCTACCCTTCAGGAATTTCTGAGATTGTGCTTTAAAATCTTCGGGAAAATACTTGCAAATAGGTTCCCAGGCTGGGTCTAGCCTGCAGAGGGGTGGCCCCATTTTTACTTAAAATTTTTAGAAATTACTTGACAACATTTAAGAAAATGACTAGATTATGCTCAAGAATCAAGATTTCTGGCTTTTTAAAAAAAAATACTAGACCCATGTGCCCACCTTACCACATGCCACCTGGGCTGAGTCAGGGGGCGGCCTCCTGGGGCAGTGGGCTCTCTCCCTGCTGCCCTGGCTGCCCTGGCTGAGGCTGACGATGCGCCCAGAGGCACTTTTCTTTAAAACGCATGTGACTTTGATTAGGGGTACAGTGGGGAGTGGGGGTTGTGGGACGTAGGAATTGAGGCCCCTGGATCCCTGCAGGTGTCTGGCTTTGCAGCCGTCTTAGAAGAAATTGTTTAAGAGCCTTTTCTGTGCTGAGCTTATTTTGTCATATAAATCATTATTCTTTTATCTAGTTGTATTTTGCTTACTAGACTTTTATAAATGAGGCAAAATAGGCAGTAATAAGTTAGAGAATGTTTATCACATTAAAGAGTTTGCCTTTTCACCATAGTAGTTCTGTTTTCAGTGCATTGTCAGGGAGAGGGGGCATGTCCAGCAGCAGGAGGAGGGGGCTGTGCCCTGCAGCAGGGAGAGGGGGCGTGTCCCGCAGCAGGGAGAGGGGGCGTGTCCCGCAGCGGGGGGGGGGGGGGGGGGGGAGGGCCTGTGCCCTGCAGCAGGGAGAGGGGGGCGTGTCCCGCAGCAGGGAGAGGGGGCGTGTCCCACAGCAGGGGGAGGGCCTGTGCCCTGCAGCAGGGAGAGGGGGCGTGTCCCGCAGCAGGGAGAGGGGGCGTGTCCCGCAGCAGGGGGAGGGGCTGTGCCCTGCAGCAGGGAGAGGGGGCGTGTCCCACAGCAGGGGGAGGGCCTGTGCCCTGCAGCAGGGAGAGGGGGCGTGTCCCGCAGCAGGGCGCTGTGTCTCTGCAGCAGACCTTGGTTACCACCTGCTGTGTGCTGTCCCAGGCTGTGTGAGTGAAGGCTACAACTGGATCAAGATGTGGCCTTTTCTGTTGAGGAGCTCTCAGCCTGGTAGTGGGGGCAGGTCATCTGCAGAAAAGTGAACACTGTTCTCTGTGAAGTTGTTACCAGTTACTGACACAAATCCCATGCCTGACAGAACGTCACAAGCTGCCCTTTAGGATGGCTCTAAGGACTTGGAGGGAAAGGCGGGCCCTGCCGAGGGCCCCCAGCAGCACGAGAGCAGCCCTGTGAGGTGCAGACGGGACCTGCTCAGCGTGTGGCCGGCAGGCACTATGTGTGTTGCTGTGTTCAGATCCATGTGCATGTAGACACGTGACCTGCCTCATTTGTCTAGGGAGTGGTTTTTCCTGCTGTCCCACGAAGTCCTGAACCCCATGTACTGCTTGTTTGAGTACGCGGGCAAGAACAACTACTGCCTGCAGATCAACCCTGCGTCCACCATCAACCCTGACCACCTCTCCTACTTCTGCTTCATCGGCCGCTTCATCGCCATGGTGAGCTGGTGCCCAATTCACTGACATCGCTTACTTCAAAAGTAGCAAAATGACGTGCGTGGTCCTTGGTTCTGCCTCTTCATTCTCATGAAAGTGTCTTGGAGAACAACATTCAGGGCGGAGGGAACAGCAGGACCAGGCCTCCCTGGGTGCAGTTCTGATCTTGAGTGGCTTGGCTGGAGCCCAGCAGGCAGAGAGCAGGAGGGAGCCAGGCTGATGGGTGCTGTGGGAGCTTCAGGGTGCTCACTGGAGGATGGGTCCAGGTGACCCGCTCTGACCTGGATCCTGTCGCGCAGACTTTGCTGCTGGCTAGAGAAAAGACCATGGGTGGCGGAGCAGGTGCCAGAAAAGGTAGCAGTGCTGGGAGGCACTAGGGGTGCAGCGGGGGGTTTGCCGTTCGAGGCCCACAAGCTGAAAGCCCTGGGACGGCCGGTGTGGCAGGTGAGACCCAGTCGAGTGCAGGCCTCGTGTCCGCCTGCAGTCCTGCCCCCGAGGCAGCGGGGTTTCCACAGGAGCAAGCCTGGGTCGTCAGCAGTGTGGGTTGGTGTGCTGGGTTTCAGACACCTGCAGGCCTCGGGTGTGGAGCAGGGGCGTGAGGACACCGGGCTGGCATTGAAGGGTGCTAGGTGAGGCTGTGTGAACGCTAGGGACGCGTGTGGGCAGGCACAGGGCTCAAGGACATTCGTCTCAGGGAGTGAGATGAGAACCTGCTACAGAGCCAGGATGAGGAATGGAGACTCCAGTAGGAGGGGTTCCCAGGAAATAAGGAAGAAGGAAGGACTGTCACCTGGCCCAGGGCTGATGGCGGAGCACGATGAGGTGTAGCAGCCAGGGGCGGCCAGGTCAGAGCCAGAGAGTTAGCTGTAAGGAGCTGCTTCGAGGGTCCGAGAGAAGGGGCAGTGGCCAGAGCTGATGTGGGAGCAGATGGGAGGGACCAGAGGTCCATCTGCTGATGGCCCAGTGAGAGAGGGTGGAGCTGCAGGGGGCCAGACCTGCAGACGGAGCCGGGAGGACAAGACCCAGGAGCTCATGGGAGCACAGAGACCCGGTAGGAAGCTGGTCTGCGCATCTGTGGAGACCCTGGCAGTCCTCTGACAGCTGCGTCTCAGTGAGCAGAGCGCACTGCCTGCCTGATGGGGAGGCACAGACGCAGTGGGAAGTCGCTCTGGGCACTCCCCATGGCCCTTGGGGCTGCGCAGAAACAGGCGCGTGTCCAGGCACCTTCTGGCTCGTTCCTGACCCGTGTGGCAGGGGCTGAGCCGGGCTCTGCAGGCCTGGGGCCCTGAAGGCATGGGATCCACAGGGAGCCCAGGAGAGGGACGAGGTTAGAGTGGCTCCACCGGCTAGAGCCTGAGGTGCTCTTCCTGCCACAGGCACCCGCTGGGCGGAGGCGGTGTGAGCCCCAGGGGAGGCTGGGCTCCTGGGGACTGCTGACCACAGCACCCCTGCCCTGCGCTGCGTGTGCTTCTCGTCAAAGGCTCAGTCGCTGAGGGCTGAGAGCCAGGCTTGGAAAGGGTGCGCCCAGTGGGTGCTGAAACCCGCGGGACTGGGCGTCCTGGAGAGATGGAGACGCAGAGCAGACGGGGAGGAGCCCAGACACCAGGGTGACCGCCACGGTCATGGGCGGCGGTGGGGGGCGGTCAGTGAGGAAGAGCACCCCCGCCCCCTTCCACCCTGGACCTGAGGGGACAGAGGAACCACACCCTGTGAGAGGACTTGAGGGGAGCAGGTTCTCAGGGAAATGCAGCCTTTCACCGTTTTCCGAGAGGACCTGAGGGCCAGGGCCTCGCAGCGGCGGGTCCTGTGCATCAGAGGCCCCAGCACACTCAGGTGGGGGGCCCAGGGCTGCGTGTCCTGTGCCAGCTGCTGCCTGAGCAGTGATGGCCCAGAAGCCCAGCCGGCCCAGCGCAGGGGAGAGCCAGGAGCCCAGGCCCTTGCTTTGCGTCCCCGTCCAATTCGGTGGCTTGATCTACCAGTGCACAGGGAGGGGCGGGAGGCTCTGTGTCCTTGACCTGCTGGTGGGACATGACAGCCATGACCTCGGCCAGGCCTCAGGTCGCTGCTCCCATCATGCAGACATGACTGTAAGTTTTAAAATAAATGTTCTTTTTCTCGGCAGGCACTTTTCCATGGGAAGTTTATTGATACTGGTTTCTCTTTGCCATTCTACAAGCGGATGTTAAGTAAAAAACTGACAATTAAGGATTTGGAGTCTATTGATACTGAATTTTATAATTCTCTTATCTGGATAAGGTTTGGAGATTTATTTTTAAATGAGGCATTTTCTTGAAACCAATGTGTATGTCTTGTTAGTTAGTGTCTATGTGTTTTTATCACCCAGAGACAACAACATCGAAGAATGTGGCTTAGAAATGTACTTTTCTGTTGACATGGAGATTTTGGGCAAGGTGACCTCGCATGACCTGAAGCTGGGAGGAGCCAACATCCTGGTGACCGAGGACAACAAGGATGAGTACATCGGGTGAGGTTTGCACACTGCCCAGGAGTGTTGGCACCGACCCCATCTGCACCCCACTTACTCTCTTGCTGCTGCCCTGGGAGGGTCCACACCCATTCCCTCCCATCGGCCTTCCTCTCCGCCCAACCTGGGCAAGTGCGCCAAGTCCCTGGGCCCTGCGTGACCCTCGTGTCCGTGTGGTTCAAGTCAGTGTGAGTGCGCGGACCGTCACTCCCACGGCTGCTGGTCTCCAGGGCAGCTCCTGCGCAGGCCCCACGCCCCTCCCTGCCGGGCCCTCCCCTGACCGAGCTCCTCCTCCATTCCTCCTGTCTCCTCCTGACCCCCCGCCCCCGGCCTCTGCTTCCATCTTCAGTGGTTTCTCCCCTGAACGTTAGGAATCATGTTCTGCAGTAAGTTGGCGTGGAACCTTCTCTAATGGGGACCACAGCAGTGTCCCTGAGGCCCCTGCGGGGCTGAGTCAGGAGGAAGGGGAGCCCTTCCCACCCATCGGGGTGTCGCACCGACAGGGAACCTCTGTTTCTTCCTGTGAAAAGTGCCCTCAGGGTACACGTGCTGAGCCGACTCCTCGTGCAGATGTGTTAACTCGAAACCATACACACGTGTGAACAGAATAGGTCGTATATTTAGGAAAAAACAGGATTTTAGAACACTTGGTGTGGCAGAACGTCCTCCTGGTCCCCCACACACCTGTTTGAGACGCGTCTGTCTGCAGGCTGATGACGGAGTGGCGGTTTTCCCGCGGGGTGCAGGAGCAGACCAAAGCCTTCCTGGACGGCTTCAACGAAGTCGTCCCGCTGCAGTGGCTGCAGTACTTCGATGAGAAAGAGCTGGAGGTGAGCCGTCGGGTGACCTGTCACAGGAGGGGGAGGGTCTCACAGGAGCCTGCACAGGGTTCCAGGCCCTGCGGCCGCTCTGGTGCCCTCTGCTGCCAGTTGCTGCCCTGGCGAGGGGCTCAAGGCCGCTGAGCTGTGACGATGTCCTGGCCACAGCCAGGGTCAGGTGCTCATGGGTCCCAGACAGAGTACAGCCGCAGCCTCAGTTGGGAAACCTTCTGAAGTCCTGGTTTGGTCATCAGTTGCCCAAAGAACAGATTTTGAAGTCATGAGTTCCTAGCAGCCTCAGCTGTGCTGAGACTTGTTAGAAGTCTACCAGGTTTTTTGTGATGACACACTTGGAATTGACCACCTTAACCATTTGTGAGCGTGCAGCTCAGTAGTGCAGGTGTGTGCAGTGTCCACGGCAGAACTGCAGGACTTCTCACCCTGCAAAACTGAGACTGCCCGTTGAACAGCTCCAGCTCCCACCCCAGCCACTCGCCCCGTCCTCCCTGGTCTCTGCGGGGCGGCCCATGTCCTGCTGTGATGGGCTTCTTCACCAAGAACGTCCTCCTGGTCCGCCCACCTCACAGCAGGTGCCTGGACTGTCCCGCTTCAGGCTGGCCCTGCTCTGTGCACGCACACACGAGTGTCCTCGCTGTCAGCCAGGGGCTGAGGAGGCACCGCCTCCCGCTCATCCCAGTGAGCTGCTGAGCGCTGCTGAGCGCGGCTGACGCCCTGCCTGCACCGTCCTCGGGCGTGTCCCAGGACGGACCGCTGGCCCTCTAGTAATCCTGTGTTTACATTTCTGAGGGACTGCCACACTTTTCCATCCATCGAAGGGCCCAGGGTTCCCACTCCTGCATGTATCTGCCTGCATTGGTTATTTAGTTTTGCTGACCTGATGGGCGAGATGACAGCTCACTGTCATTTTGACTTGTGTTCCCCTAAAGGTTAGTCACGAATCCGTAACATCTTCTCTTCCCAAGTGGGTGCCAGGATTGTCCTTGGCGTTCCCGCTTGGCCCTGTAGGTGCAGTGTTTGGACTTGAGCCAGTGTGGACCATGTGTTAGGAACCTGGCTTGTCACATAGCCAGACGTGCGTGGAAGAACTAGCATGTGTGTTCTGTAGCAGTGTTCCCGGGCAGAGGAGAGCTGGCTGGAGACTCCGACTGACACAGTGCACGTGGCAGTCGGGTGCACCTGGGCGACATGCCGGGTCTGATCCTGTCCACGTCTTTCTTAGCAGCTCGTGTGCGCATATTAGCACACACACACTAGAGAAATGAACAGATGTAGTTTAGGTTAGTGTCCATCACAGACTTCGTTGAGAATCTGAAGAAAATGAAACTGCTTCGGATCCTCAGCGCACACGCCTGCAGCGAGCGCTCTGTGCCCCGCGAGCATCCCTGCCTGGTCCCTGGGGCTGGGTGTCGGGTGGAGGCAGCCTTGGGGGTCCAGCAGGCCATAGCAGGTGTGTGCTTGTCCGTGCCCCTTGGCGGCTGTCACATGTTCTCACGTACAGCCTGGGACATAGCTGGTGTTTGCCAGTGTCCTCACCCCTAAGGAGAGTGGCGTCCCACTGGGCACTGCCCTGCCCGCTGCTCGTAGCGCAGAGCTGTCTGCGGACACCCAGCCTTCTGTGGTTGGTTTTGCTTTGTTTTGAGTTTTACTCCCTTCATTGTCTCTCTTACCATGAATGATACTCAGTACTCAATAGTGGGCATTCATATCATTACCCAGAGTAATGTCCATTCATACGCATGCCCCCTTTCACAGGCTAAAGTCTGTTTAAACTTTAAGATGTTAGTCTTTACTAAAAATCTGACCGTACTAGCAACAGAAGTCAGCTTTGACAAAGGGCATCAACCAAGAGAAAGCCCCACGTCACTGACTGGACCTAGGAAATCTCAGAGAACCTATAAAAACTATTGAGCCCAGAGGTGAGGACAGTGAGGCTGTGCACCACCCCCCCCCACTCCAGGCCTGTTCGCGCCCGGGGGAGGTACGCAGTGTGTGGCTGGGAAGAGAGGCACCTGGACAGTCCAGCATAGACCCCACGTGATGGTCAGCTGACTAACACAGGACTTGTGTTTCTGTGGGAAGGGGAGGTCTTCAGAACAGAGGATGCTGGGTCGCCGGATGTCTGAGTGGAAGGAAATTACCCTGCGCCCCTGCCTCAACCCACACACAAAGATGCATTTAGAATAAGCCACAAGTAAACGTGGAAGCTAACACGAAAACACAGGAGCTAGTTCCTGAGGGAGGACACAAAGTCGCCAGCAGAGAACGGACGCTGAGCTCCTCCCCAGGTGGACCTGCTCTGCCTGGGCGAGGAGAGGCAGCCTGCCCTCGGACAGTGACCAAGGTCCCCCTCGCAGGACCTGTGCTGCCGCCACACCTGGAGGGTCTCCTCAGCCCCTGAGCGGTGTGGGGGAAGGCCAGTGCAGTCACCCAGGGACTGTTGGGTTTCCTGGTGTTGGACACACCTCGCCCTGGGCCGTGTCCACAGACTTCTCCGTAGTGTTCATCACAGCTTGACTCCTCAGAGCCCAAATCTTAAGTCCCCTGTGTCCCCCGAGAGGCGAATGGGTGGTGGTGTATGTGCCTGGGGTGAGACTACCTCAGTGCCAGCGCCGTGCTGGCACCACAGCCCGTGCACATCCTTGTCCGGGGGCAGGGGTGTTAGAAAACAGGACTGGGTGACATTCTCAGGAATCCAGTCATTGGTCACCTGGCGCCTCCTGAGGGTGGCTGTGACTGCAGAGGGTTGTCGGGAACACTCAGCATCTCCACTGCAGAGCTGCCCACACAGGTGTGTGCATGGTCCGAGCTGTCCCTGCATGCACACTGCACTTCTCGCTCCACAAGTTCCAGTCCAGTTGATTTGAGAAAATGTGCACAAAATAGTTTTATCCCATATATAATAAACTAGCATTTGAAAACTTCACAGGTGTAGAATATTTTATTCCCAAAGCCTGAATAAATGAATAGCGGGGTCTGTATATTTTTAAGTAGATAAGATAGCATGCATTTAAAAGAAAGAAGGGGAGATGTGTTTGAAACTCATCAAAAATTTGGATGCCTAATCTGGGGGTTTTCTGGTAAGGAGATGGCTTCCAGCATCGCTCATGTTTTTCTTGAAGAACAGATACTCTGTTTTCTGCATTCAGTAAACGTGGGTAAGAAAGTACCAGCCCCTGCGTGACATGTTGCCGCAAGTGCTGTGGGTTTGTCGCTGTGACCATGCCGTGCGCGTGGCCCTCAGCTCTCGTCTCGCCCCAGGTGATGCTGTGCGGCATGCAGGAGGTGGACCTGGCCGACTGGCAGCGCAACGCCGTGTACCGGCACTACACCCGGAACAGCAAGCAGGTCATCTGGTTCTGGCAGGTCTGTGCTGCCCTCTCTGAACAGAGGACTCGGGATGTTTGCTAGTGCATTGTAGGTTAGACCACAGTTCCTGTTACACTGTCTTGGACGTGGTTTTTAGTCTTGGAATTCTAAGTCAAGTGAACGGCATGACCGCGCGGAGATCCTGTGTGTCTGTGCTCCTGGGTGGGAGGTGAAGAATCTCCTTTGACAGGGTCAGAAGTTACAGGCGTGGATGGTGTGTTCTAGCAACATCCAAGTATGCTCGTTCCCCTGGGTTCCAGAAGTAGAGGAAGTCGAGACACTGAGTGGCACGAGGTGACAGCTGAGACTCAGCACAGTCCCCAGGGTGCGACCCGCTCTCTGCCATGGCGGAAGCTGGTCCTGGGCATCCGTGTGCTGTGCACAAATCTCGATAGCAGCTTCCTGCTGTGTGTGTATTTGAACACTGGAAACGTCTAGATCGGGGCAGCTTCACGGAGACCTGGCAGTGGACCCACCTGAGCCATTGTGACGGCTGGTCCTCTGCCCGCTCAGGTGAAGTCAGCCTGAGTGTTTGGGTCACTGGAGAAAGGCTGTCCCAACGTGGCGTCCTTTTGTAAGGATGGGGATCGTGTTTATTACTTCATGCTTTGCAGATGTGTGGACACTTCTAGAAATTTCTTAGAGATACATTGTGACGTGCAGAATGGCACCTCCCAGAGTGTTCACTGTGGTGTCACTGGTACACAAAAAGAGAGGGGAGACGCCTGCTGTGTTGGGGGGCCGAGTGAATAAACCTTACCCATCCACTCTGCAGCACTCTGCCCCGGCCCAGTGTTCTCAGGTGCAGAGTGAGAGACGAGCAGTGTCTCCACCGCGGTGTAGGGGAGGAAGGCTGACTGGGGGCGCTGTCGAGGAGCCTCCCTCGGGTGGGGAGCTGAGCAGCTGGGGGCAGACACAGGCGCCTTCCCAGCCTGTCTGCATGTGTCTGACCGAGGAGCTGAGGCTTAGGCCACGTGAGGCCGTGCGATGAGCCATTTCCTGGCCTGGGCTGCTCTCAGGACAGTGCGGGTGTGCGCTAGCCCTGCTCACAGCTGTCCTGTCTGATGGGCCTGTCAGCAGCCAGCTGTGCACCCGTCCCATCCTCACCTAAGCTTAGCCCCCCTGAGGACACCTGCTCTCCATGCTCCTGCCTTCTCGGGGCCAGTTCAGATGGTGTTCCCACATCACCCGTCTGTCCCTCTCTGGAGAGTCAGAGGACTAGACTGCCTTGGAAGAGGGCACACTCGGGTTTCCAGGGTGAAGGGCAGAGTCCGGGAGAAATGTTGGTGGAGGAAGCGGTTTTGGCTCCTGGTCCCCGGAGGGGAGGAGAGGGGAGGGCAGCCGCCCAGGTCAGGACAGGACTAGAGCTCAGCCAGACCTGCGCACGCCCCCCCCCCCCCCCGCAGCCGTGCGAGCACACCGCTCGCCTGTCCAGCCTGTCTCCTCAGGTGTGGGGGTGCCCACGGTAGGGCTGCAGGCCGAGCAGCGCATGGAGGTGCTGGCAGGACACACCCGGCTCCCTGCAGCTCCCCTTCCTCTGCCGTGGTCTCCCCATCACTAGTCCTGATCCGCAGTCATTGCTGCGACCACCTTCTATCACTTCAATTTCTTATTCAACTTCACACTTAATGTTCAGAAAGAATTCAGGAATAATTGAAGTGTCTAGTGTTTTCATGATGGAAGATAACTTGGCATCGACCTCACATGAACTCTCTCCTGTTGCAGTTCGTGAAGGAGACTGACAACGAGGTGAGGATGCGCCTCCTGCAGTTCGTCACCGGGACCTGCCGCCTGCCCCTGGGGGGCTTCGCCGAGCTCATGGGTGAGCGCGTGCCCTGGGCCAGGGAGTGCAGAGGGCTGAGACGGGCTACCCACCCGCTGGCCGTGCGCCTCGGCGGCAGGGGGCGCAGGCTTCTGGAGACCCTGGTCTTGCACAGATGTGGTTCCTGCAGCTCACTGTGGTCCGTGTGATGAGCTCTGTTGTCTAACTGTCAAGACCAAAACGTCGGAAGGACCAGTTTAACCGTCTTGTTTTCCTCTTTAGGAAGTAATGGGCCTCAAAAATTTTGCATTGAGAAAGTTGGGAAAGATACCTGGTTACCAAGAAGCCACACGTGGTGAGTTGAAGCCAGAGTCTTGTTTTAAATGTAAGACCCTGTGACTGCTGATTCCGAGAGCAGCCTGACTCAGTCCTCCACGAGCGCCCTGATGTTCCGGGCTGGTCCGCTGGGTGCCGGCGTGCAGCCTGACCGAGCCGGTGCTGAGTCCGCTGCTGTGAAGTACAGCTGATCGCTCCCTGCCTCCCGGGGGAGGGTGCACAGCCGGCAGGCGGGCAGCGCTCGGAGGCCCGCAACAGGGAGGTGGGGTGGGTCACCCTGGGAAGGGCTGACTGCAGAGGATACACAGCATGCCGAGACGCAGGAAGCACGTTCTTTGTACAGGGCTGTCTGCAAAGACCCTGAAGTAGGAAATTGCAGAAGATGAGAAGACTGTTGTGCATGGAATGGGGGGTGGGCGGTTACAGGTCAGCTGTGCAGGCCCGGCCACGGCGGGGACCGGGATTTGAATAGACTGCTGTGAGAAACGTGGACATGTGCATTAGTTCAGTTGTATCAGTCACCCTTCTCTGGCCATTGAGTTTTTCAAATGTGCTGTATAAGTCCTGTACTAGAAACCTTCCCAGTTCATTTACTGAACACATATCTGGCTCTTTGTGTGCAGTTTCAACCGCTTGGACCTACCGCCGTATAAGAGTTACGAGCAGCTGAAGGAAAAGCTCCTTTTTGCGATAGAAGAGACGGAGGGCTTCGGACAGGAGTAGAGCTCATGGGCGGCGCAGGCCGCGCCTGCACGGAGGAGTGTGCCTAGGCTGTTCGCGGGCAGGGACTTTATGGGCGTCTCAAATATAAACGGTTTCCACTCAGAATATGCAAAAGAACTCATCCTTTTCTACTTTATTTATTGTTCCCTGAACTGACTGAGCAGGATAAGATCAACCTTAAATTCCGAAGTGAGGCTGGACTGGACGTGCGCTCTAGTTTTATAGAGCTGCCACGACGGCACTGTGGGCTGTGGGCGCTGGGGCGCGGGCCGAGCCTGCGTGGAGTGTGCTACCAGCGCTGCTGGCTTCCCCGGGCGCCCCCACACTCCACAGTCACCCCTCCGCTGCCGCAATGCCACACAGGAGTGAGGGGCCTCGGAGACAGCACACGAGGTCCCAGAGCAGGCATACCTGTACTTTATATTTTATGTGATGGTCTTTAAATTTAATTCATAATGAACGGATGGAATTTGATACTTAGGGACACATAAAAGATAATGTGAACTTTTTCACTTTTGTTTGTGTTCAAAATTTTAGTTCATAAAACCAGATGGACAGAAGAGTTCATAAGCATTTGAACTCAAACTAATGAGTCTAATGCTTTTCTATTCATGTTTTAATATCTCCATTCCTTTAAAATTCATGAAAATTCTATGTAGCTGAATTAAAGAAGCATATAAAAAATCTTTTGTCCTTACCCCCTTTCTATATAGATCATTATTTTTGTCCTAAGCAAATAACACTTTTTTATTGTTTTATCAAGGGCATTTGCTGAACTACAAAGATGTATAACAAATTAAATCTGATGTGAATGATATTAATGCTACTTTAGCAAATGGGGCTTCCTTATTAATACAAAAATTTAGATTTGTATCATTTCAATATACAATGTAAATTTCATTAACTTAAAATTTTTTTATAACTGCAGAAGTGACACCTTAGAATGTTAATATATTTCACTGCTGAGTACATATGAAAAATATTAGTATACAATTTAATTTCCCTAAACAGTTTGTTTTGCCAAAGTTTTATTTTTCTATATATCACTGTGTTCTGCATTTTTTCAAAACTCACAGTGAAGACGCAATAAAGGCAGTGCCCACCGGTCCAGCAGACCCCCCCCAGACCCTCGTCGGTGACTGCTTATTTTCGAGCCTAAAGGATTAAAAAAGAAACCACTGGTGTATGTGACAGGGTGACGAACAGTCCTCAGAGTGCTCCTCATTACACCCGACAGCTCAGCGTGAGAGCAGCCCCGGCCGGGCGAGAGGACGGCGGCTCAGGCCGGAGCTCTCGTGGCTGGTCCCCTCCCCACTGCAGGTAAGAATCTCTGTGACCAGACGGGCCAACAAGCCCTGGTCAGCTTTCGGGAGAACTCGCCAGGACTTCCCCCAGATGATGGCAGAAATGCGGACCCACAGGCAGGACCTGGCGCGGACAGTGCACCAGGCGGGGGCTGAGTCGCGCTGAGGCCACACGGGGAACAGCCCACGGGAGCGGCCTGCGGGCACAGCACACCACCATCTGCCAGACTGCCTCTGGCCTCCCCGGACACAAGCTGCAGAGGTTGTTCCTCGTCCTTCCTTGGCAGAGCTGAAAGGGTTGAGGAAACTGTTCCCTGTAGCCTTGGCTTTCCCACCTCTTAGCCTCAAAAGCAGATGGGGTGGCCAGCGTCAGCAACAGTGACACTAACTCTGTTGCTCTTCATCCATTCAGCTGAGAAGCCAAACTTGAGGCCCCAGGCATGTGGTGTGCCCAGGGGAAAGCGCAGACCCATCAGAAGGGAGGGCCTCCCACTTTCACAAGGCTCCTGTACACGCCGTGTGCTCTTCAGTCGCGGGTCCAGTTCACGGCCAACTGCAGGACGCCTGCACCTGAGCCCCGTGGCCCCCCAGTGGTAAGGGCGCCCGGGCACACAGACGCCTGCACGCGAGCCCCGTGGCCCCCCGGCAGTGAGGGCGCCCGGGCACACAGACGCCTGCACGCGAGCCCCGTGGCCCCCCGGCAGTGAGGGTGCCCGGGCACACAGACGCCTGCACGCGAGCCCCGTGGCCCCCCAGCGGTGAGGGTGCCCGGGCACACAGACGCCTGCACGCGAGCCCCGTGGCCCCCCAGCGGTGAGGGTGCCCGGGCACACAGACGCCTGCACGCGAGCCCCGTGGCCCCCCAGCGGTGAGGGCGCCCGGGCACACAGACGCCTGCACGCGAGCCCCGTGGCCCCCCGGCAGTGAGGGCGCCCGGGCACACAGACGCCTGCACGCGAGCCCCGTGGCCCCCCAGCAGTGAGGGTGCCCGGGTACACAGCCAAAGGGTCTTGAGTGAGCACTGCACAGCACACAGTGAGTGACCTTCTAGGGACACAGACAAGTCCCAAAGCGGCACCTCCTACATTCCAACTTTCCTCTTCCCAATCTTCACACATGAAAACGCAACCAGGTGGCAATGACACTTCAAGTACTGGCTGAAACAGTCACTCCTCAATGCTCACAATGCCGGGAGCCGGGTGTTTTCTGTTTCCTTTGTTGTAATGACACTTATTTTAGAGAACAGTTATTCTTACGAAGTTCACAGTCGATGACTAAACACTCAAATGGGAAAACTTTGCCAACAAGAAGTTAACTGAGTCCCTGGCTGGTTTGGCTCAGTGGCTACAGTGTTGGCCTGCAGACCAGAGGGTTGTGATTCCTGGTCAAGGGCATGTACCTGGGTTGCAGCTTTGATCCCCAGCCCAAGCCAGAATTGCACGAGAGGCAATCAATCGATGTGTCTTTTACATCAATGTTCCCCTCCTTCCCTTCTACTCTATCTGAAAACAAATGGAAAAATATCATCCATCAGGTGAGGATTAACAAAAAAACCCAAAAACCGAGGGCTGTCGAGTTCTTACAGGGTAGCGGCCAAGTTCAGATTTTTTGTCACGGCCTCAAAAAAGGAAACACGCCCACAGGAGGTCACTGACCCCTTGACCGTCTGTACTTTTCCCGACCACACGCCTCCGCACGAGCATGGGGAGGGCGCAGGGCTCTACGGACAGGACAGCCTGGGTCCCTGAGCAGGCAGCAAGTCTGACCCGAGGGGTGGACTGAGGAGGTGCCCTGTCCTGGTGGGAGCCAACCCTCAGTAAGGGGAGAAGACACTGGTGCTGGACCAGCCCAGCAACCACACTGCTCAGGTATCCCAGAGACGGGAGATGTCCTCAGGCCCAGTGCACCCCAGGTCCCCACAGCCTATAGGCCTTCAGTGGGTTAGGTTACATGAGCGATGAAATGCAATCAGCAATAGAAAGAAACGAACTACTGATCATTTAGATGGATTTCAAAGGAATTCTGCTGAGTGAGAAAAGCCGATCTCAAAAGGTCACACATTGGTGTCTAGAACGCTCTTGAAATGGCAGACGACAGGAACAGGCCAGGATGGGGGCGGGAGAGATGCAGGGGCCAGCACTAGGTGGCTTTGTGACACCAAGTCTGTGGCAGCCAGACCCCCAGTGACTGAGCCGCACACTAGGGAGAGCGCTCGGATCAGCCTGACGCCACTGTGTGGTGACCGTCTCCGCTGCAGGGGGCAGGAGGGGAGGGCCTCTGCGCAGGCTCTTGCAACTTCTGAGTCTACAATTATTTCCAAGTAAAATACGTTGTAAAGTTCTGTAAAGTATCAGCAGACACACCCTCCTCAAAAAGGCTTTATTACTAAAAGAGACCACACTTCACAACCACTCAGCAGAGGGTCTTCTACCCAGACCCGCGCCATTGCTCCTGCTGGTCCTAACAGCCCACATGTTCTCATCCCCAGGGAACAGCCTCCGTCCCTCTGAACGAAAGTGGTGAGCAACACTGGGCAGCGAAGCCCCAACGTGCACAACTCGCTGGGGGACCGGGGTTCTCAGTGAAACAGAGAGGCCCCCAGCCAGGACCCCCAGCGCTTCAGTCACTGCTGAGCAAAAAGATGGGCATGTTTTCGATTTCACAGAATGGCAGAAAATTAAATGCAATGCATGATGATTACATCCTGCTTCTAAAAGTGGAAGATATTTTGGAACGTTTGAGGTCTGTAAAGGCCTGGGTGTGAGATAAAGCAGGTTAACTTTCTACCTGTGACGATGGAGTGTGAAGGGGGTGTGGATTCTGAGACGACAAAGTAGCTATGGGTGGACGACGTCTGCAGTTAAGGTCAAGGTTCCGGAATAAATGCGTGACCGCACGCACGCACGCAGGCAGGACGTGTGACCCACGCACGCAGGCAGGACGTGTGACCACACACGGAGCAGAGCAGCAGCACAGGCCCCGAGGGAGCCGGCCCACACAGACTCCCGGTCCACACACTCCTCTCCAGGGGCGTCAGACTGCAGGAGGCGCCAGCCCGAGGAGTCAGCAGCAGCCCGTCTGCCTGAGACACCTCATGTCCCATTTCACCAAGCTCCATTATGGAGCAGGCGTGTGCTGTCAAGTCACAGGTGAGCCCAATCAGGGGCCCGTCCCATCACCCACGGAGACCGTTGGCTTCCCATCCCCACGACCCAGGTTCCCTCCTCAGGCGGCCTGGCTCCCAGACACACCATGTCACTGCTTTACACCCAAAACACCAACCCCAGCCTGACTCGCTGCCCCTTCTCCGCAAGGTCGCGCACACGCCCGCCTCACAGCGTTCCTGCCAGTTCCCCTCCATCCCAAGAGGCCAGTCCTCCAGGCCACCCCTCTGGAACCACTGGTGTCCCAGCACATGGGAACGGCGCAAGCCATGGGACTGCTCGGCCACTCCCGTGGTTACTGCTCTAGCCTTGCTGTTTGTGAAGAATGTGGTGCATTAGAAAAACGGAGACCAGCCAGGGGCAGTGCGGTTCACAACTTGTAATTGACAGGAGGGCAGTGTTCCCTGGGTCTCCCAAGCTGCTCAGTCCTTCACACCGAAGCCTGCGAGCAGCTGAGCAGCTTCCGTCTGCACCTGCAATGGAAACACCTGTCGTGCACAGCACAGCTCAGGAGCCAGCCTGTGAAGCCAGGTCACAGGTGACTGGCTCCTACGAGTTTCCCAGGCCCAGCCGCACGTGCAGGAACGGAACTGCCCAGCAGTGCCGGGGCCTCAGACTCGCCCACACCACACCCACTGCCCAGCCCTTGCGGTGCTTTAGAAATCTCATCTGATGGGCTACATGTCCGACAGGAATAAGTACCGCAGCAAGGAATCCATAACATCTGTCAGTAGTAACTAAGCATTTGCTGTATAGAAATTAGCATAAATATTAATTCGTGTTTGAAATGAACACTTATGCTTTTGGACAACTCATGTTTTAAAGGAAGCCAATTCCGTAAGTGTGGAGGGCGCCTCCCCGGCCCGCCGTCCGCACTGGGGCGCTACCTGCTTGTCCTCCTCGGTGCGGGCCGGGTAGTCCTTGGCCTTCAACAGCCAAAGCGCAGCCAGCTTCTTGTTCTGTAGCTTCAGATATGTCTTTCCTAAGAGGAGCAAGTTTTTGCTGTAGAAGTTTGGATCAACTGTTCAGAAGAAAGAAAAGCGAATTTACCTCAGATGAAATAGTATTGCTCTTATTTTTTTGGTCTAAATTCCAATAATTTGTGTGGTCGAAACAAACGCTCACTCACTGGGACACTCCTGTTCAGCTACCCCATCTCCAGAAGATGTGCGATAGGCCCCTGCACGCCCGCCAGGCGCCAGGCCTCGGATCACTCCCCTGGCGGGGCTGCGAGAAGCGGGCGCTCTGCCGGGCCTGGGAGACAGCCCTGCACAGGGGCCTCCTGCACCCCTCGCGTTCCCCAGCGCACCCCTTGCGTTCCTGCTGCACCCCTTGCGTTCCTGCCGCACCGTGTGCAGAGAATATCATGCACCCAGCACGTTTGCTGAACAAGACAAATCATCACACGCACACTGGACCAGCACATGCTGAGTAGGGCTACCCTTAGCACAGATCAAACAAAATCTCTGCTCTTTTGGAATTTATAATGAAAAAGAAAGAAAAACAACAGCACAATGAAATGTACGAAAGAGAAGAATTCCTTGACAGGTGTACAGGTTTTAAAGTGCAACGAGAAACCAAAGGAAAACGCGAGGTCACAGCGGGGCTGAAGCAGAGGTGGAGAGCACCTAAGGCGGAGGGGGCCGCAACACCAAGTCCAGGAACCGGGGGGTGGGGGGGGGTGGGGAGACACCACAAGACAGTCTCGCAAACCTCCCCACCTCTCCAGACTCCTGTCACCCTAGGGCCCTCCGTTCTCAAAGCACCCTTCCTCCTGCAGAGTTAAGTCCACCTGCTCTTACCCAGGCTTCTCCTTCCTGTGAAGGTCTGCAGGACGCCCCAGGGCTGTGCCCAAGCCGCCTCTGGAGTGCACCCTCCCACTCCTCTCAGCACCCCTGCCCAGGACCAGGCGAAACGCGGGGACTCGCATGTGAGCAGACGGCCCACCTTCCTGCACTTGGCCTTGGACACAGGGACAAGCACGCCCACAGTGCGTGACAAGGGTCCCGACAGAATTTCTGGGCACCGGGGACATCCAAACCAGATGTGGCCATGAGAGGCTGCCTCGAGCAAGTGACCCTCAGGGTAAACTCGGGACGATCGGGTGGAAGATTGCGCTCCCAGGAAAGCAGACCACGTCTCTCCCATCCCACACCCGAGTCGAACACCCTTTCAGGAACCTTCATTCCCACGTTCACACTCACGACAGGTGAACTGCCGTCGCGAGGACATCAGTGGGAGGCAGTAACAGTAATCAGAATTAACGTATTAGAGACAGTTAACATTCAGACACTTTTTCAGAAAAAGTGTTTTTTAAAAAGTACTTTGCTATCGTGGCAGCCCTCGGACAAGCCATCTGAGGGGCTCGCGAACCCCTTTCCCGGTCAGGTCTCACAGACACATCTGTAGTTGCTGTGGTGTGACGGCACACGCTCACGTCCTGGCTTCTGCGGCCTGTGCTCACACCGAAAGGCCGCTCAGGGCGGGGTGCCGGTGGAGGCCGCCTCCGCTCAGAGCCAGAGGGACGCGCAGCTCAGCGCCTGCTCGGGCATCTGCCCTGGGCTACGGCGACGGGCTGGGCCAGCACCTGCCCAGCCGAGTGGCCTTCGGTCTGGCAGCGAGGCCGTGGGAGCTCTGAACCACACAGTGGAGGACCAGTCCAGGGGCAGCCCAACGCTCCCTCCTCAAGTGATCCTCACCGAGTAAACCTTAAGGCTGTCTGCTAACCCCAGTGCAAAGGTGTGGCAGAATAAAGTAGTTGTGTTTTAAAATTCCTATTATATATAAAACACACGATTTTAACTATATTAGTATCTGAAATAAAAAATAGTTTACCTTGTTCTGCCCTCTGAAAGTAGCCTAGGGCCTGTAAAAACACAAAGAACCCCAATATAATTAAAAAAGATTTCAAGACTTATTAAAAAACATTTTCTTAGCATCTATCCCTATATTAAATATGAGCCAGGGAGCGCATAAAACACCTTAAAGAAATGGTCGCGTCATCCTCAGGGAGGGCTAAGCGCTCAGGGCCGAGCACAGCCCACACGTGGGCTCGGCCAGCAGTGCGTGTCTGCATGTGGCACCCGGCTGAGCGCGTTCATGCGACTCGGCATTTTCCCCTTCCTTCTCCAGCCCTGACAGCGACAACCAGTGACCCTGAGTCAAGTCAAAGCTGCCGTTCCTCTGCGGCACGTGCTTGTACCAGGGAATGTTAAAAGTCCTTGACCACTGAAATCCTTCATAAAACGTCACTGAGAGTGCGAAGAGGCTAATTCTTTCTGATTCAGTTTTGTAGGACGCTGGCGGACAAGTGATCTCTTAAAAGCAACCTGCTACAGCAGAGCTGTTTTCTCTCAGGTGCATTCTTTCATGACACCCATTCTCCCCGTGCCTCGCTGCGCTGCACATCCAATTCCACACGGCAGCCTTCTAGGGAAAAGAGCAGCTCCTGCCAGCCGGTGTGGCTCCGTGGACTGAGCGTCGTCCCGTGGACTGAGTGGTCCCGGTTTGATTCCCAGGCAGGGCACATGCCGGGTTGCTGGCTTGATCCCCAGTAGGGGGTGTGCAGGAGGCAGCTGATGGATGTTTCTATCTCCCTTCCTCTCACTCTAAAAAAATCAATAAAAACATAGTTTAAAAAAAAAAAAAAGCACCTCCTTATTTTGACACCAGTATTGAGCAAACTACTTCAATTGCCTGTTTCCTCACTCTGAAATTTTTTTGACAAGTAAATCCAAAATGTTCGCCCAGAAATCCCTTTGAAAGTCCTTTCAGCAGCACCTAAAAGAAGTTATCGGCACGAAGCCATGTTTATTCAGCAGGTAAACGACGCATTGTGCAGAACCAGTCCCTAAAACAGGCTGAGGAACAGGCGCTGCACCTCCTGGCCCAGTCTATCACCTTACGGAGTAGGCTGCACACAGAGACCAAAGGCAGCTATTCGCTGTGGGCACAACAAGCCCCCACTAGATCGCCTGGGAGCCACGGACACGGTGATGGCCGCACGTGGCTCAGCCCGGGGCCCGGAGAACGCAGGACCTGGGGCTCAGTCCCGAGGCTCCAGGATCTCACACACCTCCTCGTAGGTGGAGCTGGGCGGGGCTGCAAACAGCATGTTGGCGATTCTTCTCTGATACCAAGGCATCTCGGCAAACGTGTAACACCTGGGGAAGGAAAGTGACATCTGTACATCGAATGGCACCTCGTTTTCTCTTGGAGAGTCAAGCTTCTTCGCAGACACACGGGGAATCTCCTGTCGTCTGTTCAGCTTGCACTGGATGTAATACTTAGTCAGCCACCGCTCCCCCTGAACTGCGCAGAGACCGACCGGCACTGCCCACGGGCTCTGTGGCCAAGCGCGCACGCCAGCGTCACTGCCGCCAACTCTCCTCACAGCAGCCACTTTCCTACATGAGGAAAACTAACTGAGAAGTTAAAAAAGAATTAAGAAAAATGACAAAACTAAACATGATGTGCATCAAAAACAATGGCAGCCAACAGCTTTAAGAACATACGTTTAAAAGCAGGAAGCACAGCTGGCCGGTTTGGCTCAGCGGTTAGTGCGTCGGCCCATGGACCAGAGTCCCGGGTTCAGTTCCCGCTAAGGGCACATAGCTCGGTAGCAGTTTGTCCCCGGCCCTAGCTGGGGTTGTGTGGGTGGCAGCCAGTTGATGTGTCTCTCTCACATCGATGTTTCTCTCTCTCTTCCCTCCTCTCCCTCCCGCTCTATCTGAAGATAAATGCAAAAATGTCCTTAGGTGAGGATAAAAATTTTTTTTTAAATGAATAAGTATGTAAAAGCAGGAGGTGAATGGCTGGCACCCAAGCCCCCTGACCCATTTCCTACAGTAAGTAGGAAAGTGACTGCGAGTGTCAGCGTATGTCCTTCGTCCTGCAGCTGACCGACCTCGGAGAGCATGGCACATGGTCTGCACTGCCCCTTGAGGGGACAGTAAGTACTCAGCCCTGCAGACACCCCATAGCAAATGGTGTCGTGCCTGTGTCCAGACAGACTCCTAAACCAGCAGGCTGGCACACGGAGCCAAGGGACACACGGACCAGGAGGCACTGAGAGGTGACCTGCACGCAGACACACTCGGGACGCAGAGGCCCGAGGCCCGTGCTCCCCCAGGGTGGGCAGGGACCCAGTGTCACTTTGCCAGGGAAAGAATAGCTGTTCCCAACAAAGGGCACTTGACCATCTACCAAAAAGTTCTAATGCCTTTTCCAGTCTTAGTGCAGTCACCTCCCCCATCCACAGTCTCAGTGTCTGCAGCTTCAGTCCCCATGGTCAACCGTGGTTCCAACTATTAAATGAAAACTTCCAGAAATAATTCCTTCCAATTGAATGCCCTTCCAAGTACGGTGATGAGCTCGCATGTGACCTGCACAGTCCCACTCAGGACAGGAATCGTCCTGTGTCCAGGGTGCCCACACTGCAGACGCCCCCACCTGTCTCAGCCATGAGACGGACTGTGGAGGTATCACAGGGTTTGTGTTCAGGTCACCTTGACTTTAATTCATAACAGCCCCAAACACAAGCGTCGTGATGCAGGCCCTCCGGGCATGCCCAGAGAAGCCACGGGCCTCCTCACTCGAGAGGTGATCGGGCAAGAGCAGCAGACAGGCTGGGAACCTCGGCGGCTCTGGGAGCCACGGGGCCTGGACACGTGCCCGCGGACACGGGGATGGGTGAACGCAGGTGCTTCTAGGTGATCTGAACCACAATGTCTGACATGGTCAGTCAGATTTAGTAATTTCCAACAATACACGCACAACTGCTGGTTAATTTAATGGATTAAGCACTCCTGACTGCCAAATAGTATTTTAAAATACTTTACATCTTGCTTTTTTAAACGCTATAAGATCATACTAAGTACCACTGAAATAGGTATTCAAAGAAATTTTCTTACCAAATACCCATTAGGTGAATTGAGGTAGCATCTTTCGGGTTCAGTTCAATTGCTTTCTGACAAGAAAGGAGAAAAGCAATCATTTGTTTTCTAAATAGCAATAAGGACTTTGTCATTGCTGAAGGAGCCAGGATGTGAAGGGTCTCGGATCCCTGCAATTCAACCTTCCATGATCATCCAAACCAGTCCCGACTCTATAACTGGTTACATTTGTTTCAGTACATGCCAAGTGGCTGATATTAAGGTTACCCTTATAGGGTTCAGAAACTGCGAACAGAGATTCTCAAGATGACAAAAACATGAGATCTGTAAGTGAAATTAATTTAAAAAATAGTGCCCTGGCTGGTTTGGCTCAGCGGTTAGAGCGTCGGCCCGCGGACCAGAGAGTCCTGGGCTCAGTTCCCGCTAAGGGCACGTACCTCAGTTGCAGTTTGTCCGTGGCCGCAGTTGGGGTCGTGTGGGTGGCAGCCAGTCAGTGTGTCTCTCTCACATGGATGTGTATCTCTCTCTTCCTCCCTCTCTCCCTCCTGCTCTATCTGAAGATAAATGCAAAAATGTCTTCGGGTGAGGATAAAAAAATGGTAATAATCTATAGGTCTCAATGATTCTTCCTGCTAGATTAAAAGAAACACAACGTTCTTTTGTCCGAGCCCCATGTGACTACGGAATGAAAGCACTTTTCCGAAAGGGACAAAGCCCCTAACTCCAGGGAATCCGTGCGGAGCCAGCTCGCTTCCCTCTGCCCACGGCTGAGACGTGCAAGCAGTCAGCCTGGGCTCACAGGGTGGGTCTCTGTTTCTACTAACTGCACGCCTGTCCTGTGGGAACTGCTGCAGAGCATAAACTACAGAATAACTTTATACAGCTACTCCTCCTTTATACATTATTTTGTTGAAAACTGCTCAGGAAATTTCACAGATTAATGTAATATGATTCAAAAGAAAAGACCCTTGCCCTGACTGGTTTGGCTCAGCGGTTGGAGCGTCGGCCTGCGGTCCAGAGAGACTCAGGTTTGGTTCCCGCTAAGGGCATGTACCTCGGTTGCAGTTTGTCCTCGGCCCTGGTTGGGTCGTGCAGGTGGCGACCACTCGATGTGTCCCTTTCACATGGATGTTTCTCTCTCTCTCCCTCTCTCTCCCTCCCACTCTATCTGAATAAAAAATGGAAAAATGTCCTCGGGTGAGGATAAAAAAACAAAGACCCTTTTTTAGAAACAGACTTCCTAGCATATGCCTCTGTGCACCCACCTTTCCGTGTTCAGGTGGGAACGTGTGACACACACATTTTCAAATCTTGGTGCAGCTTCGAGAGTGGGCTGTGAAGCCAGGCCGCCTGGGCCTGGACCGCAGCTCCTGACTCCTGACTCTAGCTCGTTTCTACGTTCCTGCCCAGGTGCCCTTCCAGAGACCCAGCAAACCCCACTCCTCCCAATGGGGCCGTGGTGGGAATGACGGGACCGAGTAACAGGAGGCACTTCACACGGTGGCGTCTTCTGTCACCCCGTCTACTTTTCTTAGGACCAGCCGTGGCCCGTGTCAGCAGAGGTCACAGGAGAGCCACTGAGGTGACAGGCAGGGCTCCTGCTTCAGTAACATGAGTAAGAGCACCAGCCGGAAATGTACTTTTCCATAAACACAGGGACATGATTTGCAGCAAAATATATTCTAGAGCATATACAACTGAGCTCTGTTCTGCTGGAGCGCCACTAGGGAACGAAGCCCTGCAGAGACTGCGTGAGGAGCTGCGCTGTGTCCCACCAAGGCAGCACAGCCGAGTGACGTTCTCGATGCAGAAATTAATTTAACACGTTCACAGTGCCCGGGCACCAGAGGCCCCTTCCCCATGGCACGGGCGAGACGGACTTCTCGCCAGCAAATCCTTCCAGTCTAAGTGTCTTCAAAAACAACCCAAAGAGCCCTGGCCGGTTTGGCTCAGCAGTTAGAGCGTCGGCCTGCGGTCCGGAGAGACCCGGGTTCGGTTCCCGCTAAGGGCACGTACTTCGGTTGCAGTTTGTCCCCAGCCCTGGTTGGTCGTGCGGGTGGCAGCCACTCGATGTGTTCCTTTCATGTCGAAGTTTCTCACTCTCTCTCCCTTCCTCTCTCTCCCTCCCATTCTATCTGTACAAAAAATGGAAAAATATCCTCGGGTGAGGATAAAAAAAAAAAAAAAAAAACCCAAAGATTTAATTCCGTCTGACTTTACATGTAATAATGGAATCTAAACGAGTACAAATGATAAACACTAAACGCTGTCATTTTAAAATGCTTAACACATGGGTGAAAGCTTACACAAAACACTGTATTTTAGAATATAGCCCTCATGATTTTAAGTACAATATTTATTAACATAGTTTCTGTAATTTTTCATTGTTCACATCGGAAGTTATTTGTCCTGTCTGTGTACACACCAGGGCACAGAGTAATTTAGGAGACGTATCTAATGCCACCAAGTAAAACGCTGTATCTCACTGCATCTAAGACACCTGAAACATGCCACCTATCAGTGGTTTATGCAGCACGAGGAAGAAAAAGAACTATGAGAGACCACTGACTACATAACGCAGTCTAATTTCAGAGGCCTTAAAACGTGAAAAAGGCATAAACTGAAATGTATATACATGTGTGAACATACATGTATGGACACACGCGCACACACACATGCTCATACTACTCATGCCTGAGTAAGAAGCCAGATCTCCTGATTCCCCGCCCAGTACTCTCTCGACGAGGACCTGAGGCGATCACCTTCGCACTGCAAAGTGCTGTCACTCGGCCTGCCGTGCTCCCTGCAGGTCGCGAGGATCCGACATCCCGGCGCGCCGTGCAGTTCTGCTGGGAGGGCAGTGGAGTCGTGCGCACACACACTGTGGCACACAGACCCGGGGGAGAGCTCAGGGTGAGCACATGAACTAACTTCAGGGGAGACACTGAACACACCCGGGTAACAGTGTACACAGTGCTGTTAGTATGGACCGTGAGGAGCCCACACCTCCCGCTACGGGACCCTGTACAGTCCCCTCACAGACTCTGGCTTTGGCCACGTGACTTGGGTAGGTTGAAGGGATGTTCCCACGTGCGAGGCAGGTTTGCACACGGGACCGCCCCCTGGCGTGCCACTCTGGAAAGCCAGCAATCATGCCGTCAGGTGTGGGTCAGGTGACGGAAGGGACAGAAACCCGTCCTGTACACCAGTCCTGGCCGAGGAGCCGACGGCGCATCCCCGCGAGCTGAGCTGCACCTGCAGAGCAGAAGCACCGGCGTGGCCACCCAGCACTGGAGGACACCTGTCACTGCTCCAGGCCGCAGGGCGAGGGCTTGCTGAGCTGCAGGGTACATGAAGCACATCTGTCCAGGGAGCTGATGCTTGTCAGTTCATCGTACCTCAAAATGCTCCTTGATGACGTAGGCGTTTGCAATTTTAGCCTTGATGCCTTCGTAATCGCCAACATCACTGATGCAGATGGCATACCACTAAACAGAAGGAAGCAGGTGTCAGGAATAGCAGTCCTCAGCGGTCCATTCAGTACAGGGAAACTAACTAATGCTCTTCCTCAGTTGTCATTCTCAGGCAACAAAAAGCCACGGAGCATGAACACTGTGCCACATCCCCTGGGACAGACAGCGCAGTGGACAGGCCTTGGGAGCTCCAGGGACGAGACCAGAGAACGAGGCCGGGAGCAGTGCCTCTCTAATCGCCAAGAAAGTTATCAACACGCAGTGATTCATGTCAATGGCTGAGTACACAGATTTAGAAAAGTCCCGGGCTCAATAACAACCATCTCACCTTCTCATCCTTTTCCTGGGAGCTGCCTCCTCCCCGCCATGTGCACTGTCACAGTAGTAACAGCCACACCTGCTGACCGGGACCCTGTCCCCACAGCCACACTGAGACACCGGAGCTTCTCCCCAAGAACGCAGCCCACAGCACACGCCCCGCACACACAGGGCTGAGGAGTCACAGGGCCTGTGCTCGGAGGCTCCGCCCCCACCCAGGACTACACGGCTGGCAGACAGGGTCAGTGAGGACGCTGCCACCTCTCTCGGCTGACCGGGCCTGAGTGACACCCAAGCCTCCCAACACAGGCATGAACGTGCATGAAGAACACCGCAGAGATGGGCTGTGACTGGGCCACAGAAGTCCTGACAGATTTAAAGGATTGCATCCTTAGTAAAAAACAGTATGCCAGGGGATGGACGAGCCCCTAAAGGGAGCGTTCGGACATGTCACCATGACCTGCAGCTCTCCTGAGGACAGTCCACCGTGCTCCAGTGACGCCCCGTCCAAAATGCCACCGCCCTGTATTCTCCCACGGCCGCTGAGAACCGCTGTGCTGAACCCGTCGGGAAACCCAAAAACGTGGGAAGTCCCACAGGAAAGTCCCACTTGGTCTCAAACCAGAAACAGAACGAGAGGAAATGAGAGAACACCTGTCAGGTGCCTGACCACTGGGTTGAGATCCAGGTAATTCATGGAACTACTGACATGTCTGGTCACCAAACGCACTCACGAAGGTGACGTGTTCAAGAATGAAAGGAAAGAACTTCCTCACACCTCTCTCCCGACTTTCAAGCAGAGAAGGTTCTCCCTCGTGGACCTGGGACAGCAGACCACCCAGGGAGTGCCCACAGGACACGGGAGTGGCTGTCACTCTGAGCCTCACCTTGTGAGCCGCGGAGCTGGCCTGGGTCCTCTCCAGCGCCCTCCTGGCGCACTCCAGGGCCTCGTACACCAGGGCCCTCCGCTCCTCCCCCGCGGCTCCGCGGAGCTGCGCCAGGTCGCGGGATGCCCGAGCCAGCCGCCACAGCAGCTCTGCGTCTTCGCTGATGAGAACAAACACAAAACCACCACTTTGCTGATTTCAGAGGAACATCCATGTGAGAGACACTGTTCTGTGGCCTCCCGAATGCACCCCGACAGGGTCAAGCCCACAACCTAGGTGCCCTGACCAGGAAATCGAATCGACGACCTCTAGGTGCCCGGCACGACACTCAACCAGCAGAGCCCACCGATCAGGGCAGGCACTCTAGTTTTCAAACAGGAGATGTTTTTAGTTTCTCTGAACTGTGCTTCTAAAGCCATACACAGATACCATACAGGGAGGCACACAACGACCCCAAATCATTTAAAACTTACACCAATATGACAGCACTTTAAAAGAAATGAGAAATATTCAACATAGGTGATATAACCGTATATTCAGCAACTTACCTTGTATGATCCATTACAAATAACAAAACATTTCAGTGTTGTACTAGAACAACCTTTTCTAAACCAATGACATATATGCAGCATTTTTAAATCATTTAATGTACAAAAGAAACAGCTATAAATGAAATTCTAGTATCATTCTGAAGTGAACACCTTTCAAGACCATGACCCACTCGAAGTGTCCCGGCCCACGTGGGGCCACTGAGCGGTGTGCCCAGCGCTAGTGTGCTCACCTGTCCTTGTACCGGACCAGCAGCTGATAGAGCTTCTCCGTCTCTCCGCTTTCATACAGGTAGTCAGCCTGCTGGAGGATTTCTTCACTTCCGAAGACTACAGAAGAAAGGGCACAGTTAGGCTGTCTCCCAAGCCAGATGGCAACAATTTTAGGAAACAAAGGAAACCAAAGACCCGAAACTCGAAGGCATCTACATGTAAGTGCGGTAGAAGTAAGTATGAAGCTATCATAAGGGTTTATTTAAACCATGGCAAACAAAGAACTAGAAAACTTATTCTTGTACTAAGTGAGATACATTTTTTAAAATGAGAAAGGAACTTCCCATGAGAAGGTTTGGTACCAACACTCTACAGTCTCTGCTGCTACCGCTGCTCAGCACCAGCCATTGTGGGGAACGATGACAGGACACCCGTCGCAGTACTGAAATTGTTCATCTGCAGGGACTGAGCCACCTGTCCCAGTCGGTTCTCTTTGTGACCCACACTTTGCAGAAGAGGAAAATCCAGCATGAAAAACAGATACGATAAACGACAGAGAACCTGGTGTACCTCACTGACACTGCTCACCCAACTCAACCAGTGTAGACACGACCTGCAAACACCCAGGCCTAGTGTGATGCTCTGACAAGTCGCTCCACCTGCTACTGAGGAACAGAGACCTGCGTTCCCTCTTCTACAGTGGTGCCTGTTATTCAGTTCTGCAGAGGACCCCACACTCCAATGTGTTCAGTTCCATTTACTATTTATCTTGGAATGTTTTAATTCGTCAATCAGAGTGTATTTGAGGTCCGAGTTTTGAAATATTAAAACCTAGTTCATCAAAAAAAACTCATGAATGTATGACACAACCACATGAAGTAGTTTTCATTAAGTTAACATCATGATGTATCATATACTCGTTTAAGAAAATTTAAATGACAATGGAAAAAAAAAAAAAAAAAACAAAACCCTAAAATTAAAGTTTTTTTTTCCTTTCCTTCTTTCATCCTACTTCAATCTGGTTAAGTGCTAGAGGTTAATACTATTCACAGAGCTGGTTAATTTCCTTAAGTTGGCTTCCATTTTATTCTGTATTTTTATCAGTGGCTGAGTCTCCAAACTTGGGTTCTAACAACACAAAGACTCTTTGTACAAAGAGTAAGGGGGTATCCCAGCATTCTCAGCCACTGTCTGTTGGCGTCCACGTCTGAACCCAGGACCTGTGACAGTGTGCAGTGTCCAGGGCAAAGGCGAGTCACGTTGACAGATGGATGAGCCGAATCAGCCAGCCTGGAGATAGGACACGACCTTGGATAAGCCGGGTGGGCCTCACAAGGGACGAGCGAGGGAGCAGCAAGTCCTAGGAGGTCTGACCGGAAACAGGGCCCGCGGGGCATGGCTGTGCTGGGGATGGAGGGACAGGCCTCCAGACAAGGAACGCGGGGAAAGCCTCTCACGCCTGAAACACCAGGAACAAGCTGCCCTCGAGCCGCCAGGACCCCTGCCGCCTCCCTGACTCGAACCCAGGGGGACTCACTCTGGACTCTGCCCTAGGAACCGGAAGGTCATACATGTGTAAGTCACGAAGCTGGTGGGAACCTGTCACAGTGGTGAAGGAGCCTGTGCCACATGGAACGTCCCGCTCCACACGAACGAACGCGGACGAGGCCTGTGGGAGCCGCAGAGCACATGTACTGATCACGGATCCTGCTCCCACCCCAAGGAGCCCGCTGGAGACTCCCGTCCACAGAGGTCAGCAACTCTGCATTCACCCCCGTGCAATGGAAAGAAACATGCAGAAATCTAGTGAATAATTTAACTTTTTTGTGTGCATTATTCTTTTATAACTTCTTAAATCACTTGTCTCCAATTTCTTTTTTTTTTTTTTCTTTTTTTTTTTTTTTAATCCTCATCCGAGGATATTTTTCCATTTTTTGTACAGACAGAGTGGGAGGGAGAGAGAGGAAGAGAGAGAGAGGGAAACATCGATGTGAAAGGGACACATCGAGTGGCTGCCACCCGCACGACCAACCAGGGCCGGGGACAAACTGCAACCGAGGCACATGCCCTCAGCGGGAACCGAACCCGGGTCTCTCCGGACCGCAGGCGGACGCTCTAACCGCTGAGCCAAACCGGCCAGGGCTCCAATTTCTTTATTAGACAGTACAGTACTACAGTGCCCAGGCTTTAAAAACACGTTTTCCCTGACCCAAACAGAAATGTCTGAGACGGTTCCACATGTGATCTACAAGACAAGATGCCCTTCCTCTGACACAGACGCCCAGAGCACGGGGTGGGCGCATGCAGACCACGCACATCTCTGCAAACCAGCTGTTGTTTCCTCCTTTAATGCTCTGCACTTTTCCTTTAAGTATTTTCTAAATACTTAAAAATACACTATGTCACTGACAGAGAGACCACATTCTATAAACTAAACCAAACTTTTAAAGTAAATTACTTTTCACCCTGGACGGTTTGGCTCAGCAGTTAGAGCATCAGCCTGCGGACCAAAGATTTAAGGGTTCAATTCCGGCAAGGGCATGTACCTTAGTTGCAGTTCATCCCTGGCCTCAGGGTCGTGCGGGAGGCAGCCAGTCAATGTGTCTCTCTCACATCAATGTTTCTCTCTCTCTCCCTCCCTCTCACTCTGAAGAAAAATGAAAAAATATCCTCAGGTGAGGATTAAAAAAAAAAAGGTAAATTACTTTTCAACTTCAGTAATCAATATGTACCCCAAGATGAACTGAGATATTAATTCACCTACCACTGTACAGTGAAAATTTAAGTTTAGCCTTTAATGAACATGCGCAGGATCTTAATCCCTGAACCTCTGAATTTTTGGGGAAAGATCAGTGATGTGCCTGCATGTGCCTGGCGGTCAACGCTGGTTTCCTGGTTCTCCTGCTGAGCGCGCTGGGGGCCACACGAGGCACCAGGCCAGGGATAAAGACTCCTCTTCGCAGGTAAAGTAGCTCTTTCTGAAGTTTCTGTGCAGAACACTTAGGAAGCAGGAAATGAGCACATACACTTTCTAGACACTCTAAGATCTCCCTAGATACCAGAAGGCTCTGAGCACCGACAACTACATGCAGTGTCAGGCACACTTTCACACTGATGCTCCTGGGCAGGACTGGGGTGAGGCTCCAAGGCCCGGAGACTGACCACATCTCTGCCCTGTCATCAGTAAAGAGCTTCAGCTCAGGGAGAGACAATGGCAGTGATTTGGGAAGGTCACTCAAGTGGAGCCACCCTGAAGCATTTTACAAGTGAACTTTCAGGAACACAAGAGCATTGCCAATGTGTCAGATGTCTTGAGAGGCTTTAGATTGTTTAAGGAAATAACACACTTTCTATTGGAGTGCTTCAAAATTACTGCTGACGAGCAGGTGTGTGGCACAATCTTGTGACAATTACAGACACTGCCATTAAAAAGTGAGTCTTGCCCTGGCCAGTTTGGCTCAGCAGTTGAGTGTTGGCCTGTGGACCGGAGAGTCCTGGGTTCAGTTCCCACTAGGGGCACGTACCACAAAAAAAAAAAAAGAGTCTCAATCCCATCCAACCGAAATGTCCAAAGCATAGATGCCGTTAATTTCTAAAAATGTCCACTACAGAATATGATTTAATTCCAATAAGTGGAGAAAAAAATTTAATTGGTTTGAATGTGCATAAAGCAGATCTAAGGAGAATTTAGCAAAAGTTTTTATGAATAGAATTACTTGAAGACTCATTTCAGAAAAATACGAAAAGCCCTGGCCAGTTTGGCTCAGCGGTTAGAGCGTCGGCCTGTGGGTTCAGTTCCCACTAGGCCCATACCAAAAAAGGGGCACATACCAAAAAAAAAAAAAAAAAAAACCCACACAAAAAAAGAACCACAGCATAGCAAAGAGAAGGGAGAGGACCAAGTAAAACCTGTAAGGACCTATGAAGCTACATTTTCATACAAACATGGATCATTTTCCAAGTTATAAAAAACATGGCATCTCTATTTTATCAATAACTGATGTTTTCTCAAGGGTCACAGCCTAGTCTCATAAACAAATTACATGATCATGCTAATCAACTGATTATGAAGTGAAGTTTTGTTCCAGAAAACAAAGCTAGAGCAAATGAAGGGAAGTTAAGCATACACCCATACTGTTCTCCCCATAAATTTCAAGTGCTCAAAATATGCTTGAAAATAGAGAAAGAACTCTACAACATAAGGCAGGTTTCATTAAAATCTGCAATAAAGCCCTGGCAGGTTTGGCTCAGCGATTAGAGCGTCAGCTCGCAGACCAGAGACCCGGGTTTGGTTCCTGCTAAGGGCACGTACTTCAGTTGGTTTGTCCCCAGCCCCGGTTGGGGTCGTGTGGGTGGCAGCCAGTCGATGTTTCTCTCTCTTCCTCCCTCCCACTCTATCTGAAGATGAATGCAAATCTGTCCTCGGGTGAGGATAAAAAGAAAAAAATCTGCAATAAAGCCCTGGCCAGTTTGGCTTAGTGGTTGGAGCGTTGGCCCATGGACCAGAGTCGCGGGTCCAATTCTGGTCAAGGGCACGGACCTTAGTTGCAGTTTGGGCCCTGGCCCCGGTTGTGTTGTGCGGCAGGCAACCAGCTGATGTCTCTCTCACATCGATGTTTCTCTCTCTCTCCCTCCACCCCCCCATCTGAAGATAAATGTGAGGATTAAAAAAAAAAAAAGTCTGCAATAAATACAATGAATTCAGTTTTCAGAATAAGCTACACCTTGGAATATTAAAATGTTGTTTTTCATGTTTTTATTTAGTGCTAGGATTGGAATGAACATCTTGAGTTATTTCTGCATATACATATTTTATTTTTCGCACTGCGGAGGAGCTTCCCACCTCCTCTGAATAGCATAGACAAGCACACAGGTATAAGCTGGTCGAAGTGAAAGCATCAGCATGTGCTGGGTAAAAAGGATCAGAATTTCTGTAACACAACATACACACATCACATACTTTTGGGCCAAGTGACAACTACGCACGTAGAAAGGCAAGTACCGCACATCAGAAACCCCACCCATTCTGATGCAGTCACTCAGGCCCTGGGAGAACAAGGAACATCCAGCACCCAGAGCTGAATGAGAAGCTGGAGAGCTGAGCTGTGCTACCCCATTCCCTCTTACAACCTCTATCAATCCGAGTTCATTCAAAGCCTTGATTACAGTCCTGTGACCACCATCTCTCCTGGGAGTTCAGAACAACGGCTTTCAGTCCCTGGGAAGCTCGAGCTCCCTCAGAACGTCCCCAGATTTCTCCGCACTTTTAAAAGGAGCCCCTCGCCAGGGGGCGTTGTCTGTGTGAGGCCGCAGTATCCCTCTCTCCCAGGACACATTCTTTCCCAGGGGCCCCAAGTCCTCTCCTAAGATTCAAAATGCTTCCCTTAAATCAGCAAGAGGGGCCAACAGCCAAGCCAGGGGGCCCTTTCATTACCACCATCTCCTAGCCACCGGCAGTCATTTCTTCGCGGACAAGTCCCCATTGCTCAGGATCCTTTTCCTTCCCTGTAGCCGAGTTTGGATCCTTCAGAAGGACACCAGAAACGGGGGAAGAGAGTGAGGAAAACAGGTGACAGGGAGACCTCGCCAACCCCACTGCGACTGTGCAGGGCCATGCCCAGCTCAGGCGGGCCTCACTGGGGCCTAGGACCTTAAAATGTTATCTGTATGCTACTGAAAATGCAGCAATTTCACATCACTAGATACTTCTGAACACACGGGCCGTGACCACAAGGCTAAAGGAACCTGGACTTGGCCTCCAGGTGCTGGTTTGCTGCTCAGGAGCACGAGCCCTGCGCTGGTCTCCGCAGCGAGGGACACAGAGACAGGAGGTCGAGTCTCTGCTCCAACACCTTGACTTTGAAGAAATTTAACTTGGTGAGCGTCTTTCCGACAATTAGTATGATAATGGAGAGCGCGCGCGCACACACACACACACCTTCAAAGTGCACCCACTGAGCACACCTCTGAGGATAAACTGTCTAAATGTTAATACTCTGATGCGATAACATGCCTGTCTCCACGTCACCCAGTTGCTGAGAATGCTGAAGCTGCGGTGAAGAGCTCAGGGATTTTAGAAGCTGAGCAGTTTCGTTTGCCCAAATACGCCATCGAGCCGATGACGGAGCCAAGCCCTCCGCGTCCTTCCCAAACAGTGCGTAACAGGACAGACAGAAATCACACAGCATTCTCAATCATTTCCTTTTTAAAAAAAATTTTTTTCTTTTTCCTTTATTGATTTGGGGAAGAGAGGAAGAGAGAAACATCAAGACAGAACATCGACTGGCCGCCTCCTGCACGCCCCTGACTGGGGTTCGGGCCCACAACCTGGGCATGTGCCCTGACTGGGAATCGAACCAGCGACCTCTTGGTGCAGGGTCAACGCTCAACCACGGAGCCACACGGGCCGGGTTCAATCATCTACTTTTTAAAGAATAGTCACAGATACATAAAATTAGTAAGTAATAATTTTTAGCTAACATTCTGGAATTCTTCATCTACCAGAACTTTAATAAGAATGTCCATTCAAGATCAAATCTCTGCTGCTTTCTCCTCCCTCCCTCAGGGTGAGTAAAACGCGGGGCTGTGAAAAAAGGCTTCACCTGTAAATTAAGAGATTTTTTTCTAATATGATGAAATTTTGCCTCTGTGTATATCCACAACTTGTTTAACTATATTTAATTTTTAAAATATGGCAACTCTTAATATATGTTTATTTATCTACAGTATGCCAAGTAAGAAATTTGGTGTAATTTTTCTACTTTTCAACCAGTTACTTGATACTTAGTACCAAATTGCATTGTTCATAAATTAAATACTTCTACCTCAAAGCAGCTGTGCCTTTCTTAATTAACTATCAGGAAGAGTGTAACACATCAGCAACAAGGAAACAAAACAATCACTGCAACGTTACAAAGCAGGGAATGACAAAGATGTCTATACAGATCCACAGATAAGTACTGTAGGCTGTGTGGGACAGATATGGTCTCTGTTAGATATTTTTTTCCCTCCACAACCCCTCAACCCTTTAAAAATATATCAACATTCTGTCTTAGCCCAAGGGTCCTATAAAACTGAAACATATAAATAGAGTATTTCTCACTGAATGAGTTGTAGTTATTAGAAGAATATGTAGCGGGCTGACAGGTGGAAGAAAGCAGAAAATAACTTAGCTGATAGATGACAATGTCGGTTTCGATCTCTATTCAAAAATAACTATGCTGTTAACCCAAAAAGGACACACAGAAATCACTAAGTGTTCCGGATGCTTAGCTGACTCACCTTTGGCTGCGGCATGAACCACAGAAGCTGGAGAAAGGAGCTGATACGTTTCAAAACCCAAATAAGACAAGGCTGAGAACATAAGGCTTCTTTTGAAAGTTCCTGGGTTTCCCATCACCTGTGGAAACAATTACAGTCAAAGGTCACCAAAGTCTGCAGCAACTGCTACACCAGGCAAACATTCCACCATGTTTCTCCCAGCCCCAAAGCAATCACTCCTAAGAACATTGGAAGCTCAAAATTTATCTCATCAAATTCCTCAGTAAAACTTTCACATCAATTATTTTATAGGAAGAGCATATCCTATGAAGAAAAAATTCCTAACAATTGCTAAGGGTGGTAGCTTATCTAAAAACCAGTCATGCTAGTAAGTGCTGAATTGAGAAGGCATGAATATTATAATTGTATGAAATAAAATACAAGACACCAACATATAGTATCAGTCCTGTTTTTAAAAAACTAAATCTTGTTTTACTGATTGATTTCAGAGAGAGGAAAGGAGAGAAAGAGAGAGAAAAGAGAGACAGACAGACATTGATTTGCTGTTCCACTTAGGTATGCACTCACTGGTTGATTCTTGTGTGGGCCCTGACCCGGGATCGAATCCACAACCTTGTGTATTGGGACGATGCTCTAACCAACTGAGCCACCTAGCCAGGGCAATAATATCAGTCTTAAGACTACACAAGATGAAAAATATTAAATATGGTAATTACTACACACAAAAAGTGTACATGCTTTAAGGTATCTTCAGACGGGATCCACAAACCCATAGTTCTCAGTAAGCAATGAATAAAATGAAGAGTACATCCAAACAGATGTAGAAATTACTTTTCCTAAGCCTGGCCAGAATCCTCGAGACCAACAGGCAAGGCCTGTGCGGGTCCTGCCCCTGCTCCCTGAACAGCACCGCTCCCGGCGGCCCGTCCTGTGGACTCGTCCCATCGGCACAGAACAAGCCTCTGTAAGCTGGGAGCTTTCTCTTCTTAAAGCAGAGAGCAATCAGCACCCTCCTGACTTCACGTCCCCCTTCAGTCTCACCTTCTCATACTCTGACAAATGGTCCACTCTTAGACCTCCTCCTGTCCACGCTCGGGCTCACTCGAACCCACCCACTGCAGGCGCCTGGCCATAACCAAGGGCACTCTGCTCCACGGCCATTCTCAACTCTCGTCTCACTTGACCCAGCACCAGCATTCAGCAGCAAATCATTCCCTTCTCTGTTTTTTCTTAAATCATGACTGCATGCTGGATTTCTTAAAACTGTTTTGCTGAGATCCATGACATACAACAGCACGTACGCAATATGCACCATTTAGGACATAGTAGAAACCTGTCAAACCATCACCACTGCAGTCAGGACATGACTGCCCCCTGGAATCAGCCAGCCCTTTCCTCAGCTTGGGCTATCCTCGCTCCTGGCATACTCTTTGTGTGGCCTCGCAAATACTCCTCTCTTGGAAGTCCCTCCTATTTCCACAATGGCTCCTCTCTTGTTGGTTCATCTCCAATCTCGCCCTGCCCAGGTGTGTCCTGAGCTCAGGCCCAGACCTCCTGTTCCATTTGGATCATTCTGGTGACCACACATGGTTTCATGACTTTAAACACCAACATGCCAAAACCCTGCACGGGATCCGCACCAGGATGTCTTAAATGCAGCTGCCTGACCCACACCTCTCGCTGCAGGAAGGATGACAGGCACCTCAAGTTCATCAGCCAAGACAGTGACAGTCTCCCCAAAGCACTCCTCCGTTTTCCCTCTCACAGTCAATGACAGCCGATTCTTCTGCTTGTGCGGGTCAACACAACACACACAACCTGGGGTCCTTCTCGACTCTCTCCATACCCACAGCTGACCCACATTCTACCTTCTCTGTGTCTGGGGTCGGAGTGAGGACCAGCGCATTGCGGCCTGCTGAGCGCTTGACTTTCTTGAGCACGAGTATTCAGGCTATCGCACACAACTGGATTTAAAACAATAGCAAAGCAGTAAAACTAAATTTGATGTAATCACATCTTTAACATTTAATTTTCTGAGTTTATTTGTATTTAACAAAGAGAAGTAAGATGGGGTGGGGCAGAGCATATGTGTGGGTGTGTATATGGGTGGGAATGTGTTGGGTGTGTGTGTGTTGATGGTGGTACCTAGAAAAAGAAAAGGAAAGTCCGGCCGGTGTGGCTCAGCAGCTTGAACGTTGTCCCATGGACTGAGAGGTCCCAGTTCGATTCCCAGTCAGAGCACATGCCTGGGGTGTGGGCTCAATCCCAGGTTGGGAGTGTGGAGGAGGCAGCCGATCTATGTTTCTCTCACATCAATGTTCTCTCTCTCTCCCTTCTTCTCTCTCAGAAATCAATAAAAACATATTTAGCAAGAAAAGGAAAAAAGACCAAGACTTTATCAGTGAGTCTCCTAGTTCCCAGGTTCTGGCAGGCTGATCGCATAGCAGAAAAGGCTGCACAGACCTGAGGAAACTCTACATCAGGGTGCTGGACTCTCTTGCTGATGTCAAGCTCAGTAACCCACCCCCTGGCTTTCTCACAGGGAGAGAAGCACTGTGGGCAGCTGATACTCACATATCTGATGGTAAATTAATGAAGGAACAGCTTGCAGCTGGACTCTTATCAGTTTGGTTAATGCAAAGCAGCTTCCTACTCATCTCTGGGAAAGTAGATAAAATCATGTTTCTGGAACTGAAAAAAATCAATTAAGAGAATCAGGACTCAGTGACGCTCCAAAATGCTAACAACTTGTGAGACTGAGACAGCAAACCGTGCCATGTCCCCTCATACACCCAGCACAATGCCTTCCACACAATGAATTCTCAGAAACATTTGTTGAACAATAAAAGCAAGCAGCTCTCTCTTAGATATGTGTTTCCTTCAACATTAATTATATGAACTTCAAGCTCCAGACTTCAAAAATACAAACTCATCACTGGAAAAAGGAAGGTGTCACCACCATGTCCTGGTTTCCTAACCTCCCTCCAGCTCCTCCTCAGTGTTGGAATTCCTCTATGGCTGGTACTAGGCGGTCTTCTGGTCTTACTATTCACATGGCCTTACTTACAACCATATCCTGAAGTCGCCTGAATCTGCATCTCCAGCCCAGGCCTCAGAAGGTAAACACCAGACCTGTCCAACTACTGTCTATTCCACATGTCACTTTGGCCTCCTCATCACACGCACCTTAAAGAGCCTGACGCATAACTCATCTGCTCCCTGAGCACCAGATTGCCTTCTGCAGTCTGATCCCAGAAAACAGCACTACCACCCACACCTGTCTTTGGAGTCGGCTACAGTCACCTCCATAACAGCCTCCGAGTGCACCCACTGGTGTCCCGGTCCACTGCCACACCACAGTCAATCCACCACAGTGCACACCCGTCCTACAGCCACGACCTCTACCTGGTCTCCAGCACCCACTAGCCTCTCCATTCTCGACACTACACAGTTTTTAATGCAAATCTGACCCAAAACCCATCTGTTTAAAACTCTTTCATGGTTTCCTGCGGCCTTTAGAACAGTAGGTTCACAAGGTTTTCGGAGCCTGGCTGTGCTCAGCAGCCTCCACAGAGGCCACAAGGGGTTCCCATTCCACGTTCCACGGGGCGATGGCGGAGAATCCCGAACACAACTCCACCCACAGATGCAGCATATTTACACTACAAACAACAATTTCCTCTGAAAGAAACCCCAAATCCGGCCGAGTGACTTCCATACATCAAGCGAGGAAAAAACTCATATCGAGATAGAGTGGGGAGGCTGAGACAGTCTTGCCACAAACCCCACGTGCGACACAGCAACCCACAACCAGAGAACTCTTCTCCCCAAGGAGCAAAGGCGTACCCCACACCGGGCACCCCAACTTTTAAGACCCGTACCCAAGAGACAAGCCTTCAAAACACCTTGTTTAGAAAGCCCATGCGGCTGGACCCACGCGGCTGCAGCAGACAGAACCCGTTCTCAGACTAGAGCAGACCCGCCCACCCGGACCAGTGCAGAGGCGGCCAGGCCTGCACTCTGGGCAAGAGGTTAACTGCTCAGCTTCAAACCTCGGCCTGCCGGCAGGGCAGGCACCTGATTTCATACGCAGTAGGCACCGCGAGGGCAGCTGCAAAACCGTGGCTACCTCGGAGCCGCCGAGTCGCCGGCGCCCGCCCGCGCCGCGCCCGCCGGCAGCTGCCGTCGGAAGCCGAGGTCCCGGGGCCGCGCCCCACCTCGAAGGCAGGAAGCGCCAAAGCCGCGCGGACAGCGCCATGACCTCCACACGGACCCGGACTTTCGCCGCTTCCGCCGCCACGGAGCGAATGGGGCGGGGCGAACAGCGCGCGCCCCATTTCCTGCCGGCGCTTCTTCCGGCGCGCGGGCTGGTAGGCGGGGCATAACCCGAGTGGGTGGGACTTAGTGAGCCTACCGCGCCTGCGCCGACGGCACCGGCGCCGTGAGAATTCCCGTCTGACGTTTGACTCGTGTGTGCTCCTCGTCTGTGCGGTCGCTCACGGTTTGGGCACAGAACTAGATCATCGGAGCAGAATTGGGAGCTCGGAACTAGAACCGAGCGTTAGGTCTGCGAGACAAGGGCTTATTATTTCCAGTTCTGCTGCCCTCCAAGGGAGGGACACTGTGCTGGGGGTCCTGGGAGACGCTGCGCGGGGTTGGGTTGGGGGGACTGAGCTGCTTCACGTGGGGAGGGAGAAGCCCGGGAAGATGGACGAGGGAAGAGGGCCAGGCCCGCAGGCCGCTGCTCGGGACTTGGGTGCTGGGTGACTCTAGTCCCTGCAGACACAGGGGCCCCCTTCACCGCAGGAATGTCCGTCTAGTCCTGATCCTAGTTCAGAGCCTACGTCTGCAAACGCGGTGCCTGCTACATTGGGTGCAAGAAAAATTCACGTGCGAGGAGGCAAGACAGATTTTAGCAATTAGGTTGTATTTGTATAGTTCTTTTCCTACTACTCTGTTGCTTGGTGAATTAACACGTACTTTTATTTCACTTGATTCTCTTCTGCTACCTGGTCTTCGCAAGACTGGAATCCATGAGTCTAATGCTGCGTCCCTGTGATTGCTGCCTCCCCACGACCCTCTAAATCAGCCACATTTCCTTAGGATTTCATCAGTGATTTACTTTCTTTTTTAGTGTATTTTAAAAATATAAAAAGACCCTCTTCCCAACATTTGCCGAACCCTAGTCTTTTTTCCCAGAGGGAACCACTTTTACATTCTGCTGGTAGCTATATCAGTGTTGCTAAATAGTAGGATGACACCACTGGATGCCACTATAATCTTGAAATCAAGTTTCTGATATTTCAGCCAGAGCAAAATATTAATTAAATTTTTCATTAAAAAAAAAGTTTGTAGAAAAGTTGCAGGAACTCACATATTCACCTAGATTCAGCCATTGTTAATGTTTTGTCACATCTGTTTTATCTTTTTTCACATATATTACATGTAATATGCACATAATATTCCTGATACTATTTTCTGTTGTTGACCTTTTTTCCAATTTTTATTAATTTATTTTTGTTACAGATATTTCTCTTTTTTACCCCCTAGACACTCTCCTCCGCATCCTGCCCTCCCACCCTCCCAGTGCCCCCAACCCCTAGCATTCATTGTTGTCTATGTTCATTGGTTATGCATGCATGCATATACGATCTTTGGTTAATCTCATCCATCCCCCCAGCCCCCTATTCTGAGGTTTGTCAGTCTGAACCATTCTCGTTTCTATGTCTCTGGGTCTATTTCGTTCATCAGCCCACTTTGTTCATTATATTCCACAAATAAGTGAGATCATGTGGTATTTGTCTTTCTCTGATTGGCTTATTTTGCTTTGCACAATACTCTCCAGGTTGTCTCAAAGGATAAGAGATCTTTATTTCTTACAGCTGCATAGTATTCCATTGTGTATATGTACCACAGCTTTCTTATCCATTCATCTATTAATGGTGTCTTGGGCTGTTTCCAGATCTTATTGATTGTAAATAATGCTGCTATGAACATAGGGGTACATATGTTCTTTCTGATTGGTATTTCAGGCTTCTAAGGATATATTCCTAGAAGTGGGATCACTGGATCAAATGGCAATTCAATTTTTAATTTTTTGAAGTAACACCATAGTGTTTTCCATAGTGGCTACACCAGTCTGCATTCACACCAGCAGTGCACTAGAGTCCCCTTTTCTCCACATCCTTGCCAGCACTTGTTGTTTGATTATTTGTTGATGGCAGCCATTCTGGCAGGTGTGAGGTGATACCTCATAGTTGTTTTAATTTGCATCTCTCTGATGATAAGTGATGTTGAGCATTTCTTCATATGTCTCTTGGCCATTTGTATGTTCTTTTCGGAGAGGTGTCTATTTAGGTCCTCTGCTCATTTTTCAATTGGGTTCTTTGTCTTCCTTTTGTTGAGTTGTATGAGCACTCTACATATTTTGGAAATTAACCCCTTGTCTGATGTATCATTGGCAATTATGCTCTCCCATATAGTGGGTTCCCTTTCCATTTTGATGGTTTCTTTTGCTGTGCAGAAGCTTTTGAGTTTGATATAGTCCCATTTATTCATTTTTTCCTTTGTTTCTGTTGCCTTAGGTGATGTATCAGTGAAAATTCTGCTGCGTATGTCTGAAATTTTGTTGCCTACATTTTCTTCTAGGATTTTTATGGATTCATGAGTTACATTTAAGTCTTTTATCCATGTTGAGTTTATTCTTATGTATGGTGTAAGTTGGTGGTCTAGTTTCATTTTTTTGCATGTAGCTGTCCAATTTTCCCAATACCATTTATTTATTTATTTTTTTATCCTCACCCGAGGACATTTTTTGATATTTTGTTCAGATAGAGTGGGAGGGAGAGAGAGAGAGAGAGAGAAACATCGATGTGAAAGGGACACATCGAGTAGTTGCCACCCGCACAACCCAACCAGGGCCGGGGACAAACTGCAACTGAGGTACGTGCCCTTAGCGGGAACCGAACCAGGGTCTCTGGGGACCACAGGCTGACGCTCTAACCGCTGAGCCAAACCGGCCAGGGCCCAATACCATTTATTAAAGAGGCTGTCTTGACTCCATGGTTTGTTCTTGCCACCTCTGTCAAATATTAATTGAGCATAATGTCTTGAGTCAATTTCCATGTTCTCTGTTCTGTTCCATTGATCTATATGCCTGTTCTTATGCCAGTACCAGGCTATTTTGATTATAGTAGCTTTGTAGTGTAACCTGCTATCCAGTATTGTGATCCTACCTACTTTGTCCTTTTTCAAGATTGCTGTGGCTGTTCGGGGTCTTTTTTGGTTCCATATGAACTTTTGAAGTATTTGTTCTAGTTCTGTGAAATATGTCCTTGGTATTTTGATAGGGATTGTATTGAATCTATAGATTGCTTTGGGTTGTATGGACATTTTAATGATCTTAATTCTTCCAATTCATGAACAAGGTATGTGCTTCCACTTTTTTATATCTTCTTCTATTTCTTTATTCAGTGTCCTGTAGTTTTCTGTAAATAGGTCCTTTACTTTTTTGGTTAAGTTTATTCCTAGGTATCTTAATTTTTTTGCCGCAATGGTAAATGGGATTGTTTTTTTAGTTTCTCTTTCTGTGAGTTCATTATTGGTGTATAAGAATGCCGTCCCCTTTCACATCGATGTTTCTCTCTCTCTCTCTCTCTCTTCCTCTCACTCTCCCTCCCACTCTACCTGAACAATAAAAAAAAAAAAAAAAATGCCGTCAATTTCTGGATGTTAATTTTGGATCCTGCTACCTTGCCAAATTCGTTTATTAAATCTTGCAGATTTTTGATGGAGTCTTTTGGGTTTTCTATGTATATTATCATGTCACCTGCAAATAATGACAGTTTCACTTCCTCCTTTCCAGTTTGGATCCCTTTTATTTTTCCTTCATGTCTGATTGCTGTGGCCAAGACTTCCAGTACTATGTTAAACAACAGTGGCAAAAGTGGGCATTTCTGTCTTGTTCCTGTTCTTAAGGGAAATGTTTTAATTTTTGCCTATTGAGTATGATGTTGGCTATAGGTTTTTTATATATGGCCTTTATTATGTCAAGATATGATCCCTCTATTTTCACATTTCTGAGTGTTTTTATCAGAAATGGGTGCTGGATTTTGTCAAATGCTTTTTCAGCATCTATTGATATGATCATGTGGTTTTTATCTTTCATTTTGTTTATGTGGTATATCACATTTATTGATTTGTGAATATTGTACCAGCCTTGCATCCCTGGGATGAATCCCCCACTAGGTCATGTTTAATAATTTTTTGAATGCATTGCTGGATTCGATTTGCTAGTATTTTGTTCAGGATTTTGGCATCTATGTTCATCAGGGATATTGGCCTATATTTTCCTTTCTTTGCAGTGTCTTTTTGTGGTTTTGGAATTAGAATTATGCTGGCCTCATAAAACGAGTTTGGAAGTCTTCCTTCTTTTTGAATTTTTAGGAATAGTTTGAGGAGAATGGATGTTAGTTCTTTGAATGTTCGGTAAAACTCCCCTGCAAAGCTGTCTGGGCCTGGGCCTTTGTTTGCTGGGAGAGTCTTGATTACCTCTTCAATTTCCTTAGTTGTTATTGGTCTGTGTTGGTGAACCTTTTGAGAATAGATTGCACACATCATGACTCTTTTGCCTAGAAACAAAGATGTTCTCTTGTTTAGTCCCTGTATAATGATCAAATTCAGGAAATTGACAGAATGGTATTATTTAATATACTTCTCAGAGCTGCCCTTTATAGCAACTATTTTTTTCTTCAACTCAGGCTCACATCCTGAATATATATTGCATTTAATTGTCATGTTTCTTTAATCTTTTTAGGTCCGCAATAATTTTCTTGTGGCTCCAGGCACACACTCTTTTCTTTCCTCCCAAGAGTCTCAGACCTCCCCATATTATATTCTGTCAGGATTCCTTCCTATCCCCGACCCAGCTCCAGTATTCCTTACCTGTTCATGTTAAGTCCTGAACAGCTAAGTCCTGTTCATATTTCAGTTCTCAGCCCAAATGTCACTTCCTCAGAAAAGCTTTTCTTGATTCCCCAAATATACTTTCGTATCCTTTATGATGCTGACCGTGTTTTGTAATTTCATTTTTATACGATGATTATTTGTTAATCAAGTATATTTTGGAGCTGCAGTTGATAAGAACGGGTAATGTGTGCTTTTGCTATACTATAAACTCAATGACAGGTCTGATTTTTTGTCTTATTACAAGTCCTGGCACCATTTCTTTATTCATTCAACAAATGTTTATTGCATAATATGCCTACTACTCTTCTAGATGTGAATGAACAATTTCTAATGGAGTATATATTGTAGCTGGGGAAGGATAGTAAGCAAGATAAATGGTAAAAGATATAATAGATGACAGTGTGTGTTGACATGGAAGATAAAGCAAGAAGGGGTAGAGTGCGTTTCTGTTTCATCATTGCAGTTTTTTGTTGTTGTTGTTTTATCCTCACCCGAGGACATTTTTCCATTTTTTATTCAGATAGAGTGGGAGGAAGAGAGAGAGAGAGAGAGAGAAACATCAACGTGAAAGGGACACATCCAGTGGCTGCCATTCGCACGACCCACCCAGGGCCGGGGACAAACTGCAACCGCGGTACACGCCTTTACGGGAACCGAACCCGGGTCTCTCTGGACCGCAGGCCGACACTCCAACTGCTAAGCCAAACCGGCCAGGGCCATCATTGCAGTTTTAAATACGGCGATGGCCCCAAGAGTCCTCACTGGGGAGACATTTGAATAAAGAGCCAAAGAAGAGGGAGTGAAGATAATCTGGGGGCAGAGCAGTTCATGTAGAGGGAGAGTACAAGGACCTGAGCTGGGAAGGCAAGTGGCATTTCCTATGAATGGTTAAGTCCACTCTAGATGGGGTTCAGCAAGCAAATGGAAGAGTATGAGAGAGCAGGTCAGAGAGGATATGGGGACCAAGTACTAGAGGACCTTGTAGGCAAATTTTCCGAACTTGGATTTTCCTTGTATGAGTGTGTGTAACATAATCTAATTAAAATATTAATTAGATCCTTCTGACTGTTTACAAAATTGACTCTAAGGGATCAAGAAGCAAGCAGTTACTAGGGTATTAGAATAATCTGGAAAGAAATAGTGATGGCTTGGACTAGGCTGGAAGATATAAGTGGTCAGAATCTGGATATATGTGAAAGTAGGGTTGACAGGATTAGCTGGCAGATCAGACTAGATGGAGATGGGGTGTGAGAGGAGAGGGCCAAAGATGACTCCAAGTGCTTTGATCCATACAACTGGAAGAACGCCATTAATTGAGAAAGAGAAGACTGGGAAGAACAGCTTTGGGGAGAAAGAATAGCTTTAGATTCAGAATGCTTGTTAAACATTTGTGGTAGCCAGCCTTCGGGATGGCTGGCAATGATCCTTTCCTCTTGAATTACTCCTTTATGGAATCTCTCCCACATTTAATCAAGGCTGGTCTGTTGGTCCAATAGACTATGCAAAGGTGACGGCCTGTGACTTCTGAGGCTAAGTCATAAAAGTCACTGAGCTTCCACCTTGATCTCTTGGATTTTTACCCTGGAGGAAGCCAGCAGCCATGCCTGCAGGACACTCAACAGCCCTATGGAGAGGGCCACATGGAGAGAAGCTGAGGTCTCCCACCAACACACAGCACCACTGTTACAAGCAGGGCACCTTGGAGGTGGATTCTCCAGCCCTGTGCAATGACTGCAACCCTGCAATGTCATGAAGGTGATGAGCATGAACCACCTGCTAAGCCACTCCTAAATCCCTGAATACAGAAGCTATGAGAGATCATATGTGACTTTTAGTTTTAAGCTGCAAAATTTGGTGTAATCAGTTGATTTCATGAACATCTCATTCATTTTAACATCCACGAAAATCACCAGGTGTTGAGTCTCATACCTATTTGTTCCTTGTTTCATGCACCTTGTTGTACCTGACACATAATATGCATTTAGTACGTGTTGAATAAATGGGTGCATGAAGAAGAACACAAGTAGAATGGAATTTAGACTATAGTTTGAGCAGAAGGGATGAATACCCTGAACTACATGTTGAAATGAGATTGCTTATTGGGCACTACTGGTGCACAGCCATTTTCTTTTCCATACTCCCTCCTATTTTAGTGGAGATGGGTAAGGAAGATTAGGTATGAAAACTATGTATTCCAGAAATTTTGAAAATTACAGTCAAATTAGTGGTGCTTGGTGACCTTCACTTAAATGTCAAAGCATAATCAAGAATTAAACAAAAGTTTGTGTTTTTTTTGTTTTTGTTTTTTTATCAGCTGTTAGCAATAACAAAACAAAATATCTTCCTCCACACTAGGCTGAAACCACACAGGTCTCATCTCTGCCCACCAGGTGTATTGCTGCCTTTGCCCCTGCCATCATCCCACTTCCTTCAGATCTTTGCATAACTGGCTCTATCTTATTTTTCAGGTCTCAATTCAAATATCACCACCATACACCTTCCCTGATCCCTGGTTTAAATAAGCACCCATTATCCCCAAATCACCCTTATTACTTTCCTCGTGGTAGGGCCACCTGACACCATCTCATTCATTTGTAATAACGCACTTATTATTGGTCCTCCCTCTGGGATAGAAGCTTCTGTCTGTCACTAGTTTGTCACAAATCAAGAAGGATGCATGGTGCGCAGTACGCATCCAGGACATGCTGAACCCTCACTTGTACTGATAGGATTATTTAAATGTATTTAGTTTTCATTTTTGGGGTTAAAAGTAAAGTTTTTAGTTAGGAAAGTATAGCCTTTCCTTTTCATTTGTTTCATTTCCCACTTCTTCTGTCATTTAAAAAATTATCCTTTGTCCATTTTTCTATTTTAAAAATCCATTTATATTTAAGATACCGACGTTTTCTTTGACCGCCAGAGTTCAAATATTTTCCCCAATGTGTTTGCCTATTGATTTGTCCGATTTCCTTGGACAGATGTTCTAGTTTCAAGCAGTCAAGTGGAGTGTCTTTTCCACAGTGGTTTGTTTCATCAAGAGGGGCTTTGTGATTAGTTTAGGCAAATAGGCCAATGACTTAGAGAGCAAAATTCAAGTTTTCCAAGCGCGTTTTTTCCTTTGCGAATACATCACAAAATTGTCAGGATTCAATGAAATTAAAGATGCATAATGGCTCAGATACGGTGCACACTCAGAGTGCTCTGAGTGAGAATGGCCATGCCGATTCTTCCTGGTTCAGGCAGTGGTATGGTTTTCTCACATATTTTAATTCTTTTACCCCTTAGGAATTAATTTTGGTGCACCAAACAACTTATTTTAACGCCGAAAGTGAACTCGGGGCTTCCGGTGAGCAAGCCCCTGGAAGAAACCCACTAACAGGAACAGATTGACCTGCAAGGGGGTTGGGCCGGCTATGCTCGCGGCGGGCGGGGCTGCGTGTGGGCCACGCCCGCAACTGCGCCCCGCCCCCGAGCGCTCGACCCGCCGCTCCCGCACGGCTATTGGTTAAGCCCCGCCCATCTCTGCGCCCCACCCCACCCCACCCCGAGCACTAGGCCCTGCCCCGCCCGCCGCTCAGTTAAACCCCGCCCGTCTCCCCGCCCTCTGCTCTGTCGGCTCCGCCCCCCCGCCTGCCCTGCCCCGCCCCGCCCGGCCCGGCCTGACTTGCCTGGTTCCGGTGACTCCACGGCCCGGCCAACTACGGATTTGCTGGGTGTTGTGCGCCGCGGGGAGTGGAGGTGAGCGCGGCCGGCGCGGTCGGCGATGCGGCAGCCCTGAAGGGAGGGCCGGAGGGCAGTCGGCCCCGCGCTGGGACGGCCCGGGCCGCGCGGCGGGGGACGCCCGGGTTGGCGCGTGGGGACGCGGGGACGCGGGGCCGTACGGTGGGGCCTGCGCCGGACCAGGAGGAAGCGCGGCACCAGCCACCGAGCCCGCAGCGCTACCGCGCGCCGGACCTCGACCCACCGCGTGAGCCGTTTCCCGCGCGGCGGCCTGTGCACTGACCGACGGAATCGGGCGGGCGGGGTGGACCTGCGTGGCGACTCGGAGGCCCCGGCGCCGTGGACCGGGGGAGCGGGTCCCCGCTGCCGCGTTCGCCGACGCACGTGCTGTTGTTGCTCCGTTCCACGCTGGAGGAAGGCGGGTTCAGTAATTCACCTTTAGGGCCGGAATGCGGGTCTGGAGGATTTCAGAGCACAGGCTTTGGGGCTTCAGATATCACATTTCCTCTTTGGGACAAGACAGGTATGGAGGGCGCAGGTCTGTGCTTTGAGGTGTTGCCTGTGTGACCTTGGGCAGATCGGCAACCTCTTAGGGCCTGTTTCTGCGTTTGTAAAGTGGGGATCAAATACCCCCTATGTCATAGGGTTGTCCGGAAGATTAAATAAGATGATACTTGCAATACAGCCAAGTGCCTGCCTCCTAGTTAGGTAAGCTCTGCACAGCCCCTTACTGGGGTCAGCACACTCCAGCCCTCAGTGCGCGTGCGGGCGGAGCTCAGGTACAGGGAGGGATGCAGGCGGACAAGAGAATAAAGGCAATTATAGTCACACCAGGACCACGTTTTTTGCCTTTGTGAGAATTTTTTAAAAGGCAGTTCCCTTCGACTGCTGAAGTGGAAAAATACTTTTCACTCCTGTATGGAATAATCCAGGGGCCAGTCTCTGTACTGGACAGGCTGAGGCTCTGGGGCGTGAGGGGGCCTGCCTGCTCTTTCAGGATTTCCTCTCAGATCTAGTCCCTAAGAATGGAGAGGGACAGGAGGCATCAGAACTGGCAAGAGGGAGCTTTGCCTTTTTTTTTTTTTTAGATAGGAAGGGAAAGGGAGGGAGAGAGAAAAATCAAATCGATGTGAGAGAAGCACATCAATTTTTTGCCTCCCACATGACCCAGACCAGGGCTGGGAATTGAACCTGCAACCCAGGTACATGCCCCTGACCGGAATTAAACCCTTGACCCTTTGGTCTGTGGGCGGGCGCTCTAACCATTGAGCAACCGGCCAGGGCAGGAGGGCTTTGCCTTTTAAGGGTTGCTCTGTGACTGGATACATCTAATTTTATATCACTGTGAACATTTTGTAGAACGACCTTCATTTCCACATAACTTTAAGCAACCTGCAGGTTTCACATAGGCTCTGCAACACCAGCACTACTGTCCTGAACATTTCCTCCGTGGAGTCTGTCTTGATACCAGTTCCTGCTGACCCCAGTGCCTATGAGTTCTTGGCCCTATACCTTTAGACAGAGCTGCACTTTTTTCTACTACTGTTAGAGTTTTCTGTTGCAAAACTTTCTTCAGTCATTGATGTATTATGCTAGAAAGTATGCTGTAAAGTCAGCAAAACTAAGAAGGTTAGCATTTGGGTGTAAAATATGATTAAATAGCATTTTGACCTTCACGGGTTTGTAATGAGCCACCACTGCTCATGGAAACTTCGGTAGATCTCTGCGTGAGGGTCAGTGCCACTCTCAAGTCTGAGGAGTCCAAACCTGAGCATTCCTTTACTGTGCCCACTGTTACCTCCACCCTGCAGGCTAGTTTCCTGCCCAACACTGTTTTCCCTTCACCTTCTCACATGTCTTGGAAGAATCGCTAATCAGGTTAAAGTCCCAAGATACTTGCTGGAAGATTTGTTGAAAAATTGGCTGAGAAGGAGGTTTAAATAAGCACCTAAAAGTAAAGCATCATAGATTCTATTTAACTACATTATTTAAGTTTCTGAGTTGATCATCAAAAGCAGACCATTTTTGTATACATTTTGATAACATTCTGATAATGATTGTGCTGGCCTAAATGTATTTGAAGAGGCTGTCGAGTGGAGGGTGGTTTTGGGATTCTCCTGGAGAGGCTGAGAGGCTGTTGATTCCTTCAACACATAGCAGCTTACCAGTATGAATTCATAATTTAAAAAGACATTAGCCCGGCTGATGTGGCTCACTGGTTGAGCGTTGACCTGTGCACCAGAGGTCACCAGTTTGATTCCTAGCCAGGGCAACATGCCCAGGTTGTCGACCTAATCCCCAGTGTGGGGCATGCAGGAGGCGGCCCATCGATGTTCTCTCTCATCGATGTTTCTCTCTCTCTCTCTCTCTCTCTCTCAAATCAATAAAGAAAAAATATTTTAAAAAATGAAAAAAAAAAAGACATTAAAATTAGCATAGTGGTCAAAATTACCAATATAATTTAGCTGGATATCATATTACTGCAGTTTCCCCATGAAAAATAGAAGGAAATACTGCATTCATTTTAGGAAATAATTTTGAAATGTCATCTTACCGAGCGGATGTGTTATGTTTGGTGCTTGTGAAAATATTACAGCATGGCTGTAACATGCATTGTGGTCAGGCTCCTTTGGTTTTCTGAGGTTAGTGGACCCTGCTCTAGACTGGTGATCCATAGCGAGTTAAAATAGATTCCTGCAACTGTAAAGAGGAACTTGAGCATCCACATTTTCATCTCTTGAGGGATCAGGAAGTGAAATTCAAAACAAGTGTTTCCTGATGGTGTTGTCAAAGTAAGTTTATAAAATACCTGAAATTTCCCATCACCCTTCGAGACTCCTTGCTCCCCTTCCATGCTTTATTTTTCTCTTTGGCACGTCCTACCACCTGCATACTCCATTTACTTGCTGTCTCCCTCCAGTGTAACCACACGAGGGCAAGGGTGTTTGTGTGGCTGCTGGTCCCGCAGCACCTCAGCAGTGTCTGACACAGCAGGCCATCTGTGAGTGTGGGTGATGGTGCCGAGGGGATGACAGGTCCTAGCTGGCTGTTCCCGATTGGGAAGTCAGCAGGGGTTTGCCCGAGAGCTGCAAACAGCTAAGCGACCATACAAGGAATATTCTTAAAATCGGGAAATGTATAAACATCTCGCTTAACGTAGACACTTTCACGCCTTGAGAACACAGGTGTGTAGTTGCCACAGCTTGCATGTGAGAGAATGTTTGTATGGGTGCTTATCCAGAGTGCAGAGGAGCTGAGGTGCCCATGTGAAGTGCTGGTCTTGCCCAGTTAAATGCACATGCCCTCCAAGAGGGGGGAGCCAGGTGCTGGAGTCGGGCAGAGCCGGGTAACAGGCAAGTGAGATGTTCTGCTTTCTGGTCCGACACCTGGGAGATTCCAGAAGGTGGAAAGTTCTTAAAGTGCTGGGACAGGAATGTGGAGCCCAAGGGACTTCAGTCTCAGGTGGACCGGACTTCGTATGACGCCCAGCCTGCCTGTGGCACAGCTGGACAGCAGCTTTGCAGAGACCTTTGTTGTCTTAAAATTCTTCAGCTGAACAGCTGGAATTTTCTACTGGGGGATGCAGCTTTGATGTTTATCAAGGCAGTTTCTGGTAACAGATGATTCACTTGGTAGATGGGTCCTTTGTTGTTAACTTTGCCAACACGAGTGGTGATAAAGTGAAGCAGTACTGGCCCGGCCAGTGTAGCTCAGGGGTTGAGCATTGGCCCTGCTCCAAGAGGTCACCGGTTCAATTCCCGGTCAGGGCATATGCCCAGGTTATGGACCCAATCCCCAGTGGGGGGCATGCAGGAGGCGGCCAATCGATGTTCTCTCTCATCGATGTTTCTATCTCTCCCTCTTTCTTCTTCTCTCTCTAAAATCAATAAAGAAAAATAAAATAAATGTAATTTGTTAAAGAAAAAAAATGAAGCAATACTGAGATGCTGTCACTGCACCTAACCTGTATGAACACCTCACTCAGCACCTCTGTGGTGAGCTCTGCATTCAGCTGGGCAGTAGAACTGTGACATTTCTGTTCCCCATAGCCAAGGGATTAGGAAAGTGGTGTAACCTGAAACACATGTTGAGTGAACTCTGTGGCCCGTTGTGAATCAGGACACGTCCCTGTATTATAGGGGTTGTCCAGAGAAATCAACAAAGGGGCCTCAGTTCATTGCTCACTTTCTAGCAAATAAGGACAGGGTGAGACTGCACCTACTTCTCAGTTTTAAAATCGAGTGTGATCAAGTGTCAACACTTTTGTAGTAACTCCTGCTGTGTTTGGGTAGCAGCAATAGTATTACTCTTTAGATTTTATTCAGGATAGCCCAAGAATCTGGAAATTTATTTTATTTTTTTAAAATGGTGGCCAGGTCCAGCCAGTGTGGCTCAGTGGTTGAGCGTCGACCCTGCACCAAGAGGTCGCTGGTTTGATTCCTGGTCAGGACACATGCCCAGGTTGTGGGCCTGATTCCTGGTGGGGGGCATGCAGGAGGCGGCCAGTCGATGTTCTCTCTCATCGATGTTTCTGTCTCTCTCTCGCTCCCCCTTCCTCTCTCTCTCTAAAATCAAAAAAGGGAAAAAAAATTTTTTTTAAATAGCAACATGGTGGGCAGAAGCTGATCCCTCTTGCTGCACCGAGGGCTGCTGCTAAGTGACCCCATGCGTGGCTGCAGACCGGGCCTCCCGGGCCCCCGGGCCTGCTGCGTGGACCTGGTCAGTGTGTTGAGGAGCATTATTTTCCAGTCATCTCAGGACAGGGAATTTAATAACAATTTCAAGAAAGGTACCTAACTAGTGGGGAAGTACCTTAATATATACTTTTTTCAGATACACTTTTTTTCGATCATGGGAGATGGAGGCTGAATTTGGAAAACCTTATCCTTTTCTTTTTCTTTTTGGTTCTAATAAATTTTCTGATATTTCTCTACTTTAAAAAATATTCCTGCTCTTTTAGTACCACTTTCTAAATACCTTCCAAAATAACTGTCATAAATGAGAGTCCTAGCGCCTTCCCTGTGAGAGACCTTGGAAGTTACCGAAAGTGACTGGTACTCAGATTTCCAGGTGAGACCTGAGGCCACCTGCCCACAGGCAGTGAGCCTGGCACAGAACTACAGGCCGCTTGTTCTGATTTCAGTCCAGTGACCCTCCTCCTGGTCCCATCTTCACACTGGAGAGAAGTCATATCCTTTTGCCCGTTTGCTCGACCTCGTTCCCAGTGTCCAGGGCAGGGATGTTCGAGGTGGGCACTGCTCTCTCACGACATCCAGGACGAGCTTGGTGTCGACTCCTTTCCTGGAAGTTCTCCCCTCTCAGAGCCGTGTGGGCTGCCCCGGGATGGCCCAGCAGCTGGAGGAAGCCCGAGGTGCCAGGGCCCTGTGGAGATCACAGGTGAGGCCCGGCAAGGAGGAGGTGCTTTCTGTGCCCCGAGTAACCGGCAGCCTGATGGGCTGTCTTGAACTGCAGTGAGGTGAAAAGCAACCATCCAGTTCCTGTTTGGCAGGCAGGCACTGACGCCCCTCCTGTGTTTTGGGGCACATAAGGGCCCCGCCCTGGCCCCGGGCCCCAGCCTGGCAGTAGCGCAGAGAAGCAAGCTCTTCTGAGAGGCTTTAGGGAAATTAGCACCAGTCTGTCGTCAAGGCTGCCTACTTGGGCAAATTAATTTTGGATGAATCCCAGAGATTCTTTTATTAATATTCCAAGAAGCTCTTCGTAAACAAGGATGAGAAGGTGCTTTGTGTCTTACTCCTTACTAAGGCATCAACGCCGAGGCCGTCCGTTAAATATTTGAGTAGTTAATGGAATAAGAACTGCTATACTTCATGGAGTCGTGCATGATGTATGCTGAGTGCTGCAAACCACCCACCGTCGGCAGTTCCTGTAACCCTCGTACAGACTGAAGTTCAGGTGGACAGCCCGGCACGGGGAGAAATATGAACGAAGCGTACTGACTGAAGTTATCCCTCTCTGCCACACAGCCGAGCCGGGTGGGGGCGGGGCAGCCTGGTCCCTGTGCTCAGCTCCTGGCAGTGGACAGAAGGTAGGACTCAGCCCTGCTGCAGGGGGGTGGCGTGGCTTAGGGAGGAGCTGTCACTCGGAGTGGATCTGAAAGACCCTGGATGGGCAGAGGGAGCTGCTGGCCCAGGTGGGCTGGGCAGGTGTGGGTAGAGCCAGGAATTCCAGGAAGAGCGTTAGATCAGGGCAGGCCCTGGGGCAGCCAGGGATGTCGTTTGGATCGGAGGTGATAAAGTGGTGAGGGTGGCAGTGGGAATACCTTGGGAGCCACGCAGGAGGCCCGCAGTGGAGCTGGCTGTGGGTCCAGACTCTGTACCTCCACATTTGAAAGCGTGGGAGCAGGGGTGGCAGAGTCTCCCAACAGCTTTACTGAGCTGATCGGAGCACTGGGCCCACGGGAGCGGGGCCGGGGTGGGGGTCGGGGGGGGACAGATCTGGCTTCAGGTTTTCAATGGGGGCCTGGGAGCGACCGTGGACCCAAAGTTCACACATCGAACCTCCTTTAGATAGTAGCTCTTAGTTTTCAATTGCTTTGCATCATCTCAGTCATGTAATGTTGATTCAGGAAGGTTGGGGTGACTGGGAGAGTTGGCTTGTTTGGGGTTTCTGGGGTTAGCTGCGTCTCAGAGAAAGGGCTGTCAGGTTTCTGCGTCTGCGTTTTCTGGCGTCTCCCCCCTGCCCGTCTCTTCGTGCCTCTGACCATCTTTGTGGCACTTTTCCTTTTGCATAAGTGGGAGCAGGAAGGATGGTGTGGTCACACTGTTGTCTAGTATTGCGGACAGCTCACCTTCAGAGCTGGGTGGTGTGAACATGTGCTTGTTTTGGTGCTAAATGCGTGTCTTGCTGGATCCAGAGACCTTGCTGGCACCCTGTCAGTGGCCTGACCGTGGCGCTGAGAACATGCGGTGGCACGTCCCCCACCCACGTGTGCTGCCCCCAGCAGTCTCCAGCCTGGCTCTCAGGACGCTGGACCTGCCTGTCCTGCCCAACGTGGCTCCCCAACCTGGGTGCTCACTTCTGTCCGCACTGCCCTTTCGTGTCGGGATCCCCTGTCCCTGTGCAGGCCCCTCTTCACCTGCTCCTGAGCCAGCCCAACGTGGCCAGCTCCCACAGTGTCTCCCTCCACAGTCCTCGGCGTCGTGGGTCCCCCCGGCCTGAGTGTCAGGGTCGCGCCTTGTTGGTACTTTGCTGGCTTGGAAAGTGGAAGAGGCCACAGCAGGTTCTGGCTCCCTGGCCGTTCAGGGGAGGGGCTGAGGGGCACACGGGATTTGTGGGTTTTGTTTCGTATCAGGAATGGTTATGTTCCTGGTGAAGGCACACACCCCAGCACTGCTTTCCAAGGGCATGTCTAGCCCTTACAGCGACAGGCCCTGTCCCCGCGTGCTGTGTGCTCTGAGACCCAGTGCTGGTGCTGCTTCCTGCGCACGTGGTGACTTTGACGCGGACGAAGAGCTTGTCTCCTCTCGTCACCCGGACGGTTTCAGACCTGCAGCGTTCTGTCCAGCACAGACACCCTGTTCACGGACCAGGGTGAGAGTGCATGTGTTCCTATGGTCCAGAATCTCAGCCGGAGCTCAAAGCGGAGAGCAAAGGCGTCAAAGACCTCACGTCCGAGGGTGCCTCCAGGCAGGAGGCACGGCCCTCCCTCCAGGATTTGCTCCGCTGCCCACCGGCTTCGCACTGGGTGCCCCCGGAGTGGCCTGCGGGAGGAGGGTGCAAGGCCTGTCTCCTCTTCCTTTTTAAAAAAAATAATTTTCCTTTATTGATTTGAGAGAGAGAGAGGAAGGGAGAGGGAGAGAGAGATAGAAACATTGATGAGAGAGAACATTTATTGGCCTCCTCCTGCACACCCTCCAGTGGGGATCAGGCCCACAACCTGGGCATATGCCCTGATGGAAACAAACTGGCGACCTCCTGGTGCAGGGTCGACGCTCAACCATTGAGCCACACTGCCTGGGCTGTCTCCTCTTCTTGGTGACACCTGCAACCCCTTTCTTTTCCTGGATTCAGGAAGGAAAGCAACTCACCCTCAGTCCAGCCTCCCAGGGCTCCGCCTCTCCCAGCCCTCTTCACACCTCCACTTGAGGCTGATGCCACTACTGCCGTTTCTGGTGGGTTTGGAGGGTGTGGAGCCTGTTTGTGGGGCGCTCTGTAGAACATGGCTCAGTCCACCTTGTCTGCATGAGAACCCCAGGGAGCCGAGGCCAGGCGGGCTCTGAACCAGTCACGCTGACCTCTGCATGGGGGACTCTGGCGTCTGGTTGCGGAAACTCCCAGGTGCTTCCAGCAAGCAGCTGAGGTTGAGAAGCGCCCCTTTAAATTTGGAAGGGTGCACAGGAAAGGGAGGGTGTATTGGGGGTCTTTTATTCCCCAGGTTTGAGTTTTAGCTGAAATTCTTTGAAAACAAAATATCTCATTTAGTATCTTGCTAAACAAGTAAAAATAAAATTAAGGTAATCGTCTAATGTGTTTTGTGTCATAGCTACATGCTGTATGGACGTGTTCTGAGTGGAGCATGGTGGAGTGGAAGGGCAGTTAACACGTCCTGGTTGCCACCTTGGAGACCACGTGTCCGCCTCTCAGTCCGGGGGCTCCATCCCGCTAGAGAGGAGCGGTGCCAGGGCCCTCGGCTTGCCAGAGGGCTAGTCTTGCTGCAGGCAGCGTGCTCCCTGGTCCCATCCCGGCAGTGGTCCCGAGAGTGCTGCTTCGCGGGGACGGCGTGCTGCCTCCGGCCTCGCCGCAGCAGCGTCGTTTCTCACCTCTGGTTCTCTTGAAGCTCCAGAGATGGCTGCCCAGTGCGTGACGAAGGTGGAGCTGAATGTCTCCTGCGACAACCTTCTGGACAAAGACATCGGATCGAAGTCGGACCCTCTGTGCGTGTTGTTTCTGAACACAAGTGGCCAGCAGTGGTATGAGGTAAAGTTGCTAATGGGGTGAAAGCTGAACTGTTCTTTGACAATGTGAAGGGTTTAAAATGTTACAAATCATAAGAGCAGTGCATCTGTCAGTGCCACGTGGGCAGTGTGTCCTCCAGCTGTTCTCACACACGGGAACTTCCGCAGCTGTCGGGCCCCTGAGCTCCACGTGGCTCCCAGGTGTGGAAACGCGAGTCCACCTCTGATCTGAAGACTTCTGTTTTGGGTGGGTGCAGGTGGAGCGCACAGAGAGGATTAAGAACTGCCTGAACCCCAGATTTTCCAAGACGTTTGTCATTGATTACTACTTCGAAGTGGTTCAGAAGCTGAAGTTTGGGGTTTATGACATCGACAACACAACCATCGAGCTGAGTGACGATGACTTCCTGGGGGAGCACGAATGCACCCTCGGACAGGTGAGCCTGTGCCGCCGTGCTGCGCTGGGTCTGGTGGTCACCAGAGAGCTGGGCCTTTAAAACCATTTTTTAATGACAGTTGACTGTCAGCGTTAGTTTGTATGGGCTTCAGGTGTGCAGTGTGGTGGTTAGATAGCCACACTTTGCAAAGCGGTCCTCCTGTCTGCTGTACCCACCAGCCCCTACATCGTCATCACGATATTAACGACGGCAATCCTGGTGCTACACTCTGTCCCCGGAGAGCTGGGCCTTTTCAGACGTGCGCCTTAGTTTAACTTAAAGCTGGAAACCACGTAACCGCTTCACAGAATTCAGACGCTGCTGTGGTTGCTTCAGCGCTGCAGAGTTGCTTGCCTGCGGCAGGGGCCATGTGTTTGCAAAGCCTATTGACCCTCGGAATGGTGCTCACTGGACCTGTCAGGGACAGAAGCACTGCTGCAGCCGCTGGGCGGTGGCTCCCAGGCGTCAGCACAGCCCAGGCCTGAGTCTGGCCATCAGTGCCATCCTGGTGACAGCAGCTTCTGGGCACCAGCGGGCAGGGCTGGTCCCGGGCCCACACACCTCCCTGGCCCCTGCTCCTCAGCTGGGTTCATCCCTGTACACCTAGATCCGCGGGCCCCCCTGTGCCCACTGGGGCTCTCTCCCGCCGTTCCCTGAGCCTTCGCCTTGTTTATTCTAGTTGCCTAGTTATGTCTTTCCGGGGCAGGACCAGTCTGGTCAGGCAGGGTGTGTCTGGGGCTCAGAGCTGGAGCTGGCGGGAGAGGTCCGGCGTTTGCACAGGCCGGGGAACTTCCTGGGGGAGCGTCGCTTTTCCAGTGGGTGACATTTATTGCTGATTGTCCTTCGAGCATTCGTTGTTCAGTGTCGAATTGTTTGGAGATCACGGCGTTTCCTGTGTCTCAAGGACAGTATGGAGCTGATCAGTTTTCTAAAACGTTATCAGTAGTATCAAAGGGAAGTTAAAGTATTAATTTTTTTGGAAAAACGCCAATATAGCTAACATTAAAACGGATTTGAGAAGTTACAGCTGACTGAGAGTACCTAGGTCTGCTGTATTATTTTAATCAAATAATGTGGGTTTTACTCAAATGATGGCATTTTGTGGGGTACATATTAAAGTGAGGTGCCAGTTCAGACTCTGGATCCCACGTGTTGAGCGTTCTGAGGCCTGGCCTGCCTGTCAGCAAAGTGGCAGGTCTCAGCTCCCTGGTCTGTGAGCGATGAGATCCGGGCCTCTTCCTACTTGGAAGTAGTTGAGACAGAAGCCCACGGGCCGGGTGCGAGGCGGTTGCATCTTCCAGGATGGGCTCCTTGGAAGCGGTCCCAGGGGTTCTGAATGGGCCCACGCATTTTAGAGTCACTACGTCCTTACAGAGTGGACAGTGTTTCCGTTTTTACTGACTTTTTAAGTGAACTTGCACTCAGCCTTTTTCTAAAACTGTTCAGTTTAAGAATTCACAAGAGGGAGTTGAAAAGCAATTTGTATCACTTTCTGCTTCTAACAGATTGTTTCCAGTAAGAAGCTGACCCGACCACTGGTGCTCAGGAACGGCCAGCCCGCAGGGAAGGGCAGCATCACGGTAACGAGACCTGCGTCCCCCAGAGGGCTGGGTAGAGGGCAGCAGGCTGCAGGCAGGTCCCGCAGCCGGGCCGCATCCGCCCTGCAGGAGCGCAGCTGTGGGACGTGCACGGGGACGTGCCTGCGCAGAAGAGAGGAGCGCACAGAATTCCTTTGCGTTGCTAAGTCGTCCACAGCATCAGGGCCCTTGGTGCTACCTCCTCGGCCCCCGTGGAAGTGTCTGTCCCCACCTAAAGGGAAACTGCTTCATTGTCTGCGGGCTCTCTGCAGAGTGCGACAGACACTTTCCAGGATGGGTGGGTCTCACCAGGACACGGCTGGGACCTCATGTTTTTGTGCTGCCCTCCGCGGCCCGCCCTCCAGCTGGACTTCCACTGCTGTCGGCCTGGGACACGAATGTAGGCTCATTCCGCCATAGCTCCCAAATGACATAATGCCAGGCTTGTCACCATCTCGCCTCCTGGAGCTCGGGTCCGGGCAAGGTGTCCCGGAGCGGGAGTTTCTGCCCAGCTGCGGTGGAGGGCTGGCTCCCTGAGCGCCTCCCGGGAGGGTCGCTGCCACGGGAAGGTCGTTTTCCCAAGCAGCTGGTTCGCTCCAGTTTAAATTTCCTAAAGCACGAGCATCCCCCGGGGGAGCTGATGTTCCTGGCACAGAGACACTGTTGGTAGTTACTGTCATTGCTCTGGGGCCTTGACAGCCTGGGGTTGGTTTAACAGGAAATTCAGTGGCATTGGATGAGAAACTGATTTTGATGGAGTGTTTTTTTCCCAGTGTGACTCACTCATGTCTGGGGTTTGGAGGGCTGTAACTGGCACTGCATGTTCTCCAGGGCTTCGGTTTCTCACCGGGATGGGATCCCACTGGGGCAGCGGCATCTAGCAAGCAAGGTGCACGATGCAGATTCACCCTGAAAAGGAGCCCGGCTGGTGTGGCTCAGTGGATTAAGCATCGTCTCATGGACTGAGGGATCCCAGTTTGATTCCTGGTCAGGGCACATGCCCAGGTTGCAGGCTCCATCCCCAGTGGGGGCGTGCAGGAGGCAGCCGATTGATGTTTCTCTCTCACATCGATGTTTCTATCTGTCTCTCCCTTCCTCTCTCTCTAAAATATCAATCAAAACCTATTTTAAAAAATAAAAAATAGCCCTGGCTAGGTTGGCTCAGCAGTTAGAGAGCATCGGGCCTGTGGACTGGGGAGTCCTGGGTTCGATTCCCGCTAAGGGCACGTACCTCAGTTGCCATTCGTCCCCGGCCCCGGTTGAGGTTGTGCGGGTGGCAACCAATCAATGTTGTCTCTCTCTCTTCCCCCCTCTCTCCCTCCCTCTCTATCTGTAGATAAAAATGCAAAAATATCCTCGGGTGAGGATGAAAAAAAAAAATAATAACCTGAAAAGTAAAGTGCGTAACGTAGATTTAGCGGATTTTGGGAAAATATTTATTGCATGCATAGGAAAGCTATAATGATGAGTCTCTCAATTGCACCATCCAGTTATTAAGCACATTAGAATTCATGTATATGAATGCAGATTTCTATACTGTTAGTAACAGAGCACCTGGACTTCCTGAGTGTATTAGACTCTAAAATGCGCTTCTTCCCTCACTGTGTGTGTTCGCAGATCTCGGCTGAAGAGGTGAAGGATAACAGGGTGGTCTTGTTTGAAATGGAAGCCAGGAAACTGGACAACAAGGTGGGTCGGTGAACGATCGCAACGGGGCTTCCTGTCTGCCTGCCACTGATTCCATCTGAGAAAGGAATGATGCGGTTAATATGAGCGGGCATCTGAGTGTCTGTGTGTGTGAGTATGTGTCAGTGTATCTGTATGTCTGTGTATATTTGTGTGTGAGTGTGCGTGTATGTCTATGAGTATATGTGTATCAGTGTGTCTGTGTGTGTTTGTCTCAGTGTATGTGTGTTTGTCAGTGTGTAAGTATATATGTCGGTGTGTCTGTATGCATGTCGGTATGTCTATGTGTGTCTGTATGCATGTCGATATGTCTGTGTCTATGCATTGTCGGTGTGTCTGTGTGTCTGTATTCGTGTCTGTGTGTGTGTATGTGTCGGTGTGTCTGCATGCATGTCGGTGTGTATGTGTGTCGGTGTGTCTGTATGCATGTCTGTGTATGTATATCGGTGTGTCTGTGTGTGTCTGTATGCATGTTGGTGTGTCTATATGCATGTTGGTGTGTCTGTGTGTGTGTATGTATGTCGGTGTGTCTGTATGCATGTCGGTGTGTCTGTGTGTGTCTGTATGTATGTCGGTGTGTCTATGCATGTCAGTGTGTCTATATGCATGTTGGTGTGTCTGTGTGTATGCATGTCGGTGTGTCTCTGTGTGTCTGTATGTGTGTTGGTGTGTCTGTGTATATGCATGTCGATGTGTCTGTGTGTGTATGTGTGTCGGTGTGTCTGCATGCATGTCGGTGTGTATGTGTGTGTGTATGTGTGTCGGTGTGTCTGTATGCATGTCTGTGTGTATGTATGTCGGTGTGTCTGTGTGTGTCTGTATGCATGTCGGTGTGTCTATATGCATGTTGGTGTGTCTGTGTGTATGCATGTCGGTGTGTCTCTGTGTGTCTGTATGTGTGTTGGTGTGTCTGTGTATATGCATGTCGATGTGTCTGTGTGTCTGTATGCATGTCTGTGTGTATGTATGTCGGTGTGTCTGTGTGTCTGTATGCATGTCGGTGTGTCTATATGCATGTCGGTGTGTCTGTGTGTGTCTGTATGTATGTCGGTGTGTCTATGCATGTCGGTGTGTCTATATGCATGTTGGTGTGTCTGTGTGTGTGTATGTATGTTGGTGTGTCTGTATGCATGTCGGTGTGTCTGTGTGTGCCTATATGTGTGTTGGTGTGTTTGTGTGCATGCATGTTTGTGTGTCTGTGTCTGCGTGCATGTGCTGAGTGGGGTGGCAGGAAGGCGGTCTGGAGCACAGTGCCGAGCACCGAGGGAGTGCTGTGGAGAATCACAGAGGAAGACGCCCTCTGTGCCCTGATGTAGTTCTGGGCTCACGCCACACACTCACCTCTGCTTCCCTGTGTGTGGGACTGACGTGGAAGATCAGATAGGGAGTCAAGACTCAGATCCACAACAATACTTATGTGATCTTAGCAAATCTTTAACTCCTCTGGGTCCATTTCATCGCTGGCCCCTCACAGAGTGAGCATGCCACGTGTTTGGGACATGGCTTCCATGACACTACCCAGGGCTGGGCGAGTGAACGTCAATAATGAAAACTGCCCAGAACATATTTTACTGATGATGGGTTGTATTGATCTCTCTAAAGCCATCCTGTTTGTGAGAGTAAGGATGTGATACACAGGGACAGAAGCGTAGATCAGATGCCATCACAGTTCTCCTGGGAGGTGCCAGCCAGTTTGTGAGGAGGGAATGGGCTTGTGTTTACAGTGACACTGTCCCCGGTGTATCTGTACCCGGGGGACAGACTCCGGAGGTCGTTAACATGTGACAGGCACACTGTCACTGGTGTATCTGTACCCGGGGGAGACTCCGGAGGTCGTTAACATGTAACAGGCACACTGTCCCCGGTGTATCTGTACCCAGGGGAGACTCCGGAGGTCGTTAACATGTAACAGGCACACTGTCCCCGGTGTATCTGTACCCGGGGGAGACTCCGGAGGTCGTTAACATGTAACAGGCACACTGTCCCCGGTGTATCTGTACCCGGGGGACAGACTCTGGAGTCGTTAACATGTAACAGGCACACTGTCCCCGGTGTATCTGGACCCGGGGGACAGACTCTGGAGTCGTTAACATGTAACAGGCATAAACTGGCTTAGAGGAGAATAACCGCTTTTTCCTTTCACGTAGGATCTATTTGGAAAGTCAGACCCGTACCTGGAATTCCACAAGCAGACCTCTGATGGAAACTGGCTCATGGTTCATCGAACAGAGGTGAACATCTGAATTTGAAAAGTAAAGGTTTCCTTTGGGATTGTAGTAATCTGAGTTTTTTTAAATTAATGTTTCTATAAAAATATCAGTCTGAGTTTAGACACATATAGCCAGAGATACAAGGTCAACATGCTGCTTTTTTTTCTTTTAATGAGGAGGTACTACCCTGCTTAATTGTTTGTGAAGTATGTATTTTGAGAAATTTAAAACCCTTTAAAGAATACTGAAATGCGTACCCTGTACATTTGCACATTTGGCCTGTGCACATGTGATCGCACGCGCACACACAGACTCGCACACCTGCACAGGTACTTCTCTTTGGCAGAGCCGCCTGGGTGCGGGCTGCAGGCATGACCTCCTTGAAGCAGTGGAGCAGGGATCTCTCGAAGACGAGTGCTCTCCCCGCTGGCTGCACCTGGAAGAGCGTGCTTTATAACTTCCCCGGCTGTCCTGCGTGTTTATAAGCCTAGTTTTGTTTAGTTGGGATCAAATAGGCTTACATTCTGCATTTGGCTACTATGTTCCCACATGACTCTTCCTGCCTCCCTGCACCTTCCTGCCATCGACTCTCTGGAATACTCAGGACCAGCATGTCCACACTTGAGTCCGTGTCCTCACAGACAGATCCAGCTCAGATGCGGCAACAGGACCGGCCCATCCTGTGCGGGCTTTGCTCTGTGTCAGCAGGACCCACGGCGTCAGGCTGCCCATGCTGGGTGCCACCCTACTCAGATCAGTCCTGTTTCCCCTTGGGCATGAGTTGGTGGTCTGTGGTGTGCTTTGAGACTGTTCTCCTGAAGGTGACCCACTGTTTAACGCCTAGTGATGCTCTGTGCCTGACCATCAGTTATCACTGGGGCTATAACTTCATGATTCTTTTCTAAATCTCTCATCCCTTCATGCGCATTAGCAGGTGCTCCACTGTCACGTTCTCCTTTTTCATACTCGCTGTCATTGTGGATTAATGGGTGGTTATAACACAGTGTTTACAGTTTGTTACTGTCGCCCTTTCTGCCACTCAGATTTGTCCACAGTGACAGGGAGTGGACCTTCAGTGACTCCTGGCCTGTTAGCACGAGCCCCAGTCTAAGTCTGTAAACGTTCTCTCATTTTTATTTTTATTTTTTAAATCCTCACCTGAGGACATTTTTTAAAAAATTGATTTTAGACAGAGGAATTGAGAGGGAGAGAGAGAAACATCGATGAGAGAGAACATCGATTGGCCGCCTCCTGCGTGCCCCAACGCTGGGGATTGGGCCCACAACCGGGGCATGTGCCCTGACTGGGAATCGAACCAGCAACCCCCTGGGGCAGGGTCGACGCTCAACCACTGAGTCACACTCGCCAGGCAACATTTTTTCATTTATGTTCAGATAGAGCAGGAGGGAGGGAGAGTGAGAGAGAAACATCAATGTGAGAGAGACACATCAACTGGCTGCCTCCCTCATGACCCCAACCAGGGCTGGGGACCAAATCACAACCACAGTACGTGCCCCTGACCAGAATTGAACCCGAGACTCTTTGGTCCTCGGTCCGACGCTCTAGCTGCTGAGCCACACCGCCAGGGCAGGGGTTCTCTCATTGTCTGACACAGCCTCAGTTCTCCCCATGCTTGTCCTGAGCCAGCTGCGCACCAACCTGCTTTTCTGCAGCGACCCTGGCCTCCTGAGGCTGGCTGCGCCTGCTGCGGGGTATCGCTGCCCGAGGCCTTTCCAGTGGGCAGGGCGGGGAGACATGCACATTTGCTCAGACCTGGCTGTGGTGTAAGATTTGAGAATGAACTTCAGACCCAGCCCAGCACGGCTCTTTCGCAGACTCTCGGACTCCAGTCTGAGTCCTCTGGGCCTGCATTAGAAACCCTGGTTCCCAGCCCTCAGCAGTCTGGTTTCTGAGGGTGCATTGCGGTGCGTGGACACGCTTCCCAAGTCTGTCTTTCTCTTGGCACGTCACACTGGACGGTCCACCGTGTGTCATGTAGCGGTTGTGCAGTCCTCGCTGGCTTTCCATGGGTGGCGGACTGGCCGGGGCACAGCAGGAACCAGGGAGGCGCGCGGACTTGGAGGGACACAGGCTCTCCTGACTCATCTCTGCGTCTCCATCTTCACAGGTCATCAAAAACAACCTGAACCCTGTCTGGAGGCCTTTCAAAATCTCTCTCAACTCCCTGTGCTACGGAGACATGGACAAGACGATCAAGGTAATTTCAACTTGTGTACAGGTCGACTCGCCTCTTTATCAGCGTAATTGGTTAGGTAGTGTTTAAAGCAAGTGATGTGACAGGGACCTGCAGGACTCTGTTGCTCGGGACAAGATGGGGGTGTCTCTGAGGGGGTGAAGACTTTGAAGGATCGGCACGTTGACTGATGGTTGACTAATGCTGAGTCAAACATCGTGATTTTTATTTTACTCTTTATTTATTTATTTATTTATTTTTTAATTTTTTTTATCCTCACCCGAGGATATTTTTTTGATATTTTGTTCAGATAGAGTGGGAGGGAGAGAGAGAGAAACATCGACGTGAAAGGGACACATCGAGTGGCTGCCACCCACACGGCCCAACCAGGGCCGGGGACAGACCGCAACCGAAGTACATGCCCTTAGTGGGAACCAAACCCGGGTCTCTCTGGACCACAGGCTGACGCTCTAACCGCTGAGCCAAACCGGCCAGGGCTACTCTTTATTTTTTAAAGTAAAATGTCACTTTAAATTTTTCTTCTTTTTAAAAAGATCCCTGTGCTCTGTGAATAGGAGCCTCGAACTCCCCTCTTTGCCTGTGGTGTGTCCCTTGCGAGTAAAAGCGGGTGCTGCTGTAACTAGGAGCTCAGCGCCCGCCCCGGCCGGCAGAGGAGGGAGCGTGGTGGCCTGTCCACCCTCGTCTGAGCAGAGTGCTCGTCACGGAAACTGCCGATGCTCCCGCTGCGAGGCCGGGAGAGCCGAGTGGGACAGGGAGCTGCAGCAGATGTCTGAGGGTTTTTAAATGTTCTTATTTGTAATGACTTATCAAAAAACACATATTACTTTAAAGACATTTTTATACCAGAGTCCCTTGTTGACATCAGAGTCCAGCTAGAAGCCAGTCCCCGTCCCGATGGTGGGGAGACACCCATCCTGCTGTTGCAGGCAGTGCAGGAAAGCCGGAGGGGTGGCCTGGAGCCGGCCTGGGGCTAGGACGCATCACAGGCCAAGTCTTGACTCCGCCCGTTAAGCAGCTCCCTGTCTTGGGCAGGTCATCGGTCGTCTTCACTTACAGGATAGAGAAAATAATGTCTGTGCTACAAAAAAAGTGAGGGTTAAATGAGCGAAAACAGAAGTCATAAACTGAAACACAGCATGATGCTGTTTCTGAAACCGCTTCATTTCCTAGCTCCGTCAGTGTGTCCTCAGTTTGCAGAGGACTCTCCGAGCTCGGGCGCTGGAGCTGCGTGGGGTTTCCAGCAGCGGGAGGCGCAGGCTCTGCGGGCGACCAGCTTTCCTCACCCCCAAGGTTCTTTCACTCGCCTGCCATTCACTTAGACACAGGACAAACTAGCCAGGGAACGGGCCACAGTTAGCTATGTTCATACATCAGGAAACTCTCCTACAGGAGCGATTGTGAGACACAGAGGGGAACAGCCCTAGAGGACACTGAGCAGGGACCACGTCAGACCCTGGGGGCTCAGGAGGTCATGCTGGGAGAGCACATGTTGAGTGCTGTGAGCTTGCCCTGCCACGTACACTGGCTCCTAATTTAACCCCTCAGTAGTTACGGGTGGAGCAGAAGTGTCTCGAGCTCTTGGGGCGCAGTTGCCTTTGGCCCACAGCGGTCTGCAGCGTGGAGGCCTCCAGGGCTACGTGCGGCAGGGACGCGGCTTTGACATTACTTCGAGAGCATTTGAGACCTTGCTCCCTGGTGTAGGTCATAGGTTTGGCTCAAACAAACTCCTATAAAAATTCAAAAAAATTTTTACTTTTCATTGTTATTCTAAATCTAGAGCTTTTGCTTTTCACATTAATGTAGTAAGTTGAAGCTTCATTAGATCTGAAAAGCAAAAGAGGCTGAAAAACAGGCCTAAATCAAAACGACCTGGTTGTTTGCACCGTGTTAACAACGAAACCATGTTTTCACACTTCTGCACACAGTGGCTGCGCAGGGCTGTGCTGTTAGAGTAAGTAAGCCGACTTCCTGAGCTCACTGACGAATGCCTTCCATTCTTCAAAGTTTCTTAGTTTGTTTCAATGACCCGCAATTTGCTTTTCTACATTGTTGCTGTCTGTGTTTCTCCGCGGTGTCAGAAAGTCATCCATCTGATTCTCCTGGTGTTTGAAGTGACCGAGGGGAAGGGAGCCGTAGGGCAGGGGTGCAGCTAGTCATCAGCAGTCTTTGCTGCAGGATGGATGTGCGGTGTGGTCACTCCAGCACGTGTTACTGTTTCCATAGCATCCGGCAAATGGGGACATCATCCCGCATGCTGCCCTGCCCTAAACGGGAATGCCTCACGAGTGCGGTGCGCGTGGTGTGTGCATTCTCCACGTTCGTGTGTTCAGATGTGTACATATGCATGTTCCAGTTTCACAAATGCCACTGGCACTGCTGTTTAAAGCAGACAGTAGTCCTAGCTTTTGAATTCTTGAGAAGAGAAACTAAAATGACTGTCATTAGTTCATCTTCTCTCAGACTATAGCTGAGCACATGCCAGCATGATAAATGCACCACACCTGTGCCTGCCAGGGCAGTATAGTGAGTTATCAGGGATTACAGTTGAAGTTTAAGGAAGACTAAACATGTGAACAGTGTTAACTCTTCATAAATCGTTTAAATGAAGTCTTGGCATTATCAAAGCTTGATTTTGCCTTAGATGTAAATTGTAGTTTCTAGAATGCAAATCTAAAATGCAAAGTTCTGTTGACCCTAATTTAAAAAAAACCTATCAAAATGGCATTACTAAAATATTAAGATTGTTTTTGACTTGATTTTCATTTTAGTTCATTTGGAAACATTATTAAAGTCATTACTTTTTAACCCTGACACTTGAAAGAGTCAGATGAAGGCTCTGGGCTTAACAACTGAGCACCGTGCGCACAGGACAGCAGTCCCGCCGCGGGCTGGGCAGCGGGCAGAGTGCTCGCAGCAGGGCACAGCTCCGGCGGTCAGAGAACTGCACTTCTAGCCCAGTTTGTTACTGGACCGATGTTTAGTCTTCCTGGATGAAATGGAAATAAAGTAAGGAACGAAATACCATAAGCACCCAACTCACTTCTCCTAGAGAGGAAAACACTGCCAGGTGAGAGGGGCAGACCCTGAAATGTATGGGAAGCTGATGACCTCGTGAAGGTCACGCTGTGAGATGCTCGGAGAGGGGCACACTGCACAGGAGGGGAGTGGGCGGCAGAGGCGTGTGTCTCAGTCACGGCTCTGGGCGGATTCCAGTGTCCTCGGCACGGCTCTCCTGGAACGATGTTGGGCCCCACATGGGACACGCTGTCTTCCAAGACTGTGTGCAGTGCACATGCGTGTTTGCAGAGATGCGCTGGTCTGCCCTGGAGCTCAGGGCACGGAGGGACGTGGTTACGCAGGGCTCACCATGGACACCTCTGCCTGCGGACAGCTCCCACCGCCTTGGTCTGGGTGCAGCGAGTGTCCAGGGGTCGTGACTGTTCTCTGCACTCCATCGCCTCCCGCCTCCAGCTGCCGGCGGACCACACACTCAGCCGTGCGCTCGGCTCTGAGGCAGAGCGAGCGGCTGTCGCTGAGGCTGGACGTGGGAGCGGAGACTTTGCGAGGGTTCAACCCTTTCCCCAGAAGTTCCTCCTCACTGTAGGAGCTGTGACCCTCAGTGGGCTGTGCTCTGACTTCATGCCTAATCCTCACTCGAGCCTAGCCTGTCAGATGGCAGGATGACACGCTGTTTCCATGACTGAATCATCTAGAATTGCATTGTGTGGCTTCAGCCGCCCAGACACCGGCTCCTTCCTTCCTCCAGATGATGCTGTGAGCCATGGGTCAGGGATAACAAGGTTAAGAGGTGGGTGAGGAGGAGGTGTAATTTCATTTGGATTTTATTAGCACTTATGAAGGACATGCTAGGGGAACTGGAAACTGCTTCATGTGGTGTTTGAAGAGTCTTGTTTTTCATCTGCCTGTGATCCCGGAACCCGTCCCACGGATAGCGAGGGTTCGGAAGGGTTCGGCACTGCCCCTCTGGGAAGCCAGTCCCTGCTGTCCAAGGAGACTGCACTAAACATCTCACTGACTTGGATGATGAGGGCGCTTCCTGGTAAGTCCCTGGTTGCCGCCAATCCTTCTCCAACGGTTCTGTTGGTTTGTATACATTTCCGTTGTGCTTGATTTCAGGTGGAGTGCTATGACTATGACAACGATGGGTCGCACGATCTCATCGGGATGTTCCAGACCACCATGACAAAACTGAAGGAGGCCTCCAGGAGCTCGCCTGTAAGTCAAGTCTCTGTCGTCTGAGAACACTCAGCCACGTGGCCATACAGGTGTCGTTCCGCTTCCTCCCGGCACAGTGCCGTCCACCGCATGTTCACTGTGCTATGACACGCTCCGAGACCGTGGACCCTCAACCAGGTGACCCAGAATTCATCCTGGAGTTTGAGTTACATTAACATGCAGGGTTTGCTTTCCTTGGCTACAGACAACATATATAGTTGGATTGAAAATCTTGTTTTTAAGCGTTTGGCATCTCATTGGTCCCAGTAATTACTGCCCACAGCACTAGACACGTGCCTGGGTTTGAACTGTGGGCACTCTTACAGCCGGCCTCTGGCTCTTCCCTCGGACTTGCCTTACCCACGGGAAGGCTGGAAGCATGGCTATGGAACTTCGAGTTAGCACATCTGAACTCAATGACATTATCAGTACAACCATCAGCCATTAGGTTTAACTGATTGGAGAATTGAGTTTTAAACAAAGCGGGCCTGGAATTTTCAGTGGGTCACAGTCTGTTCCTCTTCCTGGTCACAGAACCTAGAACTCACGGCAGGACTGAGATGCCAGCGAGGTGGAGGGGCTTCTCAGATCCCACCCGTGGGTTGAATGCAGACATTGACCTGCTTTGGTTAACAGACTTCGAATTAAAACAGGAGCAAAAGTCGGCTGCAGATAGTCTACTTAGAGATTGTTTTTCTAAGGCAGAACTAATGGAAAACGTGCAAACCTGAACACTTGAAATAAAATAGGCCTCCCCGGGGAACTCATTATGAGGATGGTCTGGATTGCTGTTTTGCTGGTTTTAGTTTGTTTCCAGAATCAGTAAATGATCTGCTTTTAGAAAATAATGAGCTAACAGCTACCTGTACAGCCCTTAGTGCACCATGTAAAGTTTTCCTGACTTCAGCCAACCTGTGACAGATGACGCTTTCACTGTTGCCATGGTGACAGGCCTGCTCCCTCCTGGTGGTCAGGCAGGGCAGCCTTGTCTGTTCTCGGGCCGAGAGGGCAAGGAGGCAGAGTGACGTGGCCTTTCACCATGAGAGTTCTGCTCGGAACATTTCCGCACCCAGATACTCAGCGACTGGTGTTTATGGTGATGGGAGACTCTGGCAGGATCCTGACCCCTCAAGAAGTTGAGCGTAGTTTTGTTTTATGTCATCGTGTCAAACGTGCTTTCGGTGTTCGGTTCTTAGAAAATCAGTAATGACTTTGGGGTGCAGAAGTGGCTTTGTTAGCCAGAAGACGACTCATCCAGTGTGCGCTGGGGTCCCTGTGTTCTGTTGTTAGGCGAGACACTGAGAATTGAAGGTGTCGTGGGAGTTGTCACACCCTAGCTGTGAAAAGAGTGAGTGGGAGGAAACACTTGAGGACAATACGAAGTATGAAGTCCATTCTGTGTGGCTGCAGAAGTTTAGGAGATGGGTGCGGGTCGGAGAACACCAGGACAGCCGCGGATGTCACAGAGGAGGACGTGAGCCACACCTTCAGACAGACAGGTGGACAGGACGCGGGAAGCAGACGGTCTGGGGAGGGAAGTGTGTGAGGGCGGCATTAGATCTGCTTCTGACTTGGTCGCGGGGAGAGATGCTGAGCTTGGCCATGAGCTGCTCCTGGTGGCAGGCATCTTCCCTAAGCAGCACGTGTCTGCTCTTTGTGGGCGCCAACAACCGGGAGTGATTCTCGTAGAGAGCAAAGATTATTACTTAGAGGTTTGCAAGGAAGTGTATATTTATAAACTATTTAAAAGGCATATACTTTTGGGAGTGGCTTTGGAAATCTCACCGAAGACTGTCACGTACCGAGTGTATTATGTCGGGTTTCAGGGCCATGTTTTGCAGTAGACCTGCGTCAGCAGGTGGCTTGGTTCCAGGAGAAGACAGTCATTCCTTTATATTCTCACTGACTTGCTAGTGTCGCTAGTGAGGACGGACATTCTCTCTTCCCCTGCAGGTGGAATTTGAGTGCGTGAATGAGAAGAAGAGGCAGAAGAAGAAGAGCTACAAGAACTCAGGCGTCGTCAGCGTGAAGCAGTGCGAGGTCAGCTGGCCCCGGCCGCCCCAGGCCTGCGGTCACACCCGGCTCTCCTGCCAGTGTGGTGGATGTCACACACGCCCGGATTCGGGGCGGCTGGAATCCCACCAGCGTCTAGGCACAAGGGAAAGGAAGGAGTGGGAATAGTAAAGTGTTTCAAGTAACTTTGCCTCCAGGGTTTGACAGCGTTTCAGAGCAGCACAGGGATGTTCAGCGTTCTCGTTGCCGAAGGAGACCCGAGCCCCCGGCAGTCCCACTGCGTCGGCGGTGATGACGCTATGAGTTGGGGGAAAATCCAAGGGGTTTCTTACAACTAACAAATGGGCTTTTAAAAATTCTCGATTATTATGCTTATTAAAACTCTCAACATATTAGATTTATTCTTAGTTTCTTAAAACATAAAGTGAATGTATTTCACCTTTGGCCATTCTTTTAATCTGAACGTTGCTGTAATTATTAAAATCTTCAGACTCTGACGTGTGGGGCGGGGCCTCAGACACAGTGCAGGGTGGTGTCTGCGTGTTTGTGCCGTGTTCTGTCACGCAGTGTTAACAGGTCTGCAGGGAGCGCTGTCTGCAGGGCAGTGGTGGGTCAGCTCTAACCGCCGCTGTCTGCTCGTAGATTATGGTGGAATGTACCTTCCTGGACTATATCATGGGCGGCTGTCAGCTGAACTTCACCGTGAGTACCTCGCTGCATGTTTCCGAGTCCATTTTGCCAGAAGAACACTTCCATGGCCTGTGGCCTTCCTCCTACAGGACTGACTTGGTGATGAAATGTGCACTCTGCGTGGTGTCCTTGGACAGGTGGCCTGGTGCAGCCTGGAGCTGCTCTCTGCCTGAGATCTGGTCCTGCCCCTGCAGAAAGCAGACATGTCCAGAGCAGTGATTGCCTGTAGTGATTTCAGTAACAACATCAGTCAGACTTAGGAAAGCAGGCCCTTCGTCTGAGCTCATGGTGTGACAGTTCACAATTAAGCATCTCGCGGATGGAGCGCAGGCCGCTTTGCATGAGGCCCGGGTGCTACTGGACACATCTGTGGTCTCAGGCCCTGTGGGCACTGCCAGGCAGGCTGTAGGGTGCAGGCTGTGTCCTCTGGCCACTTTCCTGGGCATGCATGTGGGGGTCCTGCTTCTTGAGTAAGGGCTGCTATTGTCACCTGCAGGTGGGGGTGGACTTCACCGGCTCCAACGGGGACCCACGGTCCCCTGACTCCCTTCATCACATCAGCCCCAACGGTGTGAACGAGTACCTGACCGCCATCTGGTCCGTAGGGCAGGTCATTCAAGACTACGATGCGTGAGTATTGCGTGTCTCCCTCACTCCCGGGGGGCCGTTTGTCTCCTGAGCTTGTTCCCTGCTGAGCTGGGGACAGGCTGCTGTCTTTCTCCTTCGGACAGTCCCAGTGTTTACCTTGGCGCAGACCCCGGTTAGTGGTCATTGCCAACGTACTCTGGACCCGTGCTTGTGTGACAGCTGACTGCAGTCGGCAGGCTCTTGTTTCTCAGACCCCGTTCCGTGGGGCTGACTGGTCAGGGAGAGGGTGTCTGCGTTGAAGTCCAGACGGCACATCCTATAAACACTCACACTAATTCCAGCTCTTTCCTGGGCGGTCATCGTGAACTCATCTTCTGGTGACTTTGAACAAGTGTTGAAGGATAATGTGACCTGATTGCTATAAAATATTCTGAATGGATTCTCAATGGATAGATTTTAAATATATTTAAATAGGTCCTTTTAGAGGTTTGCTAAACAATAGGGAAGAAAATGTGCATTCGTAATTTTTCGTTCTTTATCTGTTAGGGTGCAGGATAAAATTTCGCTCATTTTTACCTATTTCTTTACGATAAAAGCCCTTACTTACTGATGTGGCTTTCCATTAGCCTGTCACGATGTTTAAAGATTCGACTTTTTCGGGAAAATGCAAACAGACTGCAAGCAAGGGTGGTAGCCCTAGGACCAGCCTCAAATTTAAGGCAGAACCCATAAAAACAGTAAAAGATTACTTATGGAACACCTGGTTATATAATCCAAAGCGAAATTATAACCATGGGCATGTTTAGTAACAGAGTCTCAAAGCATCTCCATTGAAAGTAGCTAGAAGTATACTAAAAACTTCAAAGTAGCAGTCACAACGGGGCACGTGTAAAGAGTAGGTGTTGGCAGGGCACTCTCAGACCGCCGGGATGACCGCACAGACCTCAGCACGAGGAAGCGAGGACGTGCGCGGCTGGCTCGGATGGAAGGGACGACGAGAGCGCTCAGGCCTCGGGAAGCAGGGGGACATGAGAGGGCTGCGTGCTGCTTCTCCCTGTCGGTTCTGCTTTGCGTGCTTTCATTTTCAAACAAGAGTTACAAATCAGTGAACTACTTTTCAATAAAATAAAAGAATAGGAAGGAAGCCGCGGCCGGTTTGGCTCAGCAGTTAGAGTGTCGGCCCTCAGACCGAAGGGTCTTGGATTCAATTCCTGGTCAGGGGCACGTACCTGGGTTGCAGATTCAGCTCCAGAGACACACCCATCCAGCTGCACTAACTTCCTCATCTGACGTGGAGTAAGGACTTGGGAGGTTTGAGGCAGATCTTTGGCAGTAGTGACCCCCATGAAAGAGAAAACATCATCAGAATATTAGTAACGAGACAGAGATTATAGGCATAAATTGAGACAAAAACATTAAAAATTATACGTTGACACTGAAACTCTCTGTGTTACATTGGAAAATCTGGATTGAAGGATGACACGTTCAGGAAGCTTTAACTTACTGAGTTGGCTCACAGAGGCCGAGAGCGCAGTGGAGCAGGAGGCATGAGCGGAGCAGGCAGCCGCTCCGCAGGCCGCAGCCCAGGACAGGCCGACACCACCTTCAGCAGCCCTGGAGGAGCACACTCACTGCTCGGGGCCAGCGGAAACAGGAAGGAGTGAGAGTTCCGAGGTGGTCCGAGACAACGTAAAATGTCAGCAATTTCTCCCTAACCAGCAATAATCAATTCAAGAAGTTATGATACTCTCAGCAAAGTGGGAATAGAGGGATCATACCTCAACATAATAAAGGCTATTTATGACAAACCTAGAGCCAATATCATACTCAACGGGCAAAAACAAAACATTTCCTTTAACAGGAACAAGACAGGGATGCCCACTTTCAGCGTTCTTATTCAACATGGTACTGGAAGTCTTATCCACAGCAATCAGACAAGAAGAAAAAATAAAGGGGATCCAAATTGGAAAGGAAGAAGTAGAGCGGTCATTATTTGAATAACATGATATTGTACATAGAAAACCCTAAAGACTCCATCAAAAAACTAGTAGATTTAATAAATGAATTCAGCAAAGTAGCAGGATACCAAAATCAGCATCAAGAAATTGTTGGCATTTTTATACACCAATAATGAATACACAGAAAGAGAAACTAAAAATACAATCCCATTTACCATTGCAACAAAAAAAGTAAGATACCTAGGAATAAACTTAACCAAAGAAGTAAAGGGCCTGTTCACAGAAAGCTGCAGGACATTGAAAAAGAAATAAAGGAAGATATAAAAAAGTGGAAGCACATACCTTGTTCATGGATTGGAAGAATTAACATCATTAAAAATGTTTACACAACCCAAAGCAATCTATAGATTCAGTGCAATCCCCTTTAAAATACCAACAACATATTTCACAGAACTAGAACAAATACTTCAGAAGTTTATATGGAACCAAAAAAGACCCCGAATAGCAACAGCAATCTTGAAAAAGAAGGACAAAGTAGGAAGGATCACATTACCAGATATCAGGTTATACTATAAAGCCATTGTAATCAAAACAGCTTGGTACTGGCACAAGAACAGGCATATAGATCAATGGAATTGAACAGAGAACCTGGAAATTGACCCAAGACATTATGATCAATTAATATCTGACAAAGGTGGCAAGAGCATACAATGGAGTCAAGACAGCCTCTTTAATGGTGTTGGAAAAATTGGACAGCTACATGCAAAAAAAAAAAAAGAAAGAAACTAGACCATTAACTTACACCATGAACAAGAATAAAGTCAGACTGGATAAAAGACTGAAATGTGACTTGTGAATTCATAAAAATCCTAGAAGAAAATGTAGGCAACGAAATCTCAGACATCACACACAGCAGAATTTTCACTGATAACAATGCCTTGGGCAACAGAAACAAAGGAAAAAATGAATAAATGGACACATCTGTGGATACATCAAACTAAAAAGCTTCTACACAGCAAAAGAAACAGGAATCAAAATGGAAAGGTAACCCACTGTATAGAAAAACATAATTGCCAATGATACATTAGATAAAGGGGTAATTTCCAAAATAAATAGAGTGCTCATACAACGCAACAAAAGGAAGACAAAGAGTCCAATTAAATATGTGCAGAGGACCTAAATAGACACCTCTCCAAACAGGACATACAAATGGCCAAGAGACATATGAAAAAATGCTCAATATCACTAATCATTAGAGCGATGCAAATTAAAACAACAATGAGGAATCACCTCACACCTGTCAGAATGGCTACCATCAACAAATCATCAAACAACAAGTGTTGGCGAGGGTGTGGAGAAAAGGGGACTCTAGTACACTGCTGGTGGGAGTGCAGACTGGTGCAGCCACTATGGAAAACAATATGGTGTTTCCTCAAAAAATTAAAAATTGATCTGCCATTTGACCCAGTGATCCTACTTCTAGCAATATATCCTAAGAAGCCTGAAACACCAATGAGAAAGAATATATGTACCCCCATGTTCATAGCAGCACTATTTACAATTGCTAAGATCTGGATACAGCCCAAGTGCCCATCAGTAGATGAGTGGATAAAAAAGCAGTGGTACATATACACAATGGAGTACTATGCAGCTGTAAGAAAGAAAGATCTCTCATCCTTTGAGACAACATGGAGGGACCTGGAGAGCATTGATGCTAAGTGAAACAAGCCAGTCAGAGAAAGTCAAGTATTTGGTCTCACTTATTTGTGGAATATAATGAACAAAATAAGCTGATGAACAAAGTAGACCCAGAGACATAGAAGTAGAGTTCAGACTGACAAACCTCGGTGTGTCTGTGGGTGATAAACCAAAGAACTTATATGCATAACCAGTGGACATAGACCACAGTGAAGTGGGGCTGGGGGCAGGGAGGAAGGTGTCAGTGGGGGAAAATGAGAAACATCTGTAATGAAAATAAATTAATTAAATTAAAAAATGGTTAAGGTGATTTAAAAAAAAGTTATGGTAGATAATAGATCACAATTCAGAATGTAATAAAAATTGATAATGAACCGGCTTGTGTGGCTTAGTGGACTGAATGTTGTCCCATGGACTGAGAGGTCCTGGTTCTATTCCTGGTCAGAGCACATGCCTGGGTTTTGGGCTCGATCTCCAGTAGGGGACACGCAGGGGGCAGCCAGCCGATCCCTGTTTTTCTCTCACGTCAACGTTTCTCTTTCTCTCTAAAAAAAAAAAAAATCAATAAAAACTTTTTTAAAAAAAAATTGAGAATAAATTTAGTCAAAGGTATAGGATCTTTACTGAGGGAAAACTACAAAATTGTACTGAAGGATAAAGATAGAAACTTGTTTAAGATAAGCCGTGATTCTAGAGAGACAGATGTCAAAATGTTGTAAAATATAAAACTGTTTCCCTAAATTAATATATTTTAATCAATATTGCAATGGAATCCTGACAAAATAATCCTTACAATTTTCTAGAAGGTAAAATGAATCAGAATAGCCAAGAAATTTTTCAGGAGGAGAAGAGAAACGGTTGTCCAAGCAGATAGTGGAACATTTTAAAGGCATGTGAATTGGATTAGGGACTAGAAATGACCCATGGACCGAAGCCATAGCCCCAAGTGTGTGTATGTAACTCAGCATGTGACAAGGGTTAAAGCTGGGGAAAGGATTTGATGTGTGTGACACAGTTCTGTGCTCAATGCGAGAAGAGCCGTTACCCCTGTACGTGGAGAAGAACGTCCCTAGTAGGAAATGAGCACATTTATTCCAGGGTCTGGGGCAGGCCCTGGGAGGAGCCCACACGGGGCCACACCGCCCTTCCACAGGGCCTGTAGGTTCAGGTTTCCGGCTCTCCTACACTGCTGGGGCCAAATAGTCATACACTTTGCTGCAGAACCTGAGTTTTTATGTGGCATTTGCACTGTGTTTCTGTGGCCATTTTTGAATATTTACATAATATGGCTAAAAATAGCCTCGTGTCGGTTGGACTCACATCGGACTGCCAGATAAGTTTGCCATAAACAAATGAAAAGAGTTGTGGTTTTGGGGGGCTTTATGGATTTCTCTTCTTATTTATTGAATGAAATACACAGTATGGAATTAGAAAAAATATAAAATAGGAATATAAACTCCACTTTTATAAACATATGTATAGAGACAGTTTTTTCCCTCAGAGCACATACAAATGCTTAGAATGAGAATTACCATACAGTAACATTTTTCTGTGTTTATTATGGGTAATCTTTCTTTTATCTATATATTTTTTTAAGATTTAAACATTTTTTAAAAATTAGCTCATGTTGTTCTTAGTATAAGTAAAGATAAAACTGTATTTTGAAAAAAAACAAAAAGTCTTACTTTTTCAAATTTTCTTTGTAGTGATAAAATGTTCCCAGCATTTGGGTTTGGAGCTCAGATACCTCCTCAGTGGCAGGTAAGAGGGACCCCGTCCCCAGGATTTGCCTCCTAGGGAAGCAACCCAGCCTCATCGGCCCCTTTCCATCTTTCAGGTTTCGCATGAATTTCCCATGAACTTCAATCCGTCCAACCCCTACTGCAGTGGTGAGTGAGCACGCTTGGGCAGTGTCTCCAGAGAGCCCGGTGGTGGTTGGTTTTTTTCTGGTGATTTAAATCTCCTCACTCCCCTCTCCAGATTTCTGTGACATACTTGCCTTTCCGTCATAAAGTGGAGGAACGGCACCCAGTGGGTGGGGAGAGAGGTGACATCGCTATGATGGTGAAGTTCGCAGGCCACATTCTTCTGCCTTGAGAGGGTTCATGGAACAAAAGAGCTCTCCATCTTGAGATTTGGTCAATAAATAGATTCATATTCCTTTCACATACAAATTGATTTTAAAGTAAGCCCTCGGTGAGATGAGTAGTCAGTCCACGGTCTGCAGCTCCTCTTGGAGGAGCGGGCACTGGCTACAGGAAGGTCCAGCGTGCACTCGCGTGGACACGGACAGGCTTCGGGGTGGGGGTGAGGCGGTAGAAAAGAGGCCGGCACCTTGACCCAAGGTCAGGTATTGCATGTTTGGAAGTGTCGCTGCGCGCCGGCGAGAAGCGCTGCGCTAGGTCTGCGAGGGCTGCAGTTCCCACAGGGCGCAGCCAGCCGGCCTGTCTGTGGCCTCTGACCGCACGCAGCCGTTTGCCCTCTCTCCGGTCATTTTCTCACCAACGCCGGTTGTACGACAGCTCCTCTTTCCATCAGAGTCTCATTCCTAAAACATTGAAATTAGGCACTCGAACAGTCCGACTGCCGACTAGTGAATAATTTTGCCGAGATGAGAAGAAATGCCTTCTCCTTTGTGACGGAGCGAAGCTAGGGAGGTGTGCGATACAGCAAACTGAGAGGAACTCCTGGCTGTAGACCAGACTACTTGCAGCACTGGGTGTCGAAACGTGTATGTGCTTTAGTTACCCAGATGGTGAATAACGAGCAGTCATACGGTGCCTGAGCGTCCTCCGTACCGCTCTTTCTGTCCAGGGATCCAGGGCATCGTGGAGGCATACCGGGCCTGCCTGCCGCAGATAAAACTCTACGGACCGACGAATTTCTCCCCGATCATCAACCACGTGGCCAGGTTTGCTGCTGCAGCCACACAGCAGCAGACGGCTTCTGTAAGTCCTCCGTTACGGGGACGGGGAGATGCGGGCCGACCTGTTCCCAGGCCTGTTTGTGATGTGACTGTTGAGGTAAAGGCAGAGCGTGAAGCCAGGGCACAGTCATCCTTGGTGCCGGGGCAACATCTGCTGTTTAACTAGTGATCATTAGAAACAAGACAAGAACAAAACAACCCTTCCACCTGAGTCTCTTCTGTGTCATTGGAATTATTTTGATCAGTTTTAACCACCCTCCCACCCCACAATGAAGGTAGACCCAACATATGAAAGCTTGAGACTTACCACTTGAGGTGCTGTTGCAGAATTACTCACTGTACTAAAAAGGTCTGGATTAGACAGCCCTTATCTGTGAGACCTTGGATACCTCGACTCTCCTAGCTTCAGTGTCTCAGGGGCAAGGCACAGTGACTGCTCAGACAGTTGTTGAAATAGTGAAATGAGATGATTCATGTCAAGTGCGCAGGGCCTGGGCCACAGTGAACTCAGCACGTTAGCTGCTGTCACAAAACTTACTCCCAGTCTAGACTCGAATGACCCAAAAGATAGAGTCACAACTTTATATGACATTTTCCAGTTCCCTAAAATGTTTATCAGAGATGACAGTTGAGAGAGCTCACCCCCTTTGAACCATATCCATTTTTTAACTTATCTTTATTGTTGAATGTATTACAGATGTCCCCACTTTTCCCCTCATTGACCCCCTCGTCCCCAATCCCCCCTCCCTCCTGCCTTCCTCACACTATTGTCTATGTCCACTGGTCATGCACATATGCATAGAAGTTCTTTGGTTTCTCTCTTCCTGCCCCACCTCCCCACTTCCCTTTGAGGTTCATCAGTCTAACAACCAATTTGTACTTCTTAATTCCTTCATCTTTTTCACCCATCCCCCCAGCCTCCTCCCATCTGGCAGTCAACAAAAAGTCCTCTGTATCCATCAGTCTCTTTCTATTCTGCTTGCTCATTTTTTTAGATTCAATTGTTGATAGATTTGTATTTATTGTCATTTTATTGTTCATATTTTTGTTGTTCTCCTTCAAGAAGACCCCCTCAACGTTTCATATAATACTGGTTTGGTGGTAATGAACTCCTTTATTTTTTTTGTCTGGGAAACTATATGGCCATTGATTCTAAATGATAGCTTTGCAGGAAGTAATCGTGGTTGTAGGTCTTTGCTTTTCATCACTTTGAATATCTCTTGCCACTCCCTTCTGGCCTGCAAAGTTTCTGTTGAGAAATCAGCTAACAGTGTTATGGGAGCTCCTTTGTAGATAACGGACTGCTTTTTTCTTGCTGCTTTTAAGATTTTCTCTTTATCTTTAACCTTTGGCATTTTGTGGTGATGTGGCTTGGTGTGGACCTATTTGGGTTCATCTTGTTTGGGACTCTCTGTGCTTCCTGGACTTGTATGTCTGTTTCCTTCAGCAAGTAGAGAAGTTTTCTGTCATTATTTCTTCAAGTAGGTTTTGAATGTCTTGCTCGCTCTCTTCCCCTTCTGGCACCCCCATGATGCAAATGTTGGTACACTTGAAGTTGTCCCAGAGGCTTTATACACTGTCCTCATTTTTTTGGATTCTTTTTTCTTTTTGCTGTTCTGATTGGGTGTTTTTTTGCTTCCTTATGTTCCAAATTGATGGTTTGCTTCTTGCCTTCACCTACTCTACTATTGATTCCTTGTACATTATTTTTTACTTCAGTTAGTGCATCCTTCATTTCTGACTGGTCCTTTTATATGCTCTTGACATTCTCACTAAGTTCCTGGAGCTTCCTTATAACCAGTATTTTGAACTCTGCATCTGTTAGATTGCTTATCCCTGTTTTGTTTAGTTCTTTTCCTGGAGTTTTGTTTTGGTCCTTCATTTGGAACATGTTTCTTTGACTTCTCATTTTGGCTGCTTCGCTGTGTTTGTTTCTATGTATTAGGTAGAGTTGCTATGTCTCCTAGGCTTCGTAGAGTGGCCTGTAGTTGTAGGTGTCCTGTAGGGTCCAGTGGCACAGCCTCCCTGATCACCCAGCTGGGCCCTTGAGGTGCACCCTTAGTGTGGACTGTACACCCTTCTGTTTGTAATTGAGTCTTGATTGCTCTTGGCACATCGATGGGAAGGACTTACTCAGGCTGATCAGCTGCAAGGACTGGCTGTGCCCTCTGACCACCTTGGAGGATCAGCTGTGCAGGGGCCACCGCACAGAGCAAGACTTACTTCAGCAGGGCTCTGGTACCCACTGAGTCCACCCCTTGAGTGTGTCACTTGTGGAGGTGCTTGGGTGGTGGTGCTTCTATGTGGTCTGAAGCTGTCCACTGGGTGTGCTGGCTCTGGGGCAAGGTCAGCCTCTGCCTATGTTCTACCCGGGGCCACCAGGCATAAGCTACAAACTGATCTACCGATGGCTGCTTCTTATGCTGGGCTTAGAGGTGCCCAGGAAATGCCAAGTTGTGAACCAAGCCTGGCTGCTTCTAGTGCCAGGCCTGGGGCCACTTAGTGAGAGGTATGGGGCTCGCTGAGACCAGATGCTGCTTGTTTGAGAGATTTTAGGAAACTCTGAAGCAGGATCCAAGACAGGCCAATCCTATGGTAAAGTCTTTGGAAACAGCTTGGATGGGCCTGAAAGTTGGGTGGGGGGGCAGGGCCTCAGGGAATCACCAGGGCGGGGCAAACAGTGTGAGCCAGGTTGCTGGGGTCCCACATGTAGTGACTATCTGCCTGCCCTGTCGGGGAAGGGCTCACCCAAGGAGCAACAGCTTCCGCCATCACGTCTGTTCAGGAGAAAGATGCTCCTCCCCAATGCCAGACAACTCAATTCTTCCTCGTATGTCTTTGGTGCCTTTCAAGCTGCCTCCCCAACAGTGGAGCCCAGAAGGACTGAGTCCGAGCAAGTCTGTGCGTGGGCCCTTTAAGAGAAGCTGCCTGGGGCTCCAGCAGCCTCAGCCTCCCTCAGCCTCAGTTCCTGCTGGTTTTCTAGCCAGAAGTGATGGGGACTCTCTTCCTGGCACTGGAACCCTGAGCTGGGAGCCTGGTGTGGGATGGGGACCCCTCAGTCCTCAGGAAGGACCTTCCCAATCAACACAGCCCTCCTGATTTTTATCTGCCACACATGGGTGTGGGACCAGCCTGGTTGCCTCCACCCCTTCTACCAGTCTTCACGTGGCTTCTTTTTAATCTCGTAGCTGTAGGACTTCCATTCAGCTCGATTTCAGGTGGTTCTGAATGATGGTTGTTCTGTAGTTTAGTTGTAACTTTGATGTGGTTGTGGGAGGAGGCGAGACCACGTTTACCTTGACCGGAAGTCCGTATTCATTTTTTTAAAGTGTGTTTTGGTTTGAGAAACAATCCTCTCTCTTCTGCCGGAGTTGTACTTGCTCCCTTGGCTGATATTCGGACAGACTTCCTTCCTCAGTTAACTCAGAGGACTTATTCCTGTGCCCACTGGGAGTTTAGTCTGGCATTTCCATGTCTTGCTCCTGTGGGTTTATGCCCGCCCTGGCTTGTGGTCTGTTGTACTTTTAATGAGCCTGCCACGTTTTCATGAGTAAAATCCCTTGTCATCAGAGATCTCAGACTCTCTGAAGCAGATGGTGTCCTGGGCGGAGCCTGTGAGGAAAGTGAGGGAGGAGAGACTGAGCCTCCTGAGCTGCAGGTGTTGCGCTGTGACCTTCCCGGCGGGAGCTCACACTGCTCACTGCTGTGCCCTCCCCTCCGGCAGCAGTACTTTGTGCTCCTGATCATCACTGACGGCGTGATCACAGACCTGGACGAGACCAGGCAGGCGATCGTCAACGCCGCCAAGCTGCCCATGTCCATCATCATCGTGGGAGTGGGAGGTGCCGACTTCAGCGCCATGGAGTTTCTGGACGGCGATGGCGGGGCCCTGCGCTCCCCATCAGGCGAGGCAGCTGTCAGGGACATCGTGCAGTTCGTGCCTTTCAGACAGTTCCAGAATGTGAGTACCGCTCCTCTAGTCCAGACAGGTGTCTGCGCAGGGGCGGGGCAGCCGCGGGAACCGCCCGTTGGCGGAGCCGTGGTGGTGGGGTGGGTGTGCTGCAGGCTGCGGCCCGCACACCTCTGGCAGTGTGTGCGATGGGCCGCAGGCCGGTGCTGTTGGGACTGCCCTCAAGTACGGCTCATCTTTCCCTCCTTCCTACCAATCTGCAAGTGTTTCAGAATAAGCAATCAAAAAATTAGTACCTAGTGAGTGAAAGACCCACATTTAAAGTTGAAGGACAACAACAAGAAACCATCACCTGCGCCAGAAAAGAACCCGCCAGTGTTGGCAGGATGGCGGTGTTCTCAGCTCAGCCCTGTTCTCCTCGGACTGTTCCCAGGACAAGATGCAGCCCAGGGCTGGGGCCTGCAGGGGAGGTGTGGTTGCTGATGAGTCGCTGATTGTTTTCACAGGCCCCCAAGGAGGCGCTGGCTCAGTGTGTCCTGGCTGAGATCCCCCAGCAGCTGGTGGGCTACTTCAACACTTACAAGCTCCTTCCTCCCAAGAACCTGGCCACCGCCCAGTGAGGGCACCCTGCCGCAGCGGGGGCCACGGGCCGCCGTGCCACCCATTCACCCCAGCATTCCTGGTGCAGCCCTAGTGCTCTACAGACCCTTCTACTTCAAGCATTCTTCTTACACTTTCCGCGGGGAAAGCCCTAAGTGAATCTTTGCTCAATCAGTTCAATGGTCGCCTGGTATCCCCAGTGGTTGCAGTGAGGCTGTCTAGGCTAGACACTCACGAGGGAAGTGGGTTTCGTCGTGACTGTTTACTTCATAGGATGGAAATGCCATTTCAAATGTTTGTCAAAAGAAAGAATGAAACCTGTTGGGATGGTGTGATTTCAGGTTGCTGTGCTTTGTATAATAAGCCCAAGTCCGTCTCGGTAACAGGGCTGCTCGAAGGAGACATTGGGTTTGTTCCTGTAATGGTTCATGCGTCCCAGGGGTTAACAGTCCTGAGAGTGCTGAACAAGGCACACACCGGTCCTCACGCCGTCAGACCGGAGCCTCGCAGGAGCAGCCGTCCCTGCGTGCCGCCCAGACCCCTCCGTGCACGTGGGGCGCTGTCTGTGAGCCCGGGTCTGCGTGCGCAGGCCATAGCCTCGCCTGGGTCTCCATCATCAGAGCGTTTCACTGGAGATTGTCGAGGTGACTGAGACCGCTTTGCCCAGGAAAGTGGGGACCACACCGGCATTCCACGTCGTTCACCAGCGCGCCGCTTGCTGGCTGCTCACCGTCTGCTCACCGTCTGCTCACCGTCTGCTCACCGTCTGCTCACCGTCTGCACACCGTCTGCTCACCGTCTGCACACCGTCTGCTCACCGTCTGCTGGGCTTGCTGCTTATGCATACTCATTTAGGCGTTTTCTCCTTTTTTTAGTAACATTTTCAGTTTGATTTATCTATGAATCAAAATCACATTTTCCATTTTACAAATGTGCTATTTCCTAAGCCCAGAATGTACTGTATTAGCATAAAACCTGTTCTAACCTAAAAAAAAAATCCAACTTCTCCCTTAAGACAGTGGACTTTACATGCTTTTTTGAGTAGAATTTTTCCCAATTTTACCCTTTAGAACATATTACTTAGCAAAACTGTACCATAGAGTGGATTCAGCAGTGTCGTATCGAGGACCTGTGTGCCAAGACCACGCATATCCACGCATTGGTCAGTCATTCTTAAGAATCAGTGTTAAGACCGCATGTGGATCACGAGTCCTCAGTGGCAGGCCGCTCAGTCCTGAAACCCAGCTCGTGTCCCATTCTCTGGCGTGTCGGAAGGAACATATTCTCCCAACATTTGGAGCCCTTGTCTCGTGTTTAATTTCAGTTCTCTGTGTGCTTGGAAGCAGCACGTAGATGTTGCTGTGGTTGTCAGAGTTTTCTTTTTTAAACACACTCCTGGGCTTCCCTTTCAATCCCTGACCCTAGCCAGCTCCTGCAGCACCGGCATCGCCTGCAGGGGGCGCTGGGACCGCTGGCCATGAGCAGTAGCACTCACTGCCCGGATCACAGTACTCCTGACACCACTATCCAGCTGATCTTGTCTTCACAATTTTATATTCTGGTTTTAACCAGATTTTTTTCCTTTTTAAAGTTATTTTTTTATTATTAATTTTGGACCAGTTTTCTCAGTAGATACTGTTTCTCATAAGAACTACAATTCCAGCAAATTAGGGTAATGGATACCTTTTTAGTTTTGAATAAAAGCAGTTATAATTTCTAAATTACTTGGCAAAGTCCTTAAAATTCCTACATTTCACCTCGTTGCATGTGATTTAATAGTGCTTTATATTAAAATGGTCCCTTTGTTCATTGTGCCACCCCGCGTTCCCCCGCCTCCCCGCGTTCCCCCGCCTCCCCGCGTTCCCCCGCCTCCCCGCGTTCCCCCGCCTCCCCGCGTTCACGTGCCATTGGTTCTCAGAGTGCATGCATTTAAAGAAACAGTGATCCAGTCGATGGTCCCACCTCCTTCATCTGCTGTTCCCTGGAAAGCCGGATTCAGTCAACCTGTCACCTGCATAGTCAACAGTCACAGGGGTTTCGCATAGCGAGAAGTTGGCTTGGTTTCGAAAACTGTTTTGTGGTTTTTGGTGTCATCTTTGACGATAAGTTCACAATGACAAACATAAACCGATGTCGGTGTGTCTCCCACTCGAACTGCTGGTGAACCCACTTCTCAATGTGCTGTGATGGTGCCTCGTGTTCAGTCTCTTCTCTGTTGTCCAAGCCAGTGGGAATGCTGGAAATAAAGTGAATGTAGTACATTAATTAGGTGGCCTGTGCTTCATATTCACCAAGTTAAAGAGCCAGAGTAGCCCTGCATCCTCACAGGCGGACACCGCAGCCGCCAGGTGTTACCAGCACGTCTCCAGGCCTGGGCTCAGGTTTCAGGAGTAGGGGTGAGTACCCCCGTCAACAGGTGAAGTCACAATGAGTGAAATGCTCACTGACTCCACAGAGCTTATGACCTCACGTGGAGAAGGACACAGCATGTGACAGTGAGACAACCGGGAGCAGAGGCGGGCAGTCTTTGGGCTCAGAGTGACATGTCCCTTCCTCCGCCTCCAGGCGTCGTGGTCATGACTGCAGAGGGCACCCCTGAACACTGCTGCTCCCCTCCTCCCAGCACCCACTGCTGTCCACTGCCCAGCGACCCCAAATGGTCAGTCCTTGGGAGCACCACCCTGAGCGCCCTCTCTGACCCCATGCCCATCCCACTGCTGGAGTCCCTGAGCCTTCTCTGCCCTGGAGCGGCACCAGGCTTGAGCACACGCCGTCCCTCGAGCTTTCTCGTGGTCTCTTCTAATTAACCCTGGCTCTCCTGCCCGGGCTCACTGCAGCCCATCAAGCAGGCTTCTCTTCCTGACTTCCCACAGGGCGTGGAGGCAGGTGAGTGCCCCCACCTGCTGCCAGGCAGATTTGCCACTGCAGACTCCGTCTTGGACTCCAGCCATCAGCTCAGCTCACGCTCTGTACCTCCTGGTGATCATCTTTTTTTTAAATTTAATTAATATATTTATTTTTGTTACAGATGTTTCTTTTTCCCCATTGATTTAAGCTGTCCCCAAGTTTTTTGTCCATGTCCATTGTTCTTGCACACATGCGTGTAAGTTCTGTGGTTTATCTCTCCCCCACGACCCCTTCTTCTGGTGATTGTCAGTCTGTACCCCACTTCCACGTCTTTGGGACTACCCCATTCCTCAGACTGTTGTGTTCATTATATTCCACAAATAAGTGAGATCATATGATACTTGTCTTTCTCTGTTTGGCTTGTTTCGCTTAGGATGATACTGTAGGTTCCTCCACATCGTCTCAAAGGATAGCGATCTTTCTTTCTTACAGCTGCATAGTACTCCATTGTGTATATGTACCACTGCTTTTTTATCCATTTGTCTACTGAAGGACACTTGGCCTGTTTGCAGATCTTAGCTATTGTAAATAGTACTGCTACAAACATGGGGGTACATATATTCTTTCTGATTGATGTTTCATGCTTAGGATATATTCCTAGAAGTGGGATCACTGGGTCAAATGGCAGTTCAATTTTTAGGAAACACCATATTGTTTTCCATAGTGGCTGCACCAGTCTGCATTCCCACCAGCAGTGTACTAGAGTCCCCTTTTCTCCACACCCTCCCCAACACTTGTTGTTTGTTGATGGCGGCCATTCTGACAGGTGTGAGGTGATACCTCATTTTGTTTTAATTTGCATCTCTCTGATGATTAGTGATGTTGAACATTTCTTCTATGTCTCTTAGCCATTTGTTCTGTTTGGAGAGGTGTCTATTTAGTTTCTCTGCCCAATATTCATTCATTCATTCATTCATTCATTCATTCATTCATTCATTCATTTATTTTATCCTCACCTGAGGACATTTTTCCATTTTTTGTTCAGATAGAGTGGGAGGGAGAGGGAAGGGAGAGAGAGGAAAAGAGAGAGAGACATCGATGTGAAAGGGACACATCGAGTGGCTGCCTCCTGCACTACCCAGCCAGGGCTGGGGACAAACTGCAACCGAGCTATGTGCCCTTAGCAGGAACCGAACCCGGGTCTCTCTCGACCGCAGGCTGACACTATAACTGCTGAGCCAAACTGGCCAGGGCCTCTGCCCATTTTTTAATTGGGTTCTTTGTCTTCCTTTTGTTGAGCTGTATGAGCACTCTATATATATTGGAAATTAACCCCTTATCTGATATATCATTGGCAATTATGCTCTCCCATACAGTGGGTGGCCTTTCCATTTTGGTGGTTATTTCTTTTGCTGTGCAGAAGCTTTTGAGTTTGATGTAGTCTCATATGTTCATTTTCTTCTTTGTTTCTGTTGCCTTAGATGATGTATCAGTGAAAATTCTGCTGCTTATGATGTCCGAAATTTTGTTGCCTACAGTTTCTTCAGGATTTTTATGGATTCATGAGTCACATTTAGGTCTTTTATCCATTTTGAGTTTATTCTTGTATATGGTGTAAATTGATGGTCTAGTTTCATTTTTTTTTTTTTTATTTGCACGTATCTGTCCAATTTTTCCAACACCATTTATTAAAGAGGCATTTATTAAAGAGCATACTCCACTGTATGCTCTTGCCACCTTTGTCAAATATTAATTGAGCATATTACCTTGGGTCCATTTCTGGGTTCTCTGTTCTGTTCCACTGGTCTATATGCCTGTTCTTGTGCCAGTACCAGGCTGTTTTGATTACAGTGGCTTTGTAGTATAACCTGAAATCTGGTAATGTGATCCCTCCTACTTTGTTCTTCTTTTTTAAGATTGCTGTGGCTATTCGAGTTTTTTTTTGTTTCATAGAACTTTTGAAGTATTTGTTCTAGTTCTGTGAAGTATGTTGTTGGTATTTTGATGGGGATTGCATTGAATCTATAGATTGCTTTGGGTAATAAGGACATTTTAATGATGTTAATTCTTCCAATTCATGAACAAGGTATGTGCTTCCACTTTTTTATATTTTCCTCCATTTCTTTTTTCAATGTCCTGTAGTTTTCTGCAAATAGGTTCTTTATTTCTTTGGTTAAGTTTATTCCTAGGTATCTTAATTTTTTTGCTGCAATGGTAAATGGGGTTGTTTTCTTAGTTTCTCTTTCTGTGAGTTCATCATTGGTGTATAAGAATGCCATCGATTTCTTGATGATGATTTTGTATCCTGCCACTTTGCCAAATTCATTTATTAAGTCTAGTAAATTTTTGATGGAATTTTTGGGGTTTTCTGTGTATAGTATCATGTCATCTGCGAATAATGACAGTTTCACTTCCTCCTTTCCACTTTGGATCCCTTTTATTTTTTTTCTTCATGTCTAATTGCTGTGGCTACGACTTCCAGTACTAAATGATAACAAGAGTGGTGAAAGTAGGCATCCTTGTCTTGTTGCTGTTCTTAAGGGAAATGCTTTTAGTTTTTGCCCAATGAGTATGATGTTGGCTGTAGGTCTTTCATATATGGCCTTTATTATGTCGAGATATGATCCCTCTATTCTCATTTTGCTCAGCGTTTTTATCAGAAATGGATGCTGGATTTTGTCGAAGGCTTTTTTGGCATCTGTTGATATGCTCGTGTGGTTTTTATTCTTCATTTTGTTTATGTGGTGTATCCCATTTATTGATTTGCGAATATTGTACCAGCCTTGTATCCCTGGGGTGAATCCCACTTGGTCATGGTGAATAATTTTTTTGATGTATAGCTGGATCCGGTATGCTAGTATTTTCTTCAGGATTTTGACATCTATGTTCATCAGGGATTTTGGCCTGTAGTTTTCTTTCTTTGTAATGTCTTTTTCTGGTTTTGGAATTAGAATTATGCTGGCCTCATAAAACAAGTTTGGAGGTTTTTCTTATTCTTGAATTTTTTGAAATAGAGGAGAATTGGTATTAGTTCTTCTTTGAATGTTCGGTAAAATTCCCCTGTGAAGCCGTCCAGGTCTGGGCTTTTGTTTGCTGGGAGAGTCTTGATTACGTGTTCAATTTCCTCAGTTGTTACTGGTCTGTTCAAGTTTTCTATCTCTTCTGGTCCAGTTTTGTGAGACTATGTGTTTCTAGAAATTTTTCCATTTTGCTTAGGTTGTCGAATTTGTTGCCATATAATTGATCATAGTAGTTGTTAACGATCTTTTGTATTTCTGTGGTGTCAGTTGTTACTTCTCCTCTTTCATTTCTGATTTTGTGTATTTGGGTTCTCTTTGTTTCTTGGTGAGTCTAGCTAAGGGTCCATCAATCTTGTTTATCTTTTCGAAAAACCAGCTCTTTATTTCATTGACCCTTTGAATTGTTTTTTTTGGACTCTATGTCATTTATTTCTGCTCTGATCTTTACTATTTCCTTCCTTCTACTTGCTCTGGGGTTTAATTTCTTTTTGAGTTCTAGTTCTTTAAGTTGTGAGGTTAGATAGTCTATAAGAAATTTTTCTTGCTTCTTGAGGTAGGCCTGTAGTGCTATGAACTTCCCTCTCAGAACTGCTTTTGCTGCATCCCATAGATTTTGTGTTGTGTGTTCATTTTCATTGGTTTCCAGGAAGTTTTTAATTTCTTCCTTGATCTCCTTGGTAACCCATTCGTTGTTTAATAACATGCTATTTAGCCTCCATGTTTTCAAATGTCTTTGCATGTTCTTGTTGCAATTGATTTCTAGTTTCATGCCATTGTGATCTGAGAAGATTCTTGATATGATTTCATTCTTCTTGAACTTGTAGAGACTTAGTTTATGCCCAAACATGTGGTCTGTCTTTGAGAATGTCCCATGTGCACTTGAGAAGAATGTGAATTCTGTAGTTTTGCGGTGTAATTCTTTGTAGATATCTATCAAATCCAT